GTTAAGTTTATTTTTAACAGGTAAATTACAATGAAAGCCAAGTTAAAGAGAAAAAGCACTGCTAGAATACTTTCAGGAAGTGTTGTTCTTTCTGTATATCAGGTCAGTTGAAGTACAGTAGTTGAGTTTCTCACCTTGAGGCTTACTTTCTGAATCCCAGCCTTGAAAGGTGAGAACAGGTTGATGTAAAACATCGCATAAAGTAAGCGATGAATGTTCTTCGATGAAGAAATTTATTTAAACCATCAGACTAATTCCAGTTCACAAGTGCAATGGAGTGGGTAATAAAGATCATGATTGTCTGTAGAAAGGTAATAGGAAGTCCCATTCCAAGTTTGTAGGGATTGTATTGGATACTGGTATCAAAGAGGGCAAGGGTTTACCTCATGCTTTAAATTCAGGCTGGAAAGTTGAAGAGAAGTAGAGGGAAGGATCTGGACTCTGATAAGTCAGGAGGGCTGAAAAAAATTGGGTAGGGAAAGTTGTCTTGGTTTTTAAAAGGTGAACACAATGCATGTTGGAGAACAGGGAAGAGCTCTGAAATCAAATGATTGGGATAAACAGCAATGAGAATTCTTGTTCCTGGATGAGAGCATTCCTATGTTAGTTATGTTGTTTCCATTTTAAATGCCTGATCCTTTTGAAGCTTTAAAACAATTATTCAGAATGCAATAAATGAAGTCATGTTCTTCCAGCTATACCTACTTGTACCTTGTGCCATTTAGTTACTGAGGAGGAGGAGTGATGGCAAAGTAGCTGCCATTCTATTTGCTTGGTTGTTTGGTGCAACCCCACTGTCTTCCATATATGTGTATGTATGTACAACTTCCTAGTTGTTGGGGTTTTTTTTTCCCTTTTTAAACCTTTTTCAAAGTGGCAATTGACCTGCTGTGAGAAGAAAGGAGTACTGCACATGTATGCATATGCACACACATACACACCCTCAGTAGGTACAACTGTGTGGTTTTGGCAAGTTTAGCTGGATTTGACATTTTCCCATTGCACTAGGAGCTAAATGAAGTTGCTTCACCCGCCTTTAAATTTTCACACTTAAAAATACTGTGAATTGAAATGTTTTGTTTCCTGAGCCTTGTTATCTGAAAGACTTCAGACAATCTCCAGGGTGGAGACTGCTGTGGTTGCTTGTAGTCTGCAGATGTTGAAGCATTTTTTTATTGTAGATGCAAGTGTGCAATACAACTTGTGGGAATTGGAGATTGTGCAGGAAGTGGGCATATATAATAACATGAACTTCCACAAAACAATTTTAATTGAGTCATCTTCTAATGAGAGAGAGGTGGCAGTCTCTGCCTCATAGAGGTGGCAGCTCATGTTGAGAATGAACAAAGCTACACGAGGTAGATGCTAATCTTACCACTTGATGCATGTAGGAAAGGTGTGTAGACATGGAGCAGTAAGGGAAGAGGCCAATTAAAAGTCACACAGCTAATGCTAGGGACTGTTTCTCTGCAAGTGTCTTTTTCTCTTTTTGATCGTTATCGACTCTCTGGATTTGCACCAATTTTTGTGTAAGAAGAGGAAGTGTAGAGATTTGTTAACTAAATAAATCTTAAAGAAACAAATTCTAGTTTGGAGGTAGGGGTCCCAGAACATCTTTGTCGGTTTTTTGGCTTTGAAGAGGACAAAACAGTGAAACTGAGTGTTTTCATTTAGAAGGGTCATTTGAAACTGCTGGGTTAATCTTTGTCTAGGCCCTGAAAAGGCAGTCAAGTGTCAGTTCACATACACAAAGATGTATATTTGCACATCTAAATCATAATCTGTTTATAATAAACTGGCTTAGCATTCAGGCCTGAGAGAAAGTCTTTAACCTTTCCCCCCCCCCAAACACTGCAGCTGACTGTTGAACACGAAAGATCTTAAGTAACAGCAGCCTGTGCTGTTGATGCAAGAGAGACTGTGTTTAATACCTGGTTAGACATTCATACCTGCAATATGTAGGTAGTTGCTTTGCTGCTTCCAATTGTAATGTTCGTAGAATCATAGAATAGTTTGGATTGGAAGGGACCTCAAAGATCATCTAGTTCCAGCCCCCCTGCATCATGGGCAGGGACACCTCCCACTAGACCAGATTGCTCAAAGCCTATCCAACCTGGCCTTGAACACTTCCAGGGCTGGGGCATCCACACCTTCTCTGGCCAAACTGTGCCAGTGTCTCACCACCCTCCTAAGTGAAGAATTTATTCCTTCTATCTGATGTAAACCTACCCTCTGTTTGTTTAAAGCCATTTCCCCTTACCCCATCACTACATACCCTTGTAAAAAGTCCTCTCCAGCTTTCCTGTAGACCTTCTCTAGGTACTTGGAAGGTGCTGTAAGGTCTCCCTGGAGTCTTCTCCAGGGTGAACAGCTGCAACCCTCTCAGCCGGTCTGCAGAGCAGAGGTGTCCCAGCCCTTTGAGCATCTTTGTGACCCTCCCCTGGACTTGCTCCAACATGTCCATGTCCTTCTTGTGCTGAGGACCCCAGAGCTGAATGTAGTACTGCAGTGGGGACATATGTAATAGCTGCTGTTTTGCTCTCATGACATTGTTCACTGCATCAGCTAAAAAGGCAGAAATGACTGCATTCATAAGGTGAAATTCAAATAGACAAAGATTTTATTTCTGCATGGATTTTAATTTTTACATCAAAGTACTTAAGATGAAAAGTTTTCAGAAATACTGCCTCTGCGATATTTTTCCGCTTTGTTGGACAGTCATGTAATGTAGAACTGTAGATGTGACCAGGAAGCGTAGCAGGTGTGAGAACTGCTGTTCTCCCAGAGTTCTGCTGGAGGGAGAGTGGTGCAGTCTGAGAAACTAGAATAGGGCAAAGGCAATAGAACATACTGTTAAATTTGTCCTATTGGGCTTGCAGAAAAAGCTGTGCGATGCTTACTTTGGAAGTTTTGCAAATTATACATTTAGCAAACAGGCAAGTAGGCAGATGCTATTCACATCAACTCCTCAGAATATTTTTTTTGAACAAGGACATTTACTGTGTTGTCTGGGTAGGTATTTTGGAACACAGTTTTGCATGTGTGACTCGTGAAATAGTAAGATCACAAAACAAGACTTTTAGGACCAGTTTTTATTCTGTTTATGCAGAAGAAACATGGCATTTGCACTCAGTTACCTAAACAGGGTGCATCAACAGGGTAGGTATTTTCTGATGCTTTGTAAATAATATTGGCTATTGAGGTATTGAGATTGTTTTCTGTAATACTGACACTTTTCACTGGGAACTGTTTGACAAAAACTAAATTACAGTTGTTTCAGTGATTTCAGTATGTCAGTTGGCAATGATGATTATTTTATTTCTATGGAACAGAAGTCAAACAAAAACATCTTAGCAAAGTTCGTTGTATGCTGAAGGGGTTTTTATGCATTTTATGTCAACTTTTTCCATAAAGATTAATAGTAACAATAACAAGTTGTTGATGAAAATAATGTTTTGTGAATGTGCCTATGAAATAATGTGATTGACTGGTATTTTTTATATTGCTCAAATCCTGATGTATTGGGTGATAAAGTACAACATGGGTGACATTGACTGCTTGTTACATCTGTTACTAATTTTTGGCTGAAATCTTATGACCAGTTATTTGATGTTTGCTCAAATACTACAAATAAATATTACCCAGTAAATTTCTCTCTAAAATTGAATTACAGTCAGGTGTGTACTTTTTACTTTGTAGAGTCAAAAATAATTTTATCCATGTGAACCTCCTTTTCCTGAAAGTCATCTGTGTATTAAGTGTCTCCTATTTCTCTATTTTATTTTTTTTCCATTTTCTAGTTTGTGTGGGATGGGTGCCTATATGTTGGCTTTGGAGCTTGTTAACGAGCTGAGTTGAGTCTCCATCAAAGTGAAGTACCTAAGTATTCCAATTTTCATATTGATACTTGCCTTTCTAGTTGCTGTAGAAGGTACATGGTGACTCAGTTTTTCTTTACTGATTTACTGATCGTTTGCAACTCTCCTTCATAGTGCAATAGTTTTCATAGTTTGCTTTGTTGGAAAACGTGGCTCATGTTCATTGTGGTGGAATATGAGGGCCAGTGACATGTTTCTGACTTCTGTTAGTTATTAACCTTATTTAGTGTCTGCTTGCATGCAGACATGAGCCTCTTGACATAGTCATACAGTTATTTTCAGATGTTCCCTTGAAGAGCCTTATTTAGTGAGATCAACATAGGTGAAATTAAAATTCTTTCAGTAACATCTACATTAGAGGAAATAACACTAATATTTTCTAATAGACCTTATAAGTTCCTAAGCAAATTTACAGGCTCTGCTCCTGGCCCCTCACTACTGGCCCCTGGAAAACTAAGCCAACCTAAACTTTCCCAGTGTCCAGCATTTACATGTAGACCTGTGAGAGAGGGTTGGGAATGCTGTACGTCCATAATTGTCATTGTCAGCACTGTGTCATTGTGGGTGCTAAGCACTTGTGGACCACTGGAAATAAAGGCGTCCAAAATTAGTCAATATTTGACTCCTGTTTGTATTTATAAAATGTAAAAAATATTAGATGTTCTTCCTTGGGTATCTTTGTCTTGCATTTAGCAATACTTCACAAGAAAACCGTTCTGGTTCATTCATGGATGCTCAGAATGCTCTTTTTATTGTGTAAGAATGCAGAGTCCTGCTTTTGCTAGAGTATGGTAATGATTTTACCTAAAGTCTTAATTACAGAATAGTCAGAGGAAAGACAGAAACAAATTAATTCCTGAAGAAATTTTGACTTCAGGACTTTAATATTAATTTTTAGTTACTTGAGAGTAGGCAATGGAAAATCCTAGCTGTAACCTATCCTGTCCTTACATTGTCCCTTCCAAATCCTGAGGAATTTTGAAAGTATTTTAAAAATCATTAATGTGATGAGTAAAATAAGAAGTTTCAGAGATGGGGCTTTTAACTTGAACATTTTCCAGGTTTCTCTACTGCTGTACCTTGAAAAAAAAATAGAGTTCTAATCATGGTTTTGTGTTTCAGGACTTAAAATGGCAGGAGAAGATTCCTATATTATGGGAGTATCTGATCCCCAAGTAAGTGGATTTGTATGTTTTCAGTATACCTGTATCCTCTTCTAGCTCTCTGTTTAGGTTTTATCTCATACTGTCCTGTCATTGCCTAGGCTTAACAACATGGACATATCAAAGGATTTTGCACTGAAGAAGTCAGATTTGGGGAAATCTAGAGGATTTTTTTACCTAAGGTGATTTTTATGTGATCTGTAAAGTGCCTTGCCACTAGTTAAATGGTTGAAATGTAAAGGAAAGCTAGACCTGCTGAAATAAGCATTTGGAAAAATTACTTATTTTTAAGCCCTGCCTGCCTGTGACACTTACTGTGAAATTTCTGCTGTGGTGGACAGTGGACTTTTTCTGAAAATAAAACCCCTTATGCCATAGAAGGCCTTTTTGTGTAATTTTTTATGGTATTTGCATTGACATAGATGAGTAAAATGTTCCTTCACTCATACAGATTGGTAGGCCTAACTCTTATCAGCTCTTCCTGATCTCATTAGATCTGAACTATGAAAATGGTGCTTGGGTGAAAAGTTTAAATAAAGAACAGATCATTTCTACTCACCCTAATTTTCAAAGAGCAAGTATTTTCTCCTTTATGCTTGCTCCACTTTGGAAGAAGATAGATTTATACCTGACAACAATTACAGTGAGTTAAGACATGTCAGTGTTAAAAAAAAAATAAATTAAACTTTAACCTAGGTATACTGTTTCTTGCATTAGACCTTGTCGATATATTTACATAAGGAATGTAGTCTGGTAAGGTTTAATCAGAGAAGTGAAAATGAAAACTCACAGGTTCTCAGCAAGGCCTTGGGCAAGACATCTAGTGTCAGATTTTCAAAATTTACTGTATAAGCTCTTTTGAATATATAGTTTTTAGTGCATGTAAGCAAAATGCACGTTTACAAACTGTGCTGAGGTCGGTGCGGTCTCATGATAGTGGTGGAACTTGGGCAGTGCTATCAGCTCTGCTTGCACTGCTGTTGCCAGCAAAAATAAATTAGCTATAAGATGTTCATGTAATTCAACAAAGTATTTGCAGTGTCAATATTTGCAGAGAACTTTGAAATTCTTTGCTGATAGATGCTTTATGCAATTATGTATACATGTAGTAATGAAGAGTATATTTTCTTTCGATGTAGATGTTTGCAATGGATCAGTTCATTGGAATGAATGCATTATTTAATAGTACAAATTACATCACTTCAGACTTACCAATGCGAACAGGTAAGAACCATTACTATTTAATGGTATTGTCCTGCTGATTCTTCCTGTTTGTTTCCTTTTGTAAAGTTCTTTCCAGAGGCTTTTTTGTTTCCAGTCTTTCATAATACTAGATTGCAAAGTTGTCAACTAGATTTTTTTTTTTTTTTACATCTTTTTGCATCTCTTTCTTACCCACATGAAACTTTCAGCAGTGAGGCAAATCTAATTCTCTTTTGGCTTGTACAGAAACTGAAAGTTTCAACAAGTTTCCCAGCTCAAACCAGAACAGTGACCAAAGAGCTTTGAGTGACCTGATTTTATGAATTATTTTGTATTGGGTTTTTTCTAAATTTGTGCCTTCAGTGACCTACCCGTTTGTATTGCCACTTTGCAGACTGCAACATGCACTTCTTTTCCTTTTGAATGCTTTCATTTGTTGTAGTAGTTCTTAAGGTGCTTGTTTTTCACTAGTAAAATGTAGAGAATGTTAACTTCCTGTGTTTTTCCTTCTCTGTGACTTCTCTGTTTCCTGTAAAGTGGCGGTGTGGTATTAGGAGTACCTGACAATTTCCTGAATAATAACACTCATTTAAAAGTTCAGAGTCAAATTTTGCAACAAACTGCTGAAAATAAGCATATAGTATTCTGCAGAGGTCTGATATGCAGCTCTTCCAGTATGGTTCAAGACCAGTAATAACAAATACAAGCCCTTTATAGCTCAGTCAGTATTACCTGCTTCATCAACCTTAGTCTGGTTTTACTTTTTAAATTTCTATATTAATATTACTTCTTTCATGAATTTGGAAAATTATTTTTTCCTGCTTAGCTTATTGGAATAGCTGATATGAAAGGAAGAGGGAAATAAAATTTTATTTAAGCTTATGTGGGTTTTTTTCAATATATATATCTCCAATATAGCTATTAATGTCTTTTAACAGGAGAACTTTCTGTTGTTGTCTATTTGACTGTTGTATCAGGATGTAGCTGGTATCTTCTGTATTACAAATTACTTTTGTTTGTTGAAAGTGCAAACCACTTCTGCTTGAAATATTTGATACACTTGACAGCAGTGAGATTAAATAAACATTTAGCATTTTCCTTCGTAGGGAAAATTCCACCCTTAAGTAACAATAAATGCTGACTTTAAAATAAAAATGAAGGCATGCTTACTGTTTTAGTGTTTCCTTGTTTAAACCATGCTTCAGTTTTCTTGACTGAGTAGTAGGAAGAAAGGATCAAGAAACACATATGGTACAGAAAATTTTGTTTCAAGATACGATGTTCTGATGAGCAAAGCTCTTGACGAATATGGACAAACATCCAACAAATAATTGTTGCAATCATTTGTTTGCAGTGTGGTTTTATTAAGACAGATAAAATTATTCTCTAGGATTCATCTGTGTAGGATGAAATAGCTTGTGCATTGTATACCAAGGGGTTTTTTTTCGCTGTCCTCCCGGAGTTTCTGTGGAACAAATAAGGTTATGGAAATTTCCCCATAAGAAGCTCTCTTACATGTACCTTTTAAGCGTACTCTGTGCTACTCATGCTAGATCATTCCATACCAATTATTCATTTATATAAAACTTACTTTCAGATATCTATGTCCTGTCTAAAGTAGAAAACAGGTGTTTTCAAAACCGTGCCAGGGAGTCAAGAATTCATTGAGTTCTGCGGTCACAGAAAACTCTTACTGAGCTAAGTCTAGTTTTGTCCTTAATTTACAAAATTACTTAGAAAAAGGCCTTTTTTTAATATGTGCCACTGCTCTTGTCTACTGCTGCACTATAGCTGCCTAGTTCCCTGTATACAAAATAGGATTCAGTAAAGAATCCTGCATTTCAGGTTATTGCAAACAAAAAGTTGAGATTTAGAAAAACTTGACAGCATCTGATGATGCCATAGTCAATTTGTTTCTTGAGTAGTATCACTGTATTGCTTACTTCCTCCCCTGCTTGAAACTATGCTGTGTTGTTATTAGGGACTAGCTCTTCAGTTGTAAGATAATATAATAATTTATTTAATCTGTTTCAGTGGTTTCCAAGCAGGGACTAATTAATGATATCTTTCTACATGGCGAGGTTAGTTAAAAATTCATGTGGGATTTTCCAGAAATGCTTCCAGCTGAGATATGGAAAGAGTGAAATAAATGTTCTAAAAAGGATTTTTTTGTAGGACAGTTGGATGATCTTTCAGTCTGTGCATTCATAAATGCACAATGTCAGAGCTATTACATTGGCAGACAGGTTTAATATATAACCATGGATTACCATATCATGCCAGTGTACCTGCATCAACAAATAGCTGGGGAATTTGGGGACTTTCTGATGATAAACATTCTGCTGTTATGTTAATATTTACAGTAATAGTAGAAAACCTTTGAGATGTTGGGACAATGATTTTCTCAATGACATTGTTAGTTCTCAAGTGTCTTTGCTCACTTCTTTTTCTCTCTCATGTATGCCAGTTTTAAATAAAAATTAGGATTTGTTATTTTATCTCTAAAGCATTAGAAGTAAGTTACATGGTTCAAGTTCTACATTTGCATCTAAGTCTAGAAAGAGAAGTAGTTTCTGTGTGCATTAGGTGGAAAAGAGATGGATCTATAACAAGTGCCATAACAGTGCAAGTTACAGGATGGAGCTGTGTGTTTAAAACAGCACCACCAGCACAGCCAGTATGTCACAAAGTCAACCTCTACTTTGGCTCATTGGGAGGCATCCTGCCTTTGAGAGTTAGGTACTGATCCTCAGTGGCATCAGGGATGGAGGGAGCATTATCTATGGCATGTATTTAGACAGTGTGAAAGCAGATACACATCGATGGGATGTCCACTGTGTAGTGGAGAGACAAAGTGGTGCCTTACATTGTAGAGGAAATGGGCAGAGTTGTGGGCAAAGTGGTGTATAATTTTGGATGTTTCTTACTTGCTCCTGATTATACAAAGTCATCTACAACCATGGAACACAGCAATCTGTGCCAGTTAGAGGTGGTTCCAGGAACTGGTTAATTGTTTTGTGTTCTAGGGGCTCTGGTCTAACTAGCTTTTGGCATTAAGTGGTGTGTTTTTAAACCTTTGAAGTTGAAGCAGGGCTATCAGGAGCTGAACATTGTTGCCTGGAGTCTGCTAAAATTAGTTTTCTGGTATTTCTTTAACCTCCTCTGTCCAATTCTGTGTGATGCTTGCTCTTCAGAAATGAGAAGGGCATAGAGGGAAAAAGAAGGCACTTAAAAAAGCTTTATTTCATATTTTTTCAGAGAGAGATACAGTTAGAGATTCAAGGAAGCCCAACCATTACCAAAACCTAGATGGGTGTTCATTTTCCCTGTCCCAGGCAGTGACCCTAACCCTCAGAAGCTTGAACAGACTTGCATACTGTTTCTGGTGTTCTTTCTAGATCTTCTGTGCTTGTGTTTTGAAGAGTGAAGTGAGGGAAGAGGTTAAGCAAAGCCTGTGTGCTGCTTGCTTTAAACATCATGCTTTGAATACTGAAGAGTTGAGACTGGAGAGTGTGTTCTTGTGCAGGTGAATCCCTGGCAGGGAGGACGTGCAAATGCTACAACAGGCCTTCAGGAAGGATAAGGCACTAGGTCTTCAGTCTGAGCTTTTAGCAGCAAGGTATCAGTGCCAGGATGGACACAAGAGGGTTGGTGTAGGATTTAACAATCATAACCTAGAGGCTGTGAGTGGTTTCATCCATGTCCGTCCTACAACAGCAATTACGAGGGTGAGATGCCCATTCTGGGAGATCCACAAGCAGAGAGAAGGTAAGCAGGAGACTTGTCCACAGCTGGTTGCAGGTTAAATTGAATGTCTTCAGGTACTAGCTAAGCTGTTAGATAAAGGACCTCACTAGTCCAACAGTGCTGCCAGGCTTGCAGACATATCCCACCAACCTTACAGATCCCTTTTTCCTTGATTTTGTTATGGTGGGAAGAAGGAACCAAGAGGGAGCCTAAGATGGGTGCTCCTCTGGAAGAGTGTGTGTAGGGTGAGGCCTGTCAAGAGGAAGAAAGAATGTAAGTGGTGGGAGTGTCAGGAGGCAGGAGGACCTCTGACTCAGGCAGGAAGGAAAATGAAGAAACTTAGCAGTTGAAGAAGACATGGGGAAGTGGGACTGTGACTCAGGCTGGAGGTGAGGCAGCGGGATGCAAGTTGGTCTGTGGCAACCGAGGTGAGGAGATGGAAAAAGAAGCCCTGAAGCATACCCAAGATGTGGCATTCTGCACCAAAGCCCTTCCATGCTGGAGGACTGCATGTTTTAGTTACAGTTCTTGGCCCTCCTGGCTGGAGCAATGCCAGGCAAATCATGAGGAGTGCTCGTGTCAGAACTTGCCTCTTGGCAACCATGAGAGTGATCCCTGTGTGAAGGCCAGCTCCATGACTGTGTGCCTTCAGCCTCTCTGTAGGGCAAAAGTAGAACTTAGGCTATGCATTAGGTAGTGTTCCTTCTTGTGGTTGTTTAACATTTAAACAAGAATGTGAAGCAATCAACCTTCCAGGCTACAACAGAGGTGCAAAAAATCATCACAAATCTCATCATTATTAGTTTCTCTTACAAGGTGTTTATCTTCAGGTTTCTGCTCTCTGTCTGCTTAGACCAGACATGCCTAGTAATAGAAACGAAATATTAAAAGCTTCCGTGTGCAAAACACTAAATGTCTTTTTTTTTCCATGGGAAAGGATGAGTGAAAGAAGGAACCACACATAGCCAATATTAGGCTGTCAAATGTACTTCTGGGAAGTATTCAGAATTTAGTGAAGACAGTTGTATGAGACTTTTCATGGGGTAAAATCCTTTCTATAATCAAAATTAGATGCCATTTATGCCTGGATGTTGTCTTGAATATTGCTGCTTAATTTTTAAATAGCATGTCAGGTGTAATTAAAGGCATTGCACTCTACTGTTATTTGGGTCTGGTTCGGGTGCTATGCCAGAAAATTACTTAGTGATTGTAAAAGAAAATGTTTAGTTGCAAAACCCAAGGGTTAAAATAAGACCTCACAAAACTGTGTTTTAAATACATTGGTATGTGATTTATATAATATGATTAATGATAACAGCCATCTAGTTTGCCTTTGTACCTTTGCACTGCATTTTTTTGCACTTTCCTAGTGTTAGTATGTAAGATTTTTATTTATTTTTTTTTTAGTCGGTATCTTTGTCGGCTTTTTAGAAACTTTTTTCCAAGGGGGAAGAAGAACCACAATCCCAATTTTTTAATTTCCCTGGGTTTTCACAAGTGTTGTGCAAGGTCAAACCATTTCAGTGGTATAAACAATTTCCCTTGATCTTTCCAGTGTGCCAAGATAGTGTATATCCCTCTCTTAGGAATTTGCATTTACTTATGCTGAGGAAAAATTGAAACTTGGATCTGCTGCATCCTGGGGGACTTCTGTGGCCACTTAGCCATAGGATAAGAACGCTTCCTTTTCTGGCTAATGTTTGAGAGAAAGGGATAGTACTTTGTGTGGATACTAACCCGATGTGTATACCTAGAAAACAATTACTTTGCAGGTTGTGCCCTCAAGGCTTGGTTGAATGTTGAACTACACAGTTGTATTTTAGGTGCATTGTTTCTACCAGTGCCCAGAAAATACAAGGCTTCTGGATTGTTAAAGTATAAAATTTCAGATGCCTAAAGCGTGAGGAGGGTTAGAGGTCTATGAACAGAGGTCTTAAATTTAAGTGCTGATATATTGCTTAAGCCCAACTCAGTTCATCTTGACTCTGTTACAGACAAAAATTGAAACATAAGGCCAAAGCTAAATATTACTCTGCATCTTTTAAAGTTGAAGTCCAAACTGTTTTTCGTGCTTCCTAATGTAAGGTTGTGTGTATATGGTCTTGAGGCAATTTTTTGCATGACTTCAAGTTTACTTTTACACATGAAAGGACAAATGTTGGCCTTAAGAAATAAATTATTTTTGTATGTGAAATTGTTGTGACTGACATTTGCAATATAACTTTGGCGTGAAGATAATTCAGTGGCTGAGTCAGCTAACTGCAGCAATAGAACACTGATTTCATCCACTGGTGTATTTATCACAACTTCCATGTTGAGAGAAGCTTGTTCAGTTAAGACCTGTGCTGACCAAAGACACGAAGGTTTATTTTATTATAATGAAGTTGTACTGAGGAGCTGAGAAGGATGCATGAAGTCATACTACAAACCATACGTTAATGAATCCCTTGCTGTTTTTAATTATTGCTAAACATTGGGCTTATTGGCAAATAAAAGTTGATGTGAGTATGTAGTTCTGTGCTGAAGCCAACTTCTATGTAGTTGGTGTGGTACTTGCAGGTGGTGCAGTTGTTCAGAGGCAGATCACACCTGGACGTGGCAGGGCATGGAATGCTTTGTGTGCTTGCCGGCTCTGCCACATCGCTGTGCCTTGTCTGCTTTGGAGGATTTGTGTGTCCCAGTGAGCTTGCTTGATTCCTCAGCATTAATACCTTTAATAGAGTAGAAGTGGTGATACATAATTCCGACAGGAATATGGCTGGCAAAATATTATGTAGGTATTCACAGTGAAGCTGTTGTTTGGGATCTACTTTGAAAACAACTGATTTTTTAGCATTGAAATGCAAATCTTCTTGTCTGCTTAGCGAGAGGCAGGGAAGAAATCATACCTCTTGGAACTGTTGTTTTCAGACTCGAGTGGCTTGCATTTGAAGAGGTATTTCACAGCCATCCACCTAGAGAGCTTTCCTTCTTGATGTAAATAATCTAAATGGTCAGAACTGGAGCTAAGCTTTGATCAGGTGATGAATTCTTAACTCTGGTGACACTGAGTTCTCATTGGATTTAGGGTCTGCTCAAGACTATTTAAACTGGTGAATTTTAAATGAGGTTTATAGGATAAAGTTAGCCACTGTACGAGACTGAAAGTTGTTTAAGGAAACTGTCTTTAAAAGATGGAAGAAGAATTTTAGTAGAACATAATCCTGTGTATTGGCACCATGATCAAGATGGATCTCAATGGAGAGTCTCCATCTCTAATCAAATTGAGTGTATTCAGTGTTTTTAGAGGCACAGCAGAACAGTATATTTAGAAGTGTATCTGAAATTATTAAAAGAATGTAAATTGTTTAGTCTTCTCAATTCCAGGATTTTATTTAAAGCAGGTCTGACTGTTAGGGCATGTTGAGGCAGCTTGAATTCCTCTTGTATTCCCATACCTCAGAGCTTCCCATTGGCTGTCTCCAGACTTTCGAAAGCACCTATTCAGTAGGAAGCCCTAAGGCCAAAAGCTTGTGAGTATAGTCTTTAGAGCCCAAGGGGTTTAAATACAAAAGTTCACCTTAGCTCAAGAAGGCCAGACTGCTTGTCAGTGGCAAGGGGAGGATCCTGTTCTTATTCACCCTTGCAAATTTTAACTGAGTGATCAGTTGCCCATTTAGGCCCTCTGAGCTAAAATTAACTCTTCTTACTCCACTGGTCTCAAGGAACGCTGGAAATGACAGACTGCCAAGTGATTAAATTATTTATTGAAATTTAAGTTCTGAAGAGACTTAGGTGCTTTCAAAAATTTTATCTCAAGACATTCAAGGACATAATTGTACCCCTGCAACTTATATGTCATAGTAATAAAAATATAATTTCTATTAATACTTTTCTTTCTTTTATGTTAGCAGATGGACCATATCTTCAAATCATAGAACAGCCAAAACAGGTAAGAACAAGACTACATTTTGAAAATGAATTACTACATTCAGCTTTGAATAAATTTAAGACTAGAAAGAAAGAGTACAGAAAAGGCTGAACTCTCAGAACAAATGTGACACTTGAACATGAGCATTTTTAACTCTTGTAGTTAAATTGTTGCATGTTTTGTTCTGTTTTCATCTTTGTGTCTCTGTGGAAGTGTCGTAATACAAAAAAACCCTGAGGATTTTAAAAGTGTGTCTTGCTAAGTATAGACTTTTCATCTTAGAAGTGACTCTTGCAGGACCCCAGTATTTGGAAATATAAACTAGCAGACCAAACACGGAAAATTTTTGGGATTTGTTTCATGTTTCTTGAAACACAAGAAGGAAAAAAGAAAAACACTTCACTCTGTTCCCAAATTACAGGAACTTTTGACTTGTGCTTTGTCATGTTAAAGAAATTCAGTTGTTTGAGATTCCTTTTGTTGTGGTTGTCTGTTTTGAATAATCCATAAAAAAAAGGAAGATAAGTGCTTGAATGTAACTTTTTGTCTGACTATGTAGCAAACACTGACTTATGTTCCTCTGACGGCAGAAAAGTTATTCCAATTCACTGGTTAGTTTTCGTGCAACTGATGTACAGAGTGATTGCTGGGTAAAGATTGCCCTGAAGTATTGCCTGGGTATTGTTCCCCTTTAGCTGGTGGCACCAGCAATTACAAGGATTCTTCCTGAAGCTGTTACAGTATGGAGGCGCCTTTCCTGTCTGTCCCAATGAGTTACAGAAAACCCTACCTTACAGAGCTGTTCAGTAAACAGGAGAAGAGGGTGGCTAAAAGCTGTCCCACCCTCCTCATGGTCTTCTGCAGAAGCATGACACAATCCAGTCTTCCTGGCAGGATGCAGTGGTGAATATGGTTTCAATCACACAGCAAAGACATTTTTGTGCTTGAGCACACATCCATAGTTAGGGACTCTTCATCATAGTCATAAGTGAAACAGCAGTGTACTGTGAACTCTTGGAATATGCTGCCTCTTCCTTGTTTTAGTTCATTCCAAATCAGGCCATGTCTTTGCGTGGTGGGCCTGACAGGATACCCGTACGTAAGGAGAAACCATTGTTTCCATGTGTGACTTCTCAGTAAGTGGCTCCTCTTGTGGAATACCTATGTGGCAAGCTGGGCAATGGTTTTTAACATGGTGATGAGGGTGATTCATCAGCAGAGTGATGAGCTTACAATCACTGTTGGAACAGACAGATGAGGGGAGTAAGACTGTGTGTGTGAAAATATAGCTAGGATAGCAAAGAAAATAGACTGAAGAAAGCTACACAGGTGACTGCTGGATCTGCCGGTTTGAAGGCATCAAGGTGAAGAGAGACTGGGTCATCTCCTGTGTCCTGACTACAGAGGATGCTTTGCCTTTTGGACAACTTGAGCTCAAGCTCATCATAGCTGGGCACTTCACTTGCATATACTCTTGGTCCCTCAGTTCACCTTGGGAAGGCAATATCTGAAAAAAAGTCAGATCTTTAGATTTGCCTGGGAAACAAGTTCTTAACCTGAAAATACTTTAGTGAGAAAGGTATTGGAAGCTAATGTTTACAGAGTAGTTTTAAATCGTGTTGTTTGCTTTCAGCTAATATAGACTTTGAATTCAGAGTTGTCTTCTATTAGAGAGAAGCTGAATGACTATTGACAAAGGGTACCACACTAACTGGTGCTACTTGAACAGACACTGGGAGCACTAATATGATGGGGATTTTGCCAGAGATTGCAGGACTGGAGAGTAGATCTGAATGCAAAATTGGGGACCGCATTAAATATATTGTTAAGTGGAGTTAGAGTTACCAAATACACTTGCTAAAGATTTGTATCTCTTCTGCCTTATAGATTACTGTGTTAAGTAAACAGGATGTTATTTCCTATAAATAAAAACAGAATCAGTGGAGAGCTGTGCTCTGGACTGGTTGCCAACATCCTACAGTTCTCTAAAGTATATTCAGATGTCTATTTATGTAACTGAGATGAAAACCCAGCCAAAGTCCCCTGAAGCTTTTGTTCTCTTTCTGGACTTCACTGGGAGATACAGCTTTCATACACTTTTCCCAGAAGGAAGAAGCATTTCTTCTGTTTCATTCCTCTTCTTTCCTTTATGATGCTTTGGACTTCCTTATTATTGGCTTCAATTTCGTCTGTCTAGCAGCAATCATGGGAGAGAGTATCTGCTCTTGCATTCTGTACATGTTAGTTTTTATCCTGTTTTGAGAGTATTAATAGATCTTTACTTTAAAATATCTTAATTGAAAGAAAAAATTCAGGTTGCTGCTGTGTGTAAGAGTGAGAATAGAACAGTTTCTCCAGAGCTACAGTTCAGTTGTGCTTTTTTAACCAGCACTCAGCATTTCAGGGATGAACAGTTGTAACTTTTCCATTTGGGCAAGTCTTATTTGTGTGTGTGCATGTTCACGTGTGCATGTGCTATTTTTTTTTGTTTTGTTTCTGAACAGCTTTCAAGTTTCTTTTCCTTTCTTTCCACAGAGGGGGTTTCGTTTTCGATACGTGTGCGAAGGACCTTCACACGGTGGACTTCCTGGTGCTTCTAGTGAAAAGAACAAAAAATCTTACCCTCAGGTCAAAGTAAGTACATAAATCATTAATTTTCTGAACTGAATACCAGTGTCATATGTATGTGTAGAGTTACTGCATAGCAACATAAATTTGTATGAAATTACTCAAGAGTGACTACATTTCAGTCCCAACTTTCAAAATGTGATTGATTTTGAAAATAAAGATTTCTTCAGATTTGTGGGGTTGTTTTGGCACCATTTTTATCTGCCAACAGTTGGGCAGTAAGCTTTCCTGCACCAACCACCTCGCTGCCCTCATGCGGACTGGTGGAGCTCTTCCCTAAGGTGCAGTTTTAGCATGAAGCAAGGCCTGAGCTGTTCAGTTGCTCCACTTCTATTGCAAAGCATGAGGCTGCTTAGTTATTCTGTTTCACTCTGGGATGCTGTTTACCAAGTTTTCCTATTTTTTCTGTTTATGTTACTGATATTCAATACCTCTAGGATACTCTGTTCTTAAGAACTTAATTCCTTTACAGTCAACTTAAAACCTCTCATTTTAATAGTTACAATGTTATGTTCAGGTGTTGGCTGAACTCTTTTGGTGGATTTTTTTTTTCTCCCTGGAAAAAATTCAAATATGTTAATCAAATGAAAAAATTCAAATATCTTAATCAAAGAAATGTTCTGTGGAGGCATAATATGAATATTAGTGATTAGTCATTCTGGGATTGGACAGCTGTCTTTGCCTCTGGTTCTTGCAGCAAGTTCCTTTTCTGTGGAAGTTGGGAAAAAGTACACTGCATCTTTTCAGTATTTTTTAACTTAAATGGAAGTCTTGGTCTTATTACATTATGTCTTTGAACTATTGCACTACAGATTGTCTCATGAGGAGCACAGTTAATGTATTCTAGTTCTGGTGTTACTTCTTAATGTATTTTAATTCTGGTGGTATCTCTTACTCCTTTATGAGGAAAGAAGGGGAGGGAAGAGTGGCACACAATCAACCTCTGCCTTGGTGCGTGCCTCTCCTCAGTATGTGTGTAGTTCATTTGCAGTTCTTGGAAAAGGCTGGAGTTTGGAACAGTTGCATCTCCATAAGAATCAGTATAAGCATGACTCAATGGAAAATAATCAGCATTGGCTGAGGTAGCCTAGGCAGTTAGTCTTGCAAATTGAGAAGCTGGGAAAGCTGATTTCATATAGCCTTGCAAAACTCCTATAAAAAATTACTAGCCCAGGCAAATTATCTACTTGCTTTCCTCTTTCCTATTTTGACAGTAATGATGAACCAATGAATGAAATTTCACTGGTATGTTCAGATATAAAATAATTTACTTTATTTGAGCCCGATCCTTGGATTCCAATCCAATTGTGTATTGATAATAATGCAAGGGATACTTTATAAAAGTGTGATAGGTCACACAATAGCATGACAAGGAGATATGCAATGAGGAGTTATACAGGAAACTAAAAAGCACAATGTTCTTTGGCTTTCCATCAAACCTCCTATTTTCATTGATCATCAGATTTTCATTTCATCTAAAGCTCCCCCCCACACACACATGTCCCTTCCCCTCCCTCCCGTCCTACTGTGTGCATCTGGGTTTTTTGCTAGTACAAATCCCCATATGGCAACACCTGCTGGGAGAGGCTGGCAAGGGAACACAACAAGTAAATTCCTCAAGGCCATTGCTTGTTAGTGCCTGTTCTTGATTCAAGTGGTGCCAGTAAAGAGAGAAGTGTTTCACACCTTTTCCTGTAAGTCTCTTCTGTGTTTTGTCAGTGTGCTCACCTTGTCATAACTGAGGAGAGCGTAGCTGAAGATTGCTATTTTTTGTTGTGTTGGGTTTTTTTGTTTTGATTTGATTTTTTTGAGGTTTTTGGTTGTTTTTTTTACTCCTGTGCCAATGTTTTCACAATAAAACCTCCCTTATTAGTTGATCTCAGTGCAGTGAAAGGACAGTAGCATGAGCTTTGGCTGTGCTGTAAAAAATGAGGCTTTGTGACAGATCTTTAAACCTTGGCCATGATGTGGTCAGTGCAACTCACATTCGGATCTGCTTTCTGTTTGGCCAACGCTGCACAGAAAACTGATACAATTTACCAGTAGCTACCATAGATTGTCCTGAAAATAGACATCTTCATTGCACTAAAAAGCATTGCACCCTCCTTGCTCTGCTTTCGTAGGATTACGGATTAAAGGCCCAAAGAAAATACATTTATGTCATGTGACCTCTTGTGTAATGTGGGCTGTCCGACTTCACCATTGTTTTTTTCTCCCTGCACCATCACTAACTTGTAGTTAAGCTGGAACACATCAAAATGCATCTTTCATATAAAGACTAGAGTTTTGAAGACTTTGCTATGTCTCTATGCAAGATGTTTTGGTAGTTAATTATGTATGTTACCACTTCCTGTGTAGTATATTCGTAAATGGTGTTTTTTAGTGTAGCAGTTCTGCAATGCCAGTCTTTACACTTAAATCAAATGTACACTGGACAGCAAGGTGGAATTGATGTAAAATCTCTTGTTTTAATGGAACAGTCCTGACAAATGGAGTCTAGATAACAGCAGTATTTTTCTATAATATAAAAAGGGGATTCATTTATGGTTTATGGAATTATATTCCTTTGTTTAGTCCTTTCTTTGCTAGTAATCCTAATATGTAGAAAACATCTTGCATATTCAGAGAATTCTATACAACTTTGCATGTTATTATAGAGAGCAGAGAAGTTGTAGATAATGAATATGTTATAATGAAGTTATGTTTCACGATTGCAGTAGAAGGCTACCTAAAATTCTTCATTTAAATTTCACTTTCATCCACTTAATGTAAGTAACACAATGCTGGAAAATTTTACTGTCTAGAACAGTTGAAATCAAAGCTTCTGAATTCCTTGTTTGTCATTAGCTTTCTGTCCAGGGGAAAAAACCAGTAGTATAAGACAGAATAAAACTGGAAAGTCAAATATTATCACTAGCTTACTTAATTAAATACATTTTTTATTTATAATTTGCTTGGGTTTTATGTCCTTGAAAAAAACATGAGAAAACTTGTAGAGAAGATTTCCAGTGGCCTCACATGTTTACCATGTGTGGTTTGATCTTGCATACTGTTATTAGTGTGGACATACTCATGGTTTACACTGAAGTGCTTGGTCCAGTTTTAGGTGTGAAAATAGACTGAAAATAGTGGAGTTGCTGTAACAGAGTGATTAGAAAGAGAAATAGGTGTTTTTGTAGTTGCTGGCTTTGTAGGTTTCACATGGTCTTTTCCATCATTTGCTTTCTGTTGTTGACCGATTGGTTTCACTTCTTGCTTGTAAGAGTAACTGGAAGAAACATCTTTGAAGTAGGAAAACGTTCTTGTAAAGTTTTTGCAAAATTTCAGAAACTATAAATATTGACTGGGGTCTGGATTGCAGGAGGATGGGAAATAACTGAAAAAACTTTCGACTCTTGGTTTGAAATTGACTTAGCTTCGAGTTCACAGGGTCCTTTTCATCTTTCAGACAAATCTCTCACACAGAAACAGCAGATAAGTGTGAGCCTGCAGCATTTTAACTTTATCAGATCAATTGAGTGCTGCACAGGATATAATATATACAGGATATAATCAAGTATTACAGCTATACTCTTCCCAGGAACTCCTTATTTTCTTTTTTTGCTTCATCTTTAATTTGAAGATTAGGAGGTGACTTTTTTTTGGTCACAACTCTGATTTTGAGCCATACAGCTCTCACATGCTATCTCCCTCCCATGCTGGGTATATGTTTTTTTGTCAACACCATAATCTCTATGTTTCTATAGATATTCAGCATTGTAACATACCTTCTACCTTTTAATGCCTTTGACAGTGTTTTTTAAGTTCATAAGTAAAAGGTGATAGTTACTTGTATACCTTAATGCCAGAATAAATTTCAAATTATTCTGAAATTGTGGCGATATTCCAGGACATGGGAAAATTATTTCAGACTTAGTTTATGGTACATAAGGATATTTAACCACTCAGACTATTTTGCTGAGCACCAAGATACCCTGGATGTCTCAAAATCAAGTAGGAAAGTCTGTGTATAAGAAATGTAGGCAGGAGACAGTTCAGGGACATTCTGTAGCCTTTGCAGCATAGGACATCAGACTGGATGACAAAAATAGTCCTTTCTTGCCTAATGACCTACATAAGGTATTATGTTTTAAGAACCCTTTTGTTTTCCCCCTGAGAGAGAGACTACAAAGATCATGCTGAGCTGAGTAACGGGGGGAGATTGCAATCTGGTTACCACTGCAGTTCTGTGTTCTGCTTTCAGAGGCTGGAAAGTCCTTGACGTGCAGCAGTCCTACCTCCGGTTTCACTGTGGTTTCTACAGCTGAAGGATTGACTTGAACTTTTCTGATGTGATACTAGAACATCCATGTTACTCATAATGAATGTAGTGCTGAAGATGTGCTTTATAAAGGAGCTTTATATCAGGGAAAGGCTTGTTTACAGTGAGGCATAAAACGAAAATATTTTTTTTGAAGTCACCTTTTTGAAAAGTTAATTGTAGTAGTGGTGGTGACATGTATCACCAAATGTAATCCTTTTTATTTTCAGATGACTTTGTGAAAGGTATGTAGGAATTTTCTCACTCCTAGAATTACAGAAATAGTGTAGTAGTGACTATTCTGCATCTCTGTATTGTTTCAGTCCAACAGAGATTACAATTTGGAAACAGGAGGGAAGCATGAGTACCCCACGTCTTGTATTTTATAAACTAACACTTGTGAAATGCACATTAGTACAGTATTATACAGTTAGCTAGCAGGCAGTGAGTGATGAGAGAGCTTTTGCACACCTGCTCCTCCTGGAACAACTTTTTCATAGTTGGGATTTTTTTTGCTCTCAGCAGTGAATAGAAAGGCAGGGAGGGCATGCATTGTGCATATGCAAAGTGTTTCAGCTGTGATGGAATGCATTCAAGAGTGGGGTTAGCTGGAGTGAAGGAATCTAGCAGGACTCAGTAATGTGGTGAAATTGAGGCAATCCCTCGTTATCAGCATTTTATCAACAATATAACCTTAAATATTCAGTTCATCACTGATTCATCGCTTTAATGTTTATCGTGATCCTTTAATACCTTGGTTGATTAGATCTATAAGCTGCTGTAATACAAAGAACTTTGCCCAAGGCAAATTAGAAGAAAAATCAGAGGAGGGGAAAAAGCTCAACATTGATAAAAGGGTTAATTAAGTGAATTAGAAGGGAAGGTAATGTTTGCTTTTTAAAAAGTGGGGTAATTTTGTGTTCAGCATAATTTGAAAGTGGTGCATAACCCATAACTGACTTGGAGTATTACTTGTGAGGAAAGAAAATAAAGTTCTAAATAATATATGTAAAGCAAATAACTTACCAATATGGTATGTTATTAGTAACTTCAGGTGTGTTTTTGAGGCATTGTTTGTCATCACAGTTTCCAAAGCTATTAAAAAATGTGTGGTGATTAGAAATTATGTCAGAGGGGAAAAAAAATTTTGTGGTCTTTTAGAGTTGGCTTTATGAAAGCACACAGTTTGTCATAGTTTTAGTCCAGCAAAATTCTAGATGGGAATTTAGCATATATCCTCATGTACATTTAAGGAAGATATTTACTGGACTAGGTAGTATGTGTTGATGTAGCAGATTGAATGGACAAAACACCTATTAATGTAGAATTCATTCACTTTAAAATCTCTACCTGAAGAGTCATTGTAATGAGGCCAAAATGTTTTAAACCAATCATAATGTTTAAAAATAAATTTTTAAAGTATTTTCAAATTGGGCAAAACAATGCAGGATTTTTAGTTAAATACATGCATTTTATGTATGCATTTTAACAGGTGGCAGTGTTTATTGTGAATTCAATGTTCTGATTGAAATTCAAGTAGAGCAATGTGGAGTAAATGGTCAGAATGTAAGACTGAGATTCGTGATTTAGGAAACAGAAGATGTTTTCCTTTAGCGTTTTTGGTCACTACTTCTGCCATTTTTATATCAAGTTTAATTCCAAAAATAAGTGTTGACTCTTCTTTGTGATGATCTGGCACAGTTAGTCTGCCATTTGTACTTCATGAGGAAATGCATACACATTTCTCCTTTGTAAGTTTGATTGTACTTAGCTGACAGAAAATACTCAACTGGAATTACTTGTTCCATTTAAGAAAAAAAAAAGTAAGCAAACTATCCCACATTTTTTATATTTGTTTACAGATCTGCAATTATGTTGGACCTGCAAAAGTAATTGTCCAGTTAGTAACTAATGGGAAATACGTCCACTTACATGCTCACAGCTTGGTGGGTAAATTTTGTGAAGATGGAGTGTGCACAGTTAATGCAGGACCTAAAGATATGGTTGTAGGGTAAGTCTGTCAACTCCTTTGTAAACCTGAGCACCAACACTGTAAGAAGCAATGCGGAAATACTACTAAGAGGCGGCTACATGGAGCACCAGTCTTCATGCTCTGATCTGTGTTTTGTTTGTATCTTAAACAGAAAAATCAATGATGTTGCTGTTTACCTTTGTACAATTTGTCCTCAGCAAGCTAAATAGGTTTTAGTAAATAATATTCACTTAGAATTTGTAGAATTTTAATCTCTTGGTGTCCAGTCCAAATTTGTATTGTAAGTCCATTCTTTAAAATGTAAGTAGTTTTGATCAGAGAAGGGACTAAAGTTACCGAAGAAAAGGTTTTATTACTACTTTGATCAATATTTTATTTTTGTTGAAATCTGCCACTAGGAAAATAATTAAGAGAAAATCATTAGAAAATAGGATTACTAAATTTGAAATTAATGCAAGACATGTATAAACATGAAAATACTAAATGAGTCAAACTTTTAAAGTTTAAAGCAGTAAGATTGTTGTGAAATTGTAGTTGGTCTGTTCTTTTTTAATTTAAAAGAATAATTGTTTATATCGGTAAATGAAGCTGAGGCTCCCAACTATGTTTTCAGGCTTAGATCAGGTTTCATGCTGGCTGTGAGTTTTAGTTCTGTGATCTCAAGAATGTCTTTGTTGGTGAAGAAGATGAAGTTTAAAAAGCTGAGAAGGTTGGGAGAGAGATATTCTTTTAAACTGTAACTTTTGATGTCCAAGCCCAGTGCACTGACTTTACCGAGAACAACAATTTAAATAGCTTTATTTTAAATGCTCCTTTTCATCTTGAAAAGTTTGGCTCATTTACTAACCTGTCTTGTTTTTCATCAGATGTCAGATGTTTAGAAACAGCTTTCCTGTCCTCACTTGACCTGCATGAAAATTGAGTTATTGTCTTGTTTTCATACTTCCAGATCTAATTGATTTTTAAATGTGCCAAGAGATTTTTACAAAAGCAGATCTTGCATTATGGAAATTTTTATTCAAAGAGATACCTGAAGTGTCTTGATGAATGACCAGAGCCTTGTTTAAAATATTTTCTTTGGAAAATATTGCACTGTTGTAAGCTTCTTAGCTTGCTCTCCAAACCATTTTAAACAGATGGAGCTTGTTCTGAGCAGTTTCTCTGCTTAACAGACATACAGAATGACATATTAATGTCATTGCCAAGACAGAGCAAACAAAGTGTAACAACCAGATTTTCCAATGTTTTGTAAGTTGCCTTCACAGTGTAAGTCTTAAACCTGACAAATTACCACTTATGCCATAGAAAAGTCCTGTGCACCCATAAGATCACTGCCATATGATGGTGCTCATTTTACACGTGTTGTAAGCTTGGCTCAGTTTTGCTTGGTGGCGAATTTACCCTCAAGAACTAATAGTGCCTGAGTAAGCCTGCAGAGTCCTTCTTTTGACTTCAGTTGTGTAGCTGTCCCTGGTAACAGAAAGACTGCCTGCTGCAGGTTTGGCATAAAGTATTAAGAAAATACCTTCCTCAATCAAAATTTGGCAGGTTTGCAAATCTTGGAATACTTCATGTCACGAAGAAGAAAGTGTTTGAAACTCTGGAAACACGCATGATAGATGCTTGCAAGAAGGGGTACAACCCGGGACTCCTGGTGCATCCTGAACTCGGCTACCTGCAGGCAGAAGGATGTGGAGACAGACAGCTAACTGGTATGTAGAAATGATGGCCTGGTTTTAATTGGTCTTTTACTAAAAACAGATTGAGCTTCTGAAAACACAGGTTCTTGGGTAGGAAAACAGCCTATGGCTATGTGCATTAAGATCTGTTGTGCTGTTGATGTGTTTTAGGGAGTCTGAAACAAAGAGTCTTTGCTGTCAACAGACACATGAGAAGGGAGCAACTTCCTTCCATAGCTGCCTGTAGCCACCTCTGCACCTATATTCCATTGCTCTTAAGCTGTTTAATAAACCATAGAGTAATTTTGCATTATTGCAGCAAGACATGATATCCTTAATTAACTTAGGGACCTCCTTTCAGAATACTCTTTCCTTCAGCTTCATTGCACCCGTGTCCTTGTAAAACCTGTGGTCTGTGTTGCTTTCAGGTACTGTGTAAAGGAGCCATCCTTCTTTTTATCACTCTTAACACCGGGAATTCCAGTGGCCTTTGTCCTTTTTGCAACCATTATAAATTGAGAGCAGCAAATAGTAATTTTCTGTCTTTTAATTATATGCCTTAAGTAAGATCTGATGCACAAACTGCATTATGAGTGCAATATAATTGAATAGCTGCTCCTCTCTGCTTAAAAACAGAGAACCCGATGGGTACTAAGTGTAAAAGAACACATTTCCTCGCTGTTGGTGCCTTTTGATAGTAGTGTTTGTTCCATCTGTTTTGTTATGGGTCCCCTACCCCTTGTGTTACTTCATCTGTCTACTTGTCGGTTCCAGAACGAGAGAGAGAAATTATCCGCCAGGCAGCGATACAGCAGACTAAAGAAATGGATCTCAGTGTCGTGCGTCTCATGTTTACAGCCTTTCTTCCTGACAGTAATGGCAGTTTCACACGAAAACTTGATCCCGTTATATCAGATGCAATATATGACAGCAGTAAGTATATTTGGCTTTAGTTACTTTTTTAATAAGAGGCAGGCTTTTGTACGTACAAAAATGATGGGTAGATATTGCTATACATAGACTCATCTAACCCTGCTGCTTGCCTGTTATTTGATGAATAGCAGGTAAGCAGCCCATGGATAATTAGCCCCATGTCTGCCCGAGTACATATAGTATCATTCTGGTTTTTAATGGATGGTGATGTAAGCCACAGATGTTATTTTGTTGTTAGCATGTTTAATCCTGCCGCTTTTATTATGAGGATTTTGTAAATTCTTGTTGCATTTGTAAGAAGGGCTTGAATTTTGCGGTTTTCGGTTGCTTTTTGTGACAAAGTCTTGTCACACAGGATGTGAGGAAAAAATTACTTTGCTTCAAACTTTGTTGAGAATTTGACACCTTTCAGTTTTGCTGACCATCTGCTTGTCCTTGTTTTGAGAGACTAACATAACCAGAGTTCTCAATTCATTTCCTTTAAATCTGTCAGTGTTTTTTGTACTTCTGTTACATCCCTCTGTTTGTCCTTTTTTATAAGTGAATCTTTTCACTTCATGTTTTCCCTTGTGCTTTTCGATTATACTGACTCATTTTACCTGAATCCTTTCTGCTGCCTGAGTTTTCCTCCCTGAGGCTGTGGATTACCATGTTCCTGATAGTCATTCTGTAATGACTCAGAAAAAGTACCATTTTTTTCTTTTGCAACAGTCATGTCTATATCATTGCTTTTTAAGGGCAAAGTCTAGATGAAAAGGTATTAAATGCAACTATTCTACTATGTCTGTTCCTTGCTATTAATTGGGAAATGTAGTGATGTCAAAAATTTTTACTTTAACTAAGGAGACAAATAAAGGGGAAATTTTGTAAGTGTGTTTCTGCTGTTGTAAGTTGCTACACAGATGTCAGTTATTACTTTCTGATCTCCCAAGGGGAATTCTTGATTGTTAATTTCAGAAGATTTTTCTTGGGTTTTGTTTGTTGTATGTGTTTTTTCTAATACTCTTCTTTGGTACCATTCAAGCCTCTTTCACACAACAGACATAGCTTGTGGTAGCGTAACTGCCTGCCACAGCTGCTTTTACTTATCAGATGATAGTTCTGTCTGGAGGACCAATAGCTGTTTATTGATGCCTCTGCTAGGATCCGTGGAGGTGGGCTTTTTTATCACAGTCCAGTATACTGGCCAAAAACTGACATGCTTTCAAGTAAACCACAGTATAAAGCAAAGCATTGTATATAGTGAGATACAGAAAACAGCTCTCAAGAGTGTCAGGCTGTCAGAAAGCAGGGAAGAAAAAGCTATGTTCTCTTGTACTGCCCTTTTGTCATAAAATTAGTACTAGTGCAGGGTGCTGGATGCAGTTCACTGCTGAGCTACTTTGCTAGTGGAGTAATTATGGACCTTATTTTATACTTCATAGTTCAGTCAAAGCTTAGAGGATACAAGGTTATGCCTTTCATATGAAAAGCTGTTGATTTATTCATGTTTAAAAACACAGACAAATTTAAGTAGGTTGTATTGGAGGCTTGTCTTTCTATTGCATTTCTGTGTGTTTTGCTTGGGTTTTTTTTTTTTTGAAATCTTAAACTGTTATGAAGTTAAGCATTTTTTTTAATCTTCCCTTTCAACAGAAGCTCCCAATGCCTCCAACTTAAAAATTGTAAGAATGGACAGAACAGCAGGGTGTGTGACAGGAGGGGAAGAGATTTACCTTCTCTGTGACAAGGTTCAGAAAGGTAAGGGTCGTGAGTATTTTAAGATGCACCAGGGTGTTGATCTGGAGTACATGTGAAGCCTGCTGTGCTGCCTTAGTATTCTCCCACTCTGATACTGCAGCAGGATTTGTAAGCACTCAGCCTTTCTGGAAGTCAGGCCAGCAGTCCAATAAATTAATAAATCAAAATAGTCTATTGCAAACAAATTCAGCTTGTGTTGCCTCCATGGAGACCATGTGATCACCTTCGTTCTTCTCAAGAGTTTGCCCTTGCCTGTATTCTGGATTTTTTTGGGGGGTGATGGGTCCTGGGTGACATTTGACTCCATTAACTAACACCTGTTCTGAATTATTCTGAAGTTTATGATTTATCATTAAGTTCCTGATTATAAGGAGTAAGTATGAACATTCTCTATTGACCATGGATGGGAACTTAATGTGTTCAGCACTGCTGCTAGTAACTTCATTTTTATGTATATGCTAACAGTAGAGATTACTCTATGTAAACAAACTTCTCATAGGTTCATTTTCAGTCTCTGCTCATGGCTTTGAATGTGTCAGAATTTGGCAGTGTGGATTTGGATGCTTTGTTTATGTGTAGGGAGATAATGGTTAATATGGTTGATTTGTATTTGGGCTAAACTAAAAAGAAAAAAACATGAGAACGGGGGAAGTCCTTTGCATTTCTCAGGTATAGGTAGTACTTGAGACTCCCTGGTAGGTTGCATGGTAGAGTGGGTAACCTGTTCTCATCTGTTCGGAATCAGTTCTTGCACATGTTGTTAAAATCACACTGACATTTTCTGTTAAGGCGGGCTGTCATTTTCCATCTGTCTTTCTTGCAAATGCCCTTCTATGAATTAGGGAAGAGAGAGGGCTTTGGGGACTTCCAGGGACTTAGAAAAGAGATAGGGCTTTGGGGGCTTCTTAAAAGAAGGGACTTTGAAAAAACTATTTCCCTTCAGTAGTGTATCTACCCTTTGCCATCAGGGCTGAGATAAAACATAACTCTTGTGCACAAAATAAATAAATAAATGTCTGACTCAGTGGAAGCCCTGCGGTGGGGTTTCCCCTCAGCCAGATCGGGGTTTCCCCTGACCTCATTGCTTTCAGAAACCTCATGCCTGAAGGAACTTGAGCATGCAGGACAGCAGGACTGGAACTGGTGGTTCACAGTCTTGAGTCTAGCAGGTGTTGGATCAGAGGAAGCAGTCTGTCTGCTCCAGAAACCTGTACTGCATCAGTCACCTTAAGAGAGAATGGGCTTTTTCTGTTTTTTTTTTTTTCTTGCCAGGAGTGCCGAGAAAAGAATTTGCTAGTGTGACGTTTCTCAAATAAATATAAATAAATAAATACAAAGAGAATGAAAGAAATTTTGTTTAGAGGAGCAAAAGCCAAATGACGTGTTTCTGGCCTGTGCTGTTTGGAGGGTGAAGGATCGCTGCTGACATGCTGTTTGCTCACACCCTCGCCGCCTCTCCGGGCTGCAGCTCCAAAGTGGCACTCTGCCAGCAGCAAGCGGAACTTGAACTGTGGCACTTCAGGTTTTGCTACAGTTTTTTGAACTGAAACTGCTGGAGGAGAGAGGGTGGTTTCTACATTTCACGCTTCAAGTTCTCCCCTCCTTACATGTTGGTTTCAAATAAAGCTCCTCTGGAATGTTTTATAACCCTAGAATAGGAAGAGGTAGTGAACCTAGTTCTCTTTTCACAGCTCAGTAAGTAGCAACTTCAGTGAAATCATTACAATCAGGCTGACCTAACATTGGTGTCAAAAATGGGTTATTTCTGATGTTTTCATAAAATGGATAAAGCTAATTGATGTATTGTGTAATATTGTCATCCAGCCAAAAAGTAGATGTGTTGATTTTTATCTGAAATAAACTTAGCCAAAGGTTAAACAAATGCCCAAACATCCCAAAGTGTGCTTCTTTCATTCTGTGCAGATGATATTCAAATACGTTTCTATGAAGAGGATGAGAATGGTGGTATGTGGGAAGGCTTTGGAGATTTTTCTCCTACAGATGTACATAGACAGGTAAGTAACACAGCATTTGTCATTTGTTAATGATTTTCTCATCTCTGTAAACTAGGATTATATTATAGTTAGTAAATGAGGTGAAAGCATCTGTATCCTGTACTAATCTCTTCTTTGGCTGGTTACTTCCTAGTAACAATACAAACTTAACAGTTTAAAGACCTACATTAGGTAACTATGCAGGTTGAGAATACAATGCAAGGAAATTGGGAGATAGCACATGTGCTAGTGTAAATTGGGATACGATATATAAACAGCTCTGAGAGCTCCTGTGAACACAGTGATAAAGCCACAGAATAGATGCTAAATGATGAGGGGACAAACAGTGCAGTACTAACATATGTGATGGGGTGGTACTTTGCATGACAGTTGTGTCTTCCCCTAAAAGCTTTAGGACTCAACCTCAGGAGTGAAACTGAAAACTACAATGGAAGTTTATTGTTGTAACAGCCCTTTGCTACAACTTTTTGCCTCCCAAGCTGTAAACCAACTCCTACAAAACAGTGCAAACGTAAAAACAAAGTTGTCAAAACCCATGCTCCGTGATAGTTATCTTCCTATTGTTTCCTTCACAGTTTGCTATCGTGTTCAAAACCCCCAAGTATCGCGATGTCAATATCACAAAGCCGGCGTCTGTGTTTGTACAACTGCGGAGGAAATCGGATCTGGAAACAAGCGAACCAAAGCCTTTCCTCTACTACCCGGAAATTAAAGGTAATTCATTAAACCTGTTTTATATATTGGAAACAGAAACTAGGGTCCCTAGAAATGTTTTTAATAAGTTAAGACTTGCTGAATAAGGACTTTTTTTTTAGTTGTTGTTTTTAGAAAATATTATATTTGCCTCTTAATTTTGGGCAGAGCCAATATGTAATGGCTTTGTAGGTGTTTTTATTGGACTGGTAGGCAGTAAATCGACAAATATTTTCTGAGTGAGGCTCGCTCATGCACACATGCCTGTCTGTACGGTAGATGGCACTCTCTTCCTCTGAGTTTCTGCAAAATAATATCTGAGGGCATTTTACTGTCAGTAATTTCAGCTGAGACCTTAAACCAAAGATTGGTTGGTGTCTGGTAGAAAAGGTACATATTTTGCAGTTCTGACATTTTACCATCATGCCAAGTCACTGATCTTTTTGAATTTTCCGAGTAAGACCAAGACATTTCTTGTGAGAGCAGGGAAAGTGCTGTTGCAACCTCTTGTGTTTTAAATTTCAGTTACTTAGCGGAAGTAGAATAGTTGGTATTGGACCTGCTTCCTAAATTATTAGTGAAAAGAAGTTTAACTAGCAGATCTGTGCCCTTTTGAAGTCTACATTTGAAATGTTTGATGTGAATGGCAGGAGCAATCATGGTTTTAAATACCAATAATGTTAATGATATGGCAATGCCTTGAGGCCCAAGTCATAATTGCTGTTTCGTTTTATTAAGACAATCTTTCTGCTTAACAGTTTACCTGCCTGCAGGTTACACTATTAAGTTGTAATCTAGAATGTTTTCTATGCCTAACTTAGAGCTGTGTTAAAATCAGTTCCCTGTAAAAATCTCTAAAATATGTGTGTCTGAAAGCGTCAGTGGTAAGGGACTCAGGACAGCTGGAGAGGGAGAGATGGTGGTTGATGTCCAAGTGAGTCTACTTTACACCTGTTATAATAAAATAGAAGAAAACACGCATTCACAAAAGCTTCCAGAGTTACCAGAGGATTTCTTCTTGGTAATGATTTTAGGAACCTCTTGCGTAAGCATTATGGGAAGTGAAGTATACAACTGCAGAGCAAAGTTGCCAGATTTAAAGCAAACCGCTTTTATGTCTCTCAACGGAGTAAAATTAATTGAACATTATGTGCATTTTCAGATCCCCTATACAGCCTAATCATAAAATTACCATTTAGGAACATTTGTTACAAGTGTTCACACAAACTCAGACATATGTACGTGGCTTCTTTTGTTTGTTTCTCTGACTAGATTGCTCTCTAGAGTTTTCTGTCCTCGTCAGTGTGAGTATGCCTGATGTGTGCATGCATATGTACTTACAGATCATGTATGCCTGGGGATAATGCACGTGTATTTTTCAGTGTACTGTTTCATGTGTTCAGCTGTCTCATTGTGCCTGTGCATGAAATTTCTTTTTGTCATATGGCTATTGAAAACTACTAGATGGTTTAATAAACAGCTTATATTTTCTTCTTTCCTCAACAGTTCTACTGGATTTTAACCCATATAATGTTTGTATCCCTATTTTTCTAGCTCTTGTCATGACATTTTCACTTTTCCCAGTCACTGCAGTAGTCCTTTTAAATCTTTGTGTTTTGCTTTCCAGGGGGGCTAAGTCTTATTTTGAACTTACACTATAAAATACATTCAGGCATTTTTTTCTACTGCTGCCTAGCATGGTTTGACAGTATTATGTCCTGACTGAAAATAAGCTGTCGTTGTTCTAGGAGCTTTCATGCTATTTTAAGTAAATCATTTCAAACAAGCATGGTTTTCACCGTTTCTTGCCATCCCTTAAACAAAAGTTCAGAGGGCACTGCAGGTACCTCTGAATAAGGGTCCATTTCTCAAGTAGATTTGCTTAGTAGAAGAGCCTGTGCTTATATTCCCCAAAGACAAATTTTCTTGAACAAGTTTGTGGTTTGGGGCACTTGTGCTGATTTATGACTTGACTTAGACATTGAAGAATTTTGGGACCACTGATTGCTAGGGCTCTAAGTACACAAGATACTTTTGAAGGAATCTCTGAGCCCCCTAAGGCATCTCTGCGTGTGTCCCCTGCAGTCTGAGCACAAGGCACTGACACAACTGAGGAGACAACACAGGCCTCAGCTACGCTGCTGGTCTGACTGGGGACTTGGCACTAGCTTGTTTCTTGGAGTAATTCTCACTGCTCCAGTACATACAAAGTTAGGTTCTGTTATTTGGAGTTTGAAGAAAGTTGCTTCTTCTTACCACATTCTGCATTTTCCTTTCTAAAGTAGTAAACTGTAGTAATGCTTTCTGTATGCATGTCTGTGCTGTGCATGGCCAGCAGTAGGACTGACTCCCTCTCCTGTCTGTTCCTTCTATCCCAGATAAAGAAGAAGTGCAAAGGAAACGACAGAAGCTCATGCCTAACTTCTCTGATGGCTATGGTGGAGGCAGTGGCACCGGAGGTGGTGGCATGTATGGAGGGGGAGGTGGCGGTGCTGGCTCTGGTAAGGCAGTGGTTTTGGGTGAAGAGGGAAAAAGGGGTTCTACTTTGAGAGCAGGATAGATGTTTATTCTGATTTTTAAAATGTGGTGAGGATTTTGTCTCGTCCTTGGTAGATAAGGCTTGACTCTGTTGCCTTTATAATAGTGTCACTCAATTGAATCAAGCGTCTCCTTGTTTTCTAAACAGTTCGTCATCTCCTTTGCCTTCCTACTTTGGAAGCTTTGTTGCTTCCTAGGGCCTTGAAGGCACTGAAATTCATGAGACAGCTCAGTTAAGTACTGTATTGGATGCTGAAGATTAAACAGGTTCTGAATTATTTCTTGGACCACTTAGTGGTATTTGGCAAATCAACCCTGTTAGTGCAAAGAACTATTAAAAAATTTGAGATGCTGTTTAGTAAATTTTCTACAGTGCTCTATCTGTTGAAGTCGGAGTGTATCTGATATGCAGGATCATAAGAGCATTGCTTTGGTTCTTGCAGCAGAGCATTAAAAACCTATAGATCAGCAAATGTCATCTGAACAGCAACACTTTTTTTAGAGCAGAGAACAGAGCAGCAGTTTTCAAACTGTTACGTGTGTTGCCTGCAGCACATCTATAGCATAACACCAGAATACAAATCTGTTGTGGTCACAAAGATTCAGAAGCATAGAGGCAGCTTGTGATGTCTCTGCTGAGTTTTAGATGAAGCATATAGTGATATTACATTTGTGTGGTCTTACAAATATTGGGGTAGAGAGTGTCACTAGCCAATCACCTAGAATTTCTTTGGATTTTTGGAGATGTGGGGGAAAGCTCACCTTTAGCCTGGAAAATTTATTATAATCGGATGGAATAAAGCAGAAGGTGTGCAGAAAACAAAAATCCACTTCTTTAGCTTCACGTTCTCCTAGGTGGTGTTTTCATTGCTTTAGGATGTAATTCTGTTAATCTTCTTCCTTTCTTTAGGTTTCAGTTATCCTTCATATGGATACTCTGCTTTTGGAGGGATGCACTTCCACCCTGGCACAACAAAGTCGAATGCTGGAATGAAACATGGTAACAGTAAAAATGTCATTTTTCCAGAGTTGAATTGAGTTTGACCTTCTGTATTTCCTTCTACAGTATGAGCCCAAGTGTCATGCAGGTCTAGCTAAGTGATTACAATTATACTGCCCTGCTTCTCTTTTTTCCTCTCCAAATCTACCTTAACAGCTGTGTGCATGTTCCTCTTTACTTCTGACTCCTGAGAAGCAGTTGCCAAAACCCCTCCACGTGCTTCTGTATTCAGCGTATGTTTCGAGCAACAGCCCTTTTGCTTGCTTGAATGTGCTGATTACAGGTGACCCAAGGACTAGACCAGAGAAAATGTATCTTCCTTTGTTGCCACAGTCTGGTACTACACAGTAGCCCAGAGAAATCAGTGGAAAAGATTAAATTGTTAATAAGGACACTCTTGGCTTCCTATAATAGGAAAGTAATTTCAGATCTACATGTTGAATACTCTGTAGTTATTTCCACAGTCTCAGGGATGGACTTGCCGTTAGGAAAACAAAAATGAATATGAATAATTCTGCTAGATTTCCTGAGATAATTTCAGACTTACATTCTTGTACCATAAAAAGAGAGGTACATCTGTTGTAATATATGAAAGTTTATTTTTAAAGCAGAGACTGTCAAAAACATGACATAACTTCAGAGCAAGTTACATCACTATGCACATCCATGTGCATTGGCATCTGAAATTGTATGATTTATGAGTTTAATGATAACAGCTATGTTAAAGTAAATTTTTATATTGATTCTTCAGAGTTTGGTTTTGTCTAGTTGAACTTTATCATTTGCATTAAAAAAGCAACGGTATTGGACACTAACGATTCTAATTTTTGTTAGAAGGACTATCAAATAGCACAGCTGAACAAACCAGGAAGAGCTCTGATAAACAAAGTGACAAATGGGACATGAAACATGATGTGAAGGTGGAAACTGTGGAGAGGACTGCATGCAGAATGTCTGCTGATAATGAGGAGAAGGAGGATGCTGCTTCTTCCTGTAAAACTGAAGTAAATGAAGCAGATTTCAGGTGGCAGGGTAAGTGAACAAGTAAATGTATTTATTTAGGACTGCAGTAAGGGTAAAGCTAGTGTAAAAGGCTTGGAAACTCCATAAATGTCTGCTTGCTGTTTTCAGAACATGATAATGCCTCCTGGAGGAAACGGGAGGGATTCCCTTCCGCCAAATCTAAGGTCCCTCCCCATACATAGTTCTGTAGGTAAATCATTGTACTGCCACTGGGCACTTGAGCTTCTGCTTGTCATGCAAAGGAGATGAGACAGCTTATCCTGCTGGGCATGTTTAACACTGCATTTTTAATAAACCTGTATGAGGAACAGCCGCAAGCAGTGAAGGCACAAGGGATACAATTCAGCAGTTGACTTGGCTTTTGATATTTGATAGACTGTAATGGATGTGTAAATGGATGTTGGCAGTGATTGCAGAGAAGAACTACTGCAACAACACTGTTAAATCGCATGCAAAGTAGTGTTACAGGTTTGAATTTGAAATGAAAAGGTATCTTTTCCCATATGGCAAATTACCCAGTAAAATAACTGTTGGGTAGCAAAGTGTTATGTATCAAACAAAACAAGAGGAAGGCAAGAGTAGTCAATAGAAATGATTTAGCAGCAGAGTTGTAAAATATACAAAGACTACAAATCACCCTCTCCCAGAGCAAGACATCCTTTTCCTGGATTGTTTTTTAAAATAATTGATGGACACTTTTTTAAAGGAATTGAGTAATTGTGCTTATCGTAAAATAAAAACAACAGTTGGACTACAGAGACATGCTAGCAGTAGGAATTGAGCAGGAAGGAATGTTTTGTTCTTGGCTTTTACCAAGTGCAACATGATCTAGACCACTTTAGTTGTTCCTTGGATCAGGGAGAGGGCACGTTATCTTATGTGTATCAACCATGTATGGCACTTGCTATTAACAGCACTAGAAACCATGGCTTGGGAAACCAAAGTGGCATAATAGCTGGGTTGTAGTTGTAAAAACCTCCAAGGTGTAGTTTCTTGTGATCTGAGAACAGACGGTGCTCTTGAGAAAAGCTGAAGGAACTTGCTGTTTGCAGTTCTGGTTGTGATAAATCACGTGGCTGGTTCAGAGAGCAAAATGTTTTGCTGATATGAAGAACTAATAATGTCCATTTAGCAGTCATGAAGGAGAGGCCTCAACTGTTTACCTGTTTTCCGAGTAATGAATATTGTGGGCAGGAAGTTGACCTTGACCGTTTCTCTTCTGTATCTATTGTAATGGCATGAAAAGAGGCAACTTCTAGCTCCAGATTATATGAAGAATGGGTGCAGAAGAACAGGCTTCATGAAACAATTACTGTAGGCTAGATCATTTGGGTATTAGACTAAAAGATGCTTGTACTATTTTGAAGGATATTTTTTCTGTGTTTGATATGGAAAACCAGGGAGTTTCAGAATCTAGTTCATTGTTCTTTGGAAATGTCTAAATGAGAAAAGACCAAATTGCTTAACACCCTTTACCCTGACTATTTATCCTGAACATAACATCCATTTAATGCTATTATTTAGTGTAAAGAGGTAAATAGCAAATATGAATGTAGCAGCCCAGGCGTGCAGTGGAGCAGCCACAGTGGTGTATTGGCTGGAACAATAAGCTTCGTGGATAGCTGAGTAAGTCTTTGCCTTACAGAAATGGTGAATTCCTGTTCATCAGGGATACACTTCTGACCCAGTCTAAATGCCTGGTTTTGTGTAACTGGAAATCCTGGGTATTGTTTCCCCGTGTGTGCTTTAAATGACGAAGTCTGTTGTACTTGTTTGCTCTTAGTAATTTCCAACCTTATGAGGTTTTATGGAAACATGAAACTGTTCAAAATGCAGGGTGGTTTCAGATGATACTTCTCAAAATGATGACTGCAGTTTAAGAGTTCATCTGTTTCATTTTCACTAGTTTCTTGCTGATACAGAACCACAAAAGTATTGACAGAGCAGCCTGAGTTACTTTTTTTCCACAAATGAGTTTCTTTTCTCCCCTTTCTCCCTTTTGTCTCCCCATGACAACAAATTCTACTTTTTGAAATCTCAGCAGTTGTACATTTTATAAATCTAAAATCAGGATACTACAAATACTAAGCAGTGTAAAAACTGAAATGTTTAAAACAGGAGCTGTACTGCTGCTGTATAGCAGGAGAGACTGCATGATATGAGTCTGAGGAGCACAAAGCCCTGTGTTTATTTCATAGCTTTTCTGTGAGCATCTGTGTAATATTTGATGAGTCACTTAGGCTTCTTGTACCTCAGTTTTCTCAAGGCAAAACTACTCAGAACTGCATGAGAGGTTTTTTTTTAATTGCTCTATAGACAATAGTCAGAGGTAGCTTCCAGGGTTTGAGTGTTCTCAGGGTTCCTGCTGCCTGAATGCTCAGCATGCACCTAGTTTTGATTCCAAGGGACTCGGTTCCCTCTGTTCTTATCTCTCAGGAGTAATTAGTGAATCAGTGAATAATGCTTGGTGGTCTGCACTTTGTATTTCAAGGACAGCACAAATGCCTATTGAAAGAAGGTGGTGTTTCAAGGAAGAGAACCAAACTGATGAAGACAAAACTTTGTGTTGCAGATTCTCTGTTCCTGGAGAAGGCCATGCAGCTTGCCAAGCGTCACTGCAACGCTCTCTTTGATTATGCTGTGACTGGAGATGTGAAGATGCTGTTGTCTGCTCAGCGCCATCTCACCGCTGTCCAGGATGATAATGGAGACAAGTGAGTTGACCCCACTATGCTTACTGGGTTGAAACTGATGGTTTTAGTGGCAGAATGGTGTAGTCAATTTGTTCTGTCCCTTGTGTGTGCCAATCACAGATGGCAGCACTGCTCTCATCAAATGAGTATCTTTCTCCTTTGTGCTGTTTGGAAGAGGTACAGCTGTGATTTAGATGTTCTTGTTGCGTTTGCAAACAAGTTGTGCATACTACAAAGTTCATTGATCCAGTACCTGTCAGAAAGTACTCTGGTCACTGAGGGTATGTTGAGCATGTTGTGCATTTCTTTGCCATTTTTTACTTACCATCTTGACTGAGCATACACAATGGATGAGGATCCTCAGGTTGGTGCTGAAGGAGAGTGCCCTGCTTTTTATTCCATGCAAGTCCTTAAGTTTTTATAGGAAGCTTAAAGTAAGAGATTCACTGGGAGATACAGAAGCAATAGCTGGAGGGTCCATACTGCTTTTCTCCCACTGAAACCAACTTCCTCCCAGAGGACATTATTTTACTCTTGCTTACATCTATACTGTACTGTTGTCTTCCAAAGGATTGCACAGATATTTGTGGCAGACTTAGCTGGTAATATTTACTTATCAGTCCTTCAATAATGTGAGCTGGAGCAGAAATCCATTTTGTTCCTCTACAGCTATGCAGATTCTGTGGAACTCAGAGTGAAATACTGTGAGGAACTAATGATTAGTAGTTACTTAAAATGAAATTCAGCAGAAGCAGCTCTGAACATTTGCAAAGATAATCTCTGGTATAAGCAAGTGACTATCACATCCTCGCTTCTCAGCAGGCAGGCCTTGAGCAGGCCCTGTGCAATCACCAATATTTCCTTAAATTGTAGTATTTCATACAGTAGAAGCCACACAAGCCTTGAGGTGTCCAGCTAGAAGGAAAATTACAAGTGACTGAGACCTGTATCCCTGTTCGATTACTCTATGAGAGGTTACTACTTTCACTCCACTTTTGGTGAAAATAGGTCTCCGATTACACATAGAGGACTGCACAATCACAGAGAGCTACTTTACTCGCTTTGCTTTCCAATTGGCAACCTAATGTCTGCTTTGAGGAAAGCAGGAATATGAAAGAGGCAGGAGCTAGCAACAAAATCTGCCAGCACTTTGGACAACACAGCTTCTGTGTTTAAAATGAAACAAGGGGGATAGAGGAGTATTGAGCAAGTAGGACCTGCATTTAAATATCAGTAAGCTGCCCCTCAGATTTGGACTTGCAGAGCATTTCAACTAAATCAAAATACTTTTCAGAATGATGATAAATAGTTGTTTTCTTCCTGAATCAGGAAGTATCGGCAAGCTCAAGTTCATGTTGCCTTTCTCCTGGGATGGATTTTAGTCTGTGATCACATCATACATCTGTTTTACTCCATTTTTAAAAAGAGAAGCTTTGGTGACTGTCTTCCATCTCTCTCGGAGGGGGGGGAAGGTTAAAAATTATAAATAAATTTCCCTGACTTTCACTTTAATCATTAAAATTATATGGCAACAAATAGAAAATTTTTGCTTAAGCCTTAAAAAAATGTTGCTATCAACAGTTTTGCTCATCTTTCATCAAAGCAGTATGCAGGGAATGAAAATACCTTTAGTGGGCCTTGTGTTGTGTTTCATGGCCTTGAGACAGAACACAGTAATCTGTGAGTAGAGTATGTTTACAAGACACTCAGTAACACCAGCTGTGACTGCATTTGTACCAATACCACTCCTCTGCAGATACCTGATGGCTCCACAGGAATGCAGAAATGCATGTTTTCATGTAGGACTGTTTAAGAAATGGAACTGACTGCCCTTTTGTGGTCTGTTCAGCATGTCTTTACAGTATCACATGTAGAGGCAGGGTAAAATTAAAATACTTGCTGCAGAAAAGAGAATTAAAAGCAGTAGAAGAGCATATGTATTTCTGAAGTGAGATTTGGAAATAAAATGTCAGCATAGTAAGAAGCATCTCCCAGAGAGCAGAGGAACAGCTCTTTTCCAGTAACGATTGGTCTGTTTGAACAGCACGGGAGACTTGGAGGTAAAGTGCCATGGTACTGCCTATGGCAGTGTCTAGAACCAATAAAAAGGGCCCTGCAGAGTTGAATTTGGTTTGTAAATTATATTTTTTCCTTTGTGCTCTCAGTCTCAATTTCAAGATCACTCTATGCCCTTCGTGGCATGGAACTTCTTTTTATTTTTCTGATGAAAGTGTAAATCTGAGACTATTCAGGTATTTCTGGAGCAGCATAACAGACACACCACGTTCCATGTTGATATTGTGTGTCAGCAGCAATATGCTAAACAGATGAGTCTAGAAGCTGCCCAGCACCTGCTAAAGAAGAGCTTGGCAGGATATGTTTAAAAACAAAGAGCATGACTTCCAAATGAAGTCTCAAGGGAACAAGAAATATAGTGCTCTGTCGGACAGGGGTGATGGGATTCAAAACCTGCTTTTTTCTTGGTGTCATTTTGCTGCTCTGGGTAGTGGTGAGGGACCTGCACTGGAGAAGAGCACTGGAAAGGCCATTGCATTAACCCAGTAGAAGTGTCTCGCTATGCAGTCACTGATGTCCCAAAACAGGGTTTTTTTTGGCATGACGTCTGTGGCCACTGCTGTAAACCTTGTGGTTGTTAGTCACCAGGCCTGAGTCCTTAGTCAGTTTTCTGTTTGAAAGTGAAGGAAAGGAAAACCCACAGATCTGGCTGGGGAAACCCCAAGGGAAAATCTGCTTTGGAGGCAGAGGGGCCTGTGGAAATTCTGCAGGAAGCTTTTGACAGTGAGAGGTGTTCATCTGCTGCATAATTCAAAATATAAAAAAACAAATGAGCAAAGAATCTGGGGATTTTCTGAAGCAACTGTTTTGTGCTACTGATTTTGTATATTAGACTAGAAGTAAAGTTATGCTCAGGGCCAGCAGAAGCTATTCTGAGTTTGCTTTTGTGATTGAAAGGTAAACAGTTACCTTCTGACTTGCTTTTTTTTAATGTCGGGGCTCATTTTAAGTGCTAATATTTAGTGCTGGAATCATTACCTCTAATAGTCAAGTGTTTGTCAGAATTCAGTCAGATCTACAGCAAAGCCTTGAAATTTTTATAATAAATTTGAAAACAGTGTGAATTTGTTAATCTGTTTTTTGTTTGTTTCAGTGTCCTTCATTTAGCAATTATCCACCTTCATAGTGAGCTGGTGAAAAACCTCTTGGAAGTGATGCCGGATTTGAATTATGATGACATCATTAACATGAGAAATGACCTCTATCAGGTGGGCAATTGTGGTGGTACAAGTGCTGCTGATTGTGTAGCCAGTAAAAAAGAAATTTCTTCTGTGGGAAAGACCCGAGATCTGACAATTCAAACAAGTTTAGAAACACAATGACATATATTGTAAGGCAGTGGAGGAACCAGAGCCTGTTTTCATAAGCTTAGTCCATAACTCCACTTGATGTTAACAGAAGTGTCTCCATGGGTTAATTGTAGAATAGGCCAAAAATGGTAAATTCTTCAGTTCATGTCTTCAGTATTTGGCTTCTCTGTTCCTAAACCAGTGGTATGGATTACACTGTGCCAGCTCTGGGCTCTTTTGACCTTTTAATGTAGGTTAATTCAGGATCATGAGCCAGTTGCTGCATCATCAGTTATTTATAGGCACATGAAGCCATAGTAACCTATTCCTTTCCTACAGCCCAGATTGTATTTGTGTCCATCACATGAGCACCAAGGATTTCCCTTTTTATTTCTAGATTCGTATTATAGTAAAACCAAAAAAATAAGCCCGTTTCCATGTCTTTTACCTTGGAGGAAAAGAACTCTTAACTGCCAGGCACAATTCTGTCTCCTCTGCTTCATCTATGACAGTCTGAGCTGTTTGTATTATAACTCAGGTTTTAAAAAGAGCTGTGGGAACCTGCCGGAAAAGGAATCTCTTCTAAAGAGACTGTGTGCACCATTTGGCTGTCACATAGGTAGCCAGCTGGATGTTACACAGCAGCACTCTGACACTTGTGTTGTTTGTTTTGCTGTCAACAGTAAAGGCAGGGTTTTTTTCTATACAGATAGTCCCAGAAGGTTTGACTCTTGTTTTCTTTCACATTTCATTTCTGTGTTCATATAAGGCAAGTTTGAAATGTGGAGGCTGATCAAAGCAAGCAGAAGATTCTGAATTGAGTTCTGTGCCCTCTGTTTAACAGAAACCAGAAGCAAAGCTGTGCTCCACACAAGAAATAAATCCTTGACTACCAGGACCTCTACAGTTCTTCCTTCCTTCAACTTATACCTTAAACCAGTGATGGGAGAGAATGTAGGCTTGGGCTAGAATTTTCCTTCTGTACAGATATTCTGAAAGCTGAATTGTACATGTACCCTATAGATGCAGTAATTAATTGCAAATGTGTTGACAAATCTATTGACAAACACAAGCTTATTGTGCAAAGCTGGAATTAGTCTTTTTTTAATAGTCCTCTGTTAATATAAACATAATTGTCTGGAGATGGACTCTTGTGTAATTTTTAGATTATTTTAATATTGGAAATATGATTTCCCAAGCCTTACTAGAATGCTTACTGTTTAAATACATGCAGTATGTTCAACATGCTGCTGCTCACTAACAAGACTGACAAGAATGCAGTATGCAGTCAGCCTTTGGAAGTTCTCGAGACCTCTCAGCCCGAGAGCCACTCGGTGCTGCAGGTGTCTGTCCCAAAAACTGGGGGACGTGCAAATAAGATCAGCCAGCTCGACACACGGTGTGTAACTGAACGGTTGTTCTGCACTTCCACAAATGCACAGAACTGCAGGATTTTCTTCTTTCCTGTGCAGCCATTTTGAGGGATAAGGAGCTCCTAAGCCTATGGCTGCAAACCTCTGATTCAGGAGCAAAATGAGAGCATGGTTCAGTGGTAAAGGCAGATCTGAGCAGGGCCTGGAAAGTGCGTGTGCTCCAGCCATGGCACGAACTTGGTGATGGGGCAGCTGGAAGCAGGGTTACAGTGTCTGGGGGGTGCAGGGATTATCTCATTTCCCAAGTCCCTTACACTGCAATGCTCAAATAGCCAGGTCAGTGCCCTGGCTTATAGAGTAGGCAACATCTTTGTTCCTCCCAAAGTCCAACTGCTGACACTGGCAAGGCAGCTTTTATTTCCAGTAAGTAGAAACCCTATTTGTAGTATTCAGTAGAAAAGAATGTACACATATGCAAGCTTTTAGTTTCTGTTAGCTTTGGAGTGGTGTAACATCTCCTCACACTAGAAGCCTTTATGGGTTTCACAGATTTCTGTAGAAGTGATGTAGCTGTTGCTTATCTTCTCATGGCTTGCTTCTGTCTCTTCTAGACCCCCTTGCACCTGGCAGTAATCACAAAGCAGGCAGAGGTGGTAGAAGACTTGCTGAGGGCTGGAGCAGATGTCAGCCTCCTGGATCGCCATGGTAATTCTGTCTTACATTTAGCTGCTACTGAAGGAGACGACAAGATCTTGAGTCTGCTCCTCAAGCATGAGAAGATATCTCCGATGGTCAACCTTTCCAATGGTGAAGGTATGGAAAGATAAGGGCTCTATTTTACACTTAGTTACTAGACAAATACGCCCCAATTCCTGCCCCTGCCAACACCATGACTACACAGGTAGATACAGACCTTGAAATTAGCATCTTTCCCCATTTTGCATATGCCTGCAGGCACAGATAAGAGAACACACATGTGTTGGTTTTCTGGTTATGCAGAACAGAAAGATGTAATGGCCACATGACATAGTGTGGATTTGAATTTTTGTTACTCTATATTCTCTTCAATCTCACAAAACTTCAAGCACTGTGTTCCTCCCGAGATACCTTATGCCACCACTGGTTTAAAAAAAAAAATCCCCCTAGAAGAAAACGTTTCCTCTTTTCTAGTGAATGAATCCCCTCAAAAATAGGTTCTGGACCAGTCTTGAGTTCTGTATGTGGCACTTTGTGACCATACAGAACTAGAGCCTACAAATTAACCACAAAGAGACAGTTCTTCCATTTCTCATTGGCACAGGGGATTTGAATTTAGTACTCCTTCTCTAGTAGATTGTAAAATGTCTGACCTAAAAATCTCATTATGGGATTCAAAAAATGGTGTTAAGTTCCTCAGAGAGAAAGAATTTTTTTTATTTGGTTGGATGTTGTTTGGTTGATTGATTTTTAAATACAAGGCTTTACGATCTAGTGCAGGTAATCTTGAGATGGTAAGGCAGTGTGACCTTACAGGAGGATGATATTAAAATATACCAATTATTCCCCAGACTGTTTCTAGAAGAGATGTTCAGTAGCAGATGAGGCCAATGTGGGGTACGTACTTGTTTAGCACCAAGATGCATGTTTTATTTTTGAGGCTACTCTCTGTTGAGGCAAAGAGATGCTCTAGGTGAGTTCTGTAGTTCATGCCTTCTGTTCCACCTTGTAGTCTGCTGGGGTTCTTTTTCTTGCGTGGTTTTGACTCACCACCATTAACACAACTAGTTCCAATTTATGCACAAAGAACATTTTTATCAACATCATTAACATGATCCTGAGCCTCCACCTAGAGTGCTACTTTAGGCTCTGGGACCCTCAGCATACAAAGAACACAGGCTTGTTACAGTGGGTCCAGGGGAGGCCATGAAGATGCTCAGGGGGCTGGAGCACCTCTCCACTGCAGACAGGCTGAGAGAGCTGGGGCTGTTCAGCTTGGAGAGGAGCAGGCTCCAGGGAGGCCTCATTGCAGCTTTCCAGTGCCTTTTAAAGGGGACCTATAGGAAAGCTGGAGAGGGACTTTTTACAAGGGCGTTTAGTGACAGGACAAAGGGGAATGGTCTCAAACTGATGGGAGGGTAGGTTTAGATTAGATACGAGGAAGAAATTCTTTACTATGAAGGTGGTGAGGCACTGGAATAGGTTGCCCAGAGAAGTTGTGGATGCCTCATCCCTGGCCAGGTTGGAAGCAGCTTTGGGCAACCTCGCCTAGGGGAGGTGTCCCTGCCCGTGGCAGGAGGTGGGTGGAACTAGATGATCTTTGAAGTCCTTTCCAACCCAAACAATTCTATGATTCCATCATCTTTTAGTGTATAAGCAGGCAAAATATGTTACTTCTGCTCAGATAACTACAGAAACTCTAACTTATTTTACAATTCTCATAGATGCGGACACTTCAAAACTCATTACTCTGACATTTCTGAATTTTTCAAATATTAATGCACATGGACACATGCACAATATTAATGGTTGGGATTTATTTTGTGTAGGTCTCTGTGCAATTCACATGGTGGTGATGGCAAACAGTATGTCCTGCCTCAAACAGCTGATTGCTGCTGGAGTTAATGTCAATTCTCAGGAACAAAAATCTGGACGAACTGCATTGCATTTGGCTGTTGAACAAGAGAACATCCCTTTGGCAGGCTACCTTTTGCTTGAGGTAAGGGCAGAATTTCTTTCTTCCAGGTCTTTCCAACTATATATTTAAATACTCTGGACACTCCTTCAGTGCTTCAGAGGAACAGAAAGGGGGGTTCCTGTTTATTGACTAGATTACTTAAATTAGCATAATGGCAAAATTATTGGTAATGTTATTCATGGTTTTGTTCAGCACTGCTGGTGAACCTTTTGGCCAAGCTGAGGGATTTACAGTGACCCTGACCTGACTGCATATGCCATGTTTACTTTGCACTGAGTAATCCTGGCAGCCAATGAAGTTACTCACGAACAAGTTCATCACTACTTCTGTATGTAGTTGAATGTGTATAGAGAGATGTCCATAGAGATATAGTTGTGCATATCTCTAAGTATTTGACTCATCTCTTTAACACCTTGATCCTGGTGTCCTTAATTCTACACACCTCCTGCTGCTGTAGCTCTCCTTGGTGTTGGTGTATGGATTATGCCACCAGCCTGGCTGCTCTTCTGAAGAGCAGCAGGAAGGCAGATTTCTGTGCACACCATTCACACTCCAAAGGCCAAGGGTAATCACATGGCAGAACTATTACATGGGATGCAAAGTGGCTTTTATGTACCTGGCCTATTTGGATTTACACTGCGCCTCCTGCTGTAACGCTGGAGACCATCTGCTCCTCCATGCAGGCAGTTGTAGTTACTCTCTAATTATTTCTTTTCAGACATGAGTTTTTATGCAAACAGGCGTGGAAGGTGCTTCCCATGCTTATGCAGACGTGAGCCTCTGCAGCTCTATGGTATAGATTTCTTTTCTTTTTGTCATTCAATAAAAACCTAGGGTGATGCAGATGTGGACAGCACTACATATGATGGGACAACTCCACTTCACATAGCAGCTGGAAGGGGCTCTGCAAAACTGACAGCAGTTCTCAAAGCAGCAGGTATGAAAATAGATCATTGCTGGAGAGTTTTCTTTCACAGTGACCAAAATTCAAGTTAGAAGGCTGCAAGCAGAAAAGAATGTGCCAGTGGACTTTAATGAGTGGAGGAAGTCAGATGTTAAAAGCCTGAAGGTCTGAATTTCCTCAGAAAGTCCGACTTTGAGGTGCTTTACTAACCACTCTTCAGCACCATCTAATGGCTAAAAAGGCAAATTATGTTGGTCAAGAAAAATCTCTTGAGCCATCTTGGAAGTTTTTTGAATATTTCTTGTGTAGCTTTTACAGCTGAAGAAGTGGAGAAGAGACCTTGTTATAGCTGGGATAAGTGTTGGACTGCTTTAGAAACAAAAATAACCCCATCACTGAAACATGAGCTTGTTACTGTCTCCTATTTTAGGTCACTTTAGAAGAATTAGATTTGAATATTTATTGGAACATTTTTTTCCCCTCTTTATATTGGAGAATAGCACTACACAGAGATGTGACAGCATTTAAATGTAATTTTAAAAAGAGTTATTTGCTGGCTTAATATAAAATATCATTTAGCTGGAGTAAATAAATTAGCTGTTTTGCCATTCAGAAATTAGAATGCATATTTTCAATATTGTTGAAAAGCAACTCAAAGCCTTTTTTCTTACTTTTTTTTTGCACACTTGTTTTTCAGGTGCAAATCCTCACATTGAGAACTTTGAGCCATTGTTTGATCTAGATGATGTGAAAGATGCTGAAGATGATGATGAAGGGATTGTGCCTGGAACAACACCACTGGATATGGCAGCCAGCTGTGAGGTATGTGGTCTGTTTTTTCTGTTTAGAAATAAAAACAGAAAAAAACCCACCAATCATCAAGAACAGTTCAGATCTCTTAGCTAGCTCCTTTCACTGCATCCATCTCACTATTTCAGTAGAGACAAGCAAATAATTTGCCATCAAAAATTAAACTAATTCAGCCACAAAACTCCCCCAATGAAATAACATTGGAAGAAAGCTCCACTTAACAGACTACTGAACCTCAGAGAGGAAAAAATGCTGATTTACAGATGGAATTAGGTACAATACTGCTGAGACTTGTCAAGATAATGGATACTAACAAGGTTTCTGCTAAATACTGAATTTAATGTATTCTCTTAGGTGTATGACATATTAAATGGGAAACCCTACCAGTCAACAGAGGTTTTGGAGGACTTGCTGACACGAGGTAACATCTATAAAGACTTGACAATATCCCTCTAGTAATTGAATTCTCAAACCATAGTGGCAGAAGCCATTGCCCTGCAATAGCTTGTAACTGAACTGGTGAGGGAGAAGAGGTACCTTCCCAACCACTTGCTCTCAGAATGAGCATGATTCCCTTAAGAGGCCATAAGGACACAAAGGAATACATTTTCAATATCACAACAATACATTTATAAACACTGGGACTGGATGCTAATATACTCTTCAGTTTAGTTTTGTTTCTGCTTAGAAATGAACTGGTGCATGATTTGTGTAAATAATAAACTAACATATTTCTTTGTTCGCCAGGAAACTTGAGAGAGCTGAATGAAAGTTCCAAGATGCAGCTTTACAAACTGTTGGAATTGCCTGATCCTACCAAAAACTGGTCCACTCTAGCACAAAAACTGGGTCTTGGCATACTTAATAATGCCTTCAGGTTGAGCCCTTCTCCATCGAAAACTCTGCTAGATAACTATGAGGTAACGTGGCTGTAACAAGTTATAAAGAACATTCAGACGTGTAGAGAACATTGTCCTCCTGGACAGTGAGGAGCCCTTCAGTTCTAGCCAGCCTAGAGGATGGTGAGCATCTGGTCTCTTCTCTCTTAGGTCTCTGGTGGTACAGTTCAGGAGTTGATCGCTGCTTTGAGACAGATGAATCACACAGAAGCCATTGAAGTAATTCAGGAAGCACTATCCATCTCACACAGCCCATCTCACCTGGAGAAGAGTACAGCAAAAGCTCTTCCGTCGTCATCACCACTCACCTTTGCAAATGGAGAGACAGGTAAAATTGACAACAAAATACTAAGAGCTTTATTTAAGATGTTTTTTCAATTCTCCCACCCCACCTTGGACTGATGATAGATTTTGTATTTCCTCACATACAATGCCTCAGCTGCCTACCTGTTTCAGAAATATTTTACTGCAACGTGACTTTCTTATCATAGATATTTGCTAGGCCTAGAAGAGAGAGGAAAAATGGACCATTTGAATCAGCATGCCTGCATCACAGTATTGAATATACTGCCTCCCTTTTCTAAAACCAGACACTTACTATTTGCTGATTGTAATGCCATGAATGTACCAGGAAAAGTTTCAAAAGATAAACTAGGCAATGACTTCCCAGGCATGTACAAGTGCCGTTAGCTTTTGACTTTTTTCTCCCCCCTCATATCTGGATACACAAAAATGTTTTGGGCACATAAACTTCTCCATAAGACTTCGGTATTAAATATCTCTTTCTACAGTGTGTAGCACTCCAAAATGTCCCAGTGTTCTGTAGGCAGAGAAATGGCTTAGATTACACAGGACCACAAGCAGTCTTGCTGTCAACTACCTGCTCAGAGCAGGGCCAGTATAAATATTACAGGGGTTTGTCCATGTCATGTCCAGTTGAGTTCTGAGCATCTTCAATGAGGGAAGTCCTACAGTGTTTCTGGGCAAGCGACTCTGCTAACACAAAAACAGAGGTTGTGAGAAGTCAATAAGTCATCAGGGATATTCAGTCATTGCCTGGCCATTTTAAGTAAAAAAAACCTTTGTTTTTTACTGTTAAAACACTAGTAATGCTGCCTGTATGTGAAAATACTGTAGATATTTCTGGAAAGGAAAAAAAAGGAAAACCGCAGTCACTCCATTCTAATCTAATGTTGCCAGTTTACTCTACGGAAAACAGTTTGTTCAGTCATGGAAAGAACCTTCACACCTACCCAAAAATGTGCTTGTACACATATTACACCTTTAGATTAATCTTGAAGGGTAAGAGGGGTTCTGCTCCTTTACAACATGAATGGACTGCATCACATCATTTATTTTAAGGTGTTTGTTTAGAAAAATAAGATTGAACTCTAATATGCCAACCACTTGGACATCGATTCCTCACAGTCAGGCACTCCTTTTGTGAATAGTGCACAGGTGATGGCTGCTACTGACTTGTTCATATTCCAGGTTCACTTACTAGATGAAAATTGTTCAAATATTTGTCTCAAAAAGAAATCTGTAGGTTAAAATAACATGAGAAAGTTTTAGGAGCTTCATCCTGGAGCTGTACATTTGCTCAGAGCCTGAATCTGAGAACCAGAGAACCTTTTGACACCTGGCAGAGTCCTGACCAATGTGCAGTGACAACATCAGTGTCAGCAGAGCACCAGGCTTCTCATCCTGTCTAAGCTCCAACTGCAAGCTGATCTCTGCCAGCAATATGTCGGATCACATGCTTTGGTGGCCTGAAAACATTCAGCACAGCTTTTCCTAAAATAATACCTCGTATTAGAATCATTTTCCTACAGAAGAGCTTTGACCCTGTTGATTTGCATTCCTTAGGCTTTTCTGAAAGCAGCATTACTCAAGCCACACATATTTCCCTTTTCTCTCTCCCTCAGGTGAGCTTTATAACAGCAAATTTCAAGACAACGAAAGCACGTGTGACAGTGGTGTGGAGACCTCGTTCCGCAAACTGAGTTTTACTTATTCAGACTCTCTGAACAGCAAGTCATCACTAACACTGAGCAAAATGGCCCTGGGCTACAGACATGAAAGTTCAGTCCAAAGCAATTATATAGCCGAATAGTAATGTTTAATTAGCAATATGCAGTTACAGGAACAAATGCAACATTAAAAATTATATCAGTGTCGTCCTGGTCAGAGGGAAGTGAATTCACAGCCAAAAGTGCACTGGAAGAATCCCACCCGAACCAGAAGCAATGGCAGCTTCAGCATGCAACTCCTAGACACTGCTTCCTTCCTCAAGTACATTTAATTTTACTCATTTACAAGCCATATACAATAACCAGGGCTCTACTGCCACATTAATACACAGGACTGGACGCTGTGAAAGACCGACTGAGCTTTTCTGGGTTGTGAGGATTTTCTTTTACAGATGAAAGTCACTCCTTAAAGCATAATACGAACTCAAAAAAGAGGTAAGGCACACAGAGCAATCAAAGGATACAGTTTCTAGCTCGTCTCTTCATAATTTTTGCAGCACAGTTGCACGAAAAAAGCTCCTAATATAGCTGGCAAAGAAAAATCATTAATCATAACAGTGACAATTCAGAGAAAAAAGAAAATCCTAAAAAAAGAATCTTGTATATTTCAAATAATGTATTTAAATTTCACTTTGGTGCCTCTTATTCAAAATCTTTTTCCAGTTTGGCATTTTCCTACTTGTAAATAGTTTTTTTATATCTGTTCCTGTTTGAAAAAGTGGGCTTTTTAAATGCTTATTTTTATTTTACTTTTATAATAAAACCCTAAAATTAATTCTCTTGTCTATGCTTGCTGTGATTTTTACATATCTTTCAAGTAGAGTTATTGAAGATTTAGCATTTCAGTTTTAGTCACTGATAGAAGAGCATGCTGATTTCCAAATACTAAAATAAATAAAGGGTTGCAAGCCACCTGTCTTAAAGCTTGAAGCATCTTTTTTGGTGGGAGAGCAGGAGCATCAGCAACTGCTAAGCAGCTGTGCTTTGTGCTTTGGAATTAAAGCCTCTGCCTTGTTTCAGTTCTCATAATTATGGCAGCAGAATGTTCATTTACACTGAAACCAACTATTTAGTGTCTCAGCAAAACTGATGAGACAGTTCTCCTTTAGGCTATCTAGAAACTCCTGTAATAACTGTGCTCATGAGCAATGTTTCTTGTTTCACATTAATTCTGAGATAGTGAGTGTAACTGTTACTGATGTTGGCCCAACTAAAAGTACAGAGCAGGTATCAGATTTCATGATGAAAAAGCAACCAGCAGCATTGTACCATTGTCACTCACTTGTAGCCAGTTTTCGTGGTGCAAAGATGGAGATTTGACAGGGTTGCTCTTGGCTCAGTTCAGTCTTCAGTAACCTTGGTGTCACTCCTGAGAAAATGAATAAAGATAAACCTTGAGAATGGCTACATTTAGAGCAGTAGTTGCTGTAATGAATTAAACCATAAGTAATGAAAAAACCTTGTGAACTAATTTTATATCCAGCTGAATTACTATTTTAATTACTTTCAGGGAAACATGATGAATAATAGTAAGAATGCCATTCTTTCTTTCAGTTATTGTATGTATAACCTGCATATGCAGCATCTAAGGCATAAGGATTTTTGTTCAATTAATGTACTTGGCTAATAGAAACAGGCAAAAGTTCTCATACTCTGAGGGTGGAGGGGCTTTCTGAACCCCAGATGAGCTGCTGTCCAACTCAGGGAGCTGGCAGAGATTTTTATTGAGGTTTCTACAATCCTACAGGTCACCAGTGCACCCTGACTGTTGATTCACGCTTTTTAGCCTCAGTTCTGACCAGCTCTGCTTTTAAACCACCAGAAGACACCTGGGCCTATATTTCCTTAAGCACTTAATGACCAAATGCTGTATAATAGCTATTCATCAGGTTAGTGATCATGCAATGAACAGCAGGTCCCCTAGGCCCTGTGTATTGAAGTGCTTTAAATGGCAGTCTGGCAGCTTTTTTCCTTGCAGCATCTCAGTTTCAGTATATTTAACAAAAGACACTTTGGTCCTTTTATTTTTTTCCCCTCTTTGTTTAGAGATAGAAAAAAGCTTAATTTTAAAAGTGTTCTCAGTAATTCAAACTGGAACACTAAATTTCTACAGTTGAGTCACATAATAGGACAACTTTTCCCATCTGTATAAACCCTCTGCATCTTCCACACAGTCTGTTAGAACTAGGCAAGAGGAGGAGATAGAACACAGCACCTCGTGTAGGACACACTACAGAAAGTGGCAGGACATCTACTAGGAGACATTTGTGTCTGATGTAGTTCCATTTGGCAGAGCAAACCTGCTGGAGAGCCTAGTGTTTATTGCAAGCAGCTCAGTTAAAACACTAAAACACACAACTGTGCTCTTCTGCTCGACCTTTTTTCTTAGTAGTAGTGGTCATCCTGTACAGGGCACACTGATTCTTGCACTGATGGCACCTGGAAGAAGGTCAGGCTCCTTGCAGGTGTGAGGATGAAGGCAACATACATACAGAGGAATGAGGCTTAGCAAGAGACAGTGTGACACAGACAAGTTTTGAACATTTAAAGCAAATGTGTTCGCATCAGGGAACTGTCAAGATGTATTTATCGACCACATCATCGTATCTGCTCACCTCAAACAGATATTCATCCTTACACCTCCTTGCCAAGAAAGATAGTGCCATTCCTATTTCACAAGTGTGATAGAATAAACTACAGCTACAGTCCTGCAAGAATCCAGAAATCAGCTGCCTGAGAGCTCCTGTCTACACCTGGCTTATAGAGGGAAACATTTCTCACAGAGTAGTAATGGTGTAACTTAGGCTTAATGGTTTCATTCAGCACAGCAAGTTAGCATGAGGACCTCACTACACATTGTAGCACAGGATGTTGTCCCCATTCTATTCCATGGTACCCTGAGGAAACAAAACTGAGAAGTCTATTATTCACTAAGTTCTCAAAAGTCAGGAATAAGTTTGGGTTTTTTTAAGATATGTGCAGAAACAAGAAGAAACACCCAACAACCTGTCAAACTCAAGAGCAGGGTTTCTCTGCGCTGTGGCTGGATGAGCAGTTCTGACTAGGCCTATTCCACAGTGGGCTCTTCTTGTGCACTGCATCACACTGCAAGCAGCCTGGTGCCTATTTCCATTAGTAATTAAAGCACTGAAGTTGAAGGTATGAGCAAAAATCATTAACCAGCAACCTCGAATTGATCCTTAAAAGCTGGTTTCATGGGTTTGTTCTTTTGAGTTCTAATCAAGCTTCTTCTCACTTTGACAGTAATGGCACAGATTTACCTGCAACACTTGAAATATTCAAATGGTTCAGTATTAAAAGAAGAAAGATTATGTAATTAAGCTTTTTTCCACCCTGGAATGTAACCTTCGGGCATTCTCAGTTTTAGTATTAAATTTTAACTTACTTACAGTGAGGATCAAAATCTGAAATAATTCTAAACTTAATCTGCATTTGCAGTGGAATGGAGCCTGCTTCACTATTTTGCTACTGTACTGCAGTAATAAACATCAGAAACTTGTGGAATGCAGCAAAAGTTGTGACAACAGATCACTATGGATCTTCTCTACATTTGATGTAAAGTGGATTATTCAGAAAGTTAAACTGCCCTTGATTTTATATTGGCTACCACAGCTGTAAGTTTCTTGGCATCATATTTGGGTGTATTTACAAACTTGGAAATCAGTGTGGTAGTGGGAAGTTCTAGGAAGCATTCTGAAATTTTGTGGACTGCAGGAAGGATAAGAATGTTACCTACCTGTGCTGGTGTATAAAGCCTCTTTTTTCCCTTGTCTGGGCAAGTAAAATGCTTTTTTCCAACATTTTAAGAAAAAGAACCACTGTCCTTGCTTCCTCCAAGTGACAGGAATGGTACTGCCGATTTGTTAGCTCAGGGTGCAGTGGTCAATGCTCACCCACGGTCCACAGCTTTTGGCTCTTCTGGATGATCACCCTTAGCAACAGAGCAGTTCTAAAGTTACCGCCAAAGGTGCAGTACACACTTTTGCTGGCTTCCAAAGATTCCTACAGCTACAGGAAAAGACAACACAAGTTAATTACCAAGGAGTTGATTTTCTGCATTCAGCATTATGAAGCAGCCTCATGTCCCGCTTAGAGCCAGGCTGTAGTATGTCTGTTATTATTCAAAGCCTGCAGAGGTTTCCCCATGGCCTCATTTAAACTCAACCACTGTAGCAATTTTTCAGCCATCCATTCACCCTTGCTTTATTTACAATACAGAGGAGCTCTAGCAGATCAGTGGCCTTCATTACATACTGCAAGGGAAAACACTTGTGACAGACTTAACACCTGTTAACCTATGCCCCACCATGGCACTTGCCAGCATTCCAGCTGAGTCAGCCCACACAGGCACAGAGCAGCATCATGCCTCTGGGATAGCTAATACAACATCTGCCAGAAAGACAGGGGCATGACAACTGCCTCACTTCTCTTTCAGATGTGCAGTCACCTCAGTATCTTCTTGTCTTCATCATCCCAGGGAAGAAAGTCTATCTTTGGCTACAGTACAACCCAAAATCTGTAGCCAGAGCACTTCCAGATGGGTAACAGATGGCTGGATAAACAAAACACGTCACTGTTCTAAACACTGAGCCCGCTTCTTTATGTGCTGCCCTTGGATCCTCACCAGTGTGCACGCTGCGCAACCCAACCACAGCTTCCTACTGCCCTAACACTACCATGGAATAACAAGAGATGAAGATTTCCCCTATTTCTTTCATAGGAAACCACCTGAGGCCTGGCTCACACCATCACTCCTTTACAGTTGTTGGGGAAATGGGCTGAAGCTTAAACCCTGGTATAGTCCATGTTAGTTGGTAAGACAGAATTGCAGGGCCAGCATGCCCAAGTATTACTATTTAGCGTACTTACAACAGGTAAAGAGGACTGCTACAACAGGAGAAGACAGAGAAGGTGCAATGCCTGGCAATCGCAATGTTTGCAAAGAGGTATCAGAGGCTGCCATTTAAGGTTTTGGTTTTTCACCACCATGAAACAGGATTGAAACTTTCAGCTCCTCCATCTAACAAGAGCTGCTTCCCCAGTAGGCCACCAGCTCAACAGACTCTTTCTTACTTAAAACTCTGTTCTGGATTACCCAGCTCCCCACCAGGCCATAAAGCCTGGCTCAATCCACAGGTCAGTGGTTCTACCACAGCCATTCCCCTCCACAGAGTCAACCAGGTACCCAGCCAGCCTCAAAGTAAAAAAAAGCTATGCAAAGAAAGAGCAATCCTGAACCACTTTGAACTCACGGAACCCATAAAAAAATTTCAAGATCAACTCCCAAAGGAGAGCTGCCTGAACAGGTCCTGGCAAGCAGCCATGCTCAGTGCCTTCCTCCTGACACCTCAGGGTGTTGTTTCCCTTTATGCTGCAGCGCGTTTCCTTTGCTGCAGTCACCTAGACCAGAGACACCTTTTATTTTGGCTATGATACACACTAATAATCAAACCAGATATTTATGGGTCTCTACTAACTGACTCTACTTCCTACAGAAAGATGCCCTTTTTTCATTTAAGCTTTGTTTTTCCACTCTAATTAAACTAAACTGGGACTTCAATTTCACTATTGTGTAACATCTGACTGGAAAGCAGAGTTATGTAGACCAAGTTCTTTGACTGGAACATGTCCTTAAACATTCTAACCACAAGTCCCTGGATGACTTAACTTACTACTCAGAGGGTAAGAAAGAAAACTGTCATTCTGACAATATAAAGACTGGCTTGTAAGCTACAAAACCCAACTGTCCTGTCCCAAGAATAAGAAACTCATTGGCTTGTTTCTCTGCTCCTGACACTGCTACAAGTGCCTGAAAAATGTGTCTGCTACACATCTCCAAAACCAAAAGGGGACTAATAGAAATAAAAGTACTGAAAAAAGATGTGCCTCTAAGCCAGAAAAACTGTCTAGGCCAAAAGGTATGCAAACAACAGGTAACAACAAAGACTGACAAACTATGAACACTGTCTTAGAGAGGAACTTTCAGATACATTTGCATGCTTCTTTCCTGGAGAAGATGCAGAAGAACTTGAAAAAGCTTCCAAGGACATGCTCCAGTAAACTGGAGCAAAATAAGGCTTCCACATGTGGCAGAAAGTACCAACAAAGAGGTGCCCCCTAAAGCTCAAAATGGTCTCTGCAAATCCTGAATAGGTTCAGAGCCAAATCTCTGCCAGAGACCAGTTTTAGGACAACAAATCAGCCAACGCCATACAGTGTTCGTCCCAAACCTGCTCTCAAGTTCTGTTCTGGAAGGGCATTGGTCATGGCTGAAGTGCACTCTGGCTGCTAACTTTTGCCATCAGTGGAGAATAGCCAGGAGGGGGCCCGAGAGCAAAGAAAGGCCATCAGCACAAGTAAACTCACGGGTCCTTGAACAAAACATAGCAAGGGTCCACCCTGAAAGAACACTGATGAGCCCAGTCCCCTCTACTGCTGCCACCAATAATTTAATGGCACTGAGGACAAGCACCATGACACTCATCATATGCTCCTCCCAATGCTCCTGCTCCTGAACCCCTGCCCATCAGACAGAACTGGCAATACAGGTGCTGCCCAGGAGCTGCAACAACACTCAGGTGGCTACAGATGGATGTGTTGATATGAGTGCTGGGTACCCTGAATATCTCTTCACCTGCATTCCTATCTTTGCCCTGATCTGAGACAACAGCAGAACAATGTAACGAAGTATAGCACAGTATGCAACTGCAAAAGTACCAAGGGAAAATGGTTAACCAAAGCATATGTTACAGCCACTGCTGCATGGGGCAGAGAACAGCTTCTATAAACAGCTTCCTGGTACAACACCAGGAAATCAAAAGGATGTATTAAGGATAGTAAGACAATAATGGAAGTGAACCTTCCCCATTAAATTCTGTTTTGAGCTCAAGCATTTTGGCTTAAGCAACTGCTAATCTTTCATAACAGCACCTAGTGCTAAATTAAAGCTCTCCAGTGAGAAAGAATGGACCTGTTCCTTAGGGAGCTTCTGACCTTCAAAAACAGCAATCAAAAAAATTGCCTGAACCTTTTCACATCAATCTGGTAACTGCAGAAAGCAATAGGGGAAAAAAACATAAAAGAATGCTGTTCTACCTAACTGTGCTGGTAGACATTAGTTGCATAGCCACTTCACCATTTATTAATCACGTACCACATCATTTCTTTCATGATTTTGCTTAAAATTTGTGACAGGCTAAACAAGGTCACAGTTATCCAAATTCATGGTTTGTAGCTTCTAGCAATCCAAAAGCTCTTTTCTGCATATCTCAAACTTCACTCCTATGCTGAGATGCACTAAGAACAAATATCACCCACCTCCAGACAATCTTCTTGACTGTCTTAAATAAATAAAGCTTTGACAGAGTCACTTGTTTAAACACTATTAAGTGCCATTTTGAAGTTCTATCTAGATGTTGCTGGAAGAAATATTTCTCCATAAAAGAAAGACATCAACAAAACCTGCCCTTTTTCTAATACACTGCAGCAGTATTTATTAATCATATTTTTTCCACATTTTTTCATCCTTACCTTATATTGACACCATTGCTGCTTTGATTTCACTTTGATGCCAGGACACCAAAAAAACTGAAGAATTTTTTTTGTATTGTTGGCACAGGATGCCTTTCAGATAACTTTTAATTTCCTTTATCAATATCTGCATTTTCTAACTGTTAAGTTTTACTCGTGACTGTCATTTTCTCTATTTATTTTGCATAACCTATAAACATTGGCACATACACCTCCATATTTTGATTGTTTTCATGTCTTCTTTTAGCTAGGACAAGTGTTGAATCAGAAAACACCTCCAAGGCAAATGCAGTTAGTTGTTTTGCTGACCTAATAAAGAATTTGTAAGCAACTTCCATTTATCATTTCCCTTTCATCCTTAAGTTCTTTCTCTTGCTCAGGAGTATGTCATTTTTTTGTTAACACCCAATTCAAAAGCACCAGAGATCACCAAGGATTAGTCAACATGCTCATATCTCTGCCCATTAAAACTGTGATCGCTGCAAGAAAACAACCTCCAGTCCAAGGTCTCTAAGTGTCCAGTGGAACAGCTACTCGCCCCACACGAGCTCGAGACCCCACCACCACCGGCAAATATCACCTGTGGTGCTTTTACAACACAGATGGACATCACCGGTAGAGCTTGTTCAAACACCACCTACTATGGTGCCGATTCTGCTCTGCAAGAAAATGAATACTTGCTTGGACTGTGAGGGGATTCTTGGTGGAATCCCGGCAAGATCCCACCTGCATTTCAAACCACATCTGACAGACAAGCCCACTGTTTAGCAACCTGCTCACTGAGAGCGGCTCGGTGGCCTTGATTTCGTGACAGCCAAACCCTCAGGCTTTCAGCTCCACAGGCTACAGCAGTCCACCATGCTGAAGCAAGCTTATTTTCTTTGTATTGAATACCAAAGTGAGATGACATTTCTATGAGAAACCTAAACATTTTAAAAACATAGTTGGAAACAGAACAGAAGGTGAACCACCATTACTTTGTATAGACTAAGGAGTTCAGTGTGCCACCAGATGTAATAATGAGTCAAGAGTGTCTTCTATGGGGAACCATAGAAAGAAAAATGTTGAGGTTTTAATTTGTTGGAAAGAGAGGAGGATCAGTGTGGAGCACAGGATCACTCATGAGGAATGCCAAGAGGTAACAGAATGTCTGTGCAGCAGCGTCTGAGCGAGAACAGCAGCCACTGCACTCTGCATTTAGTAGAGGAAAAACAGTCACTTGTACCTCTGTGGTTCTCTTACGTCACCATTTCTACTCTGTACTGCCTCCTTTCTCTTGGCACCTTTGGTTAACTCTTCTCCCCGCTCCTTTTCTCACATGGCACATTATGTGGAATCCCACACAGCAGCAAAAGGTTTGTGACTGCACTTGCAGCTCTCTGGGCATAGTCAAAGCTAGATACAGAGCTCTCAAAGGCTGTTGCTTATTTTGCATGAAAAGAGAGCAGAAAACAAGTCTTGTACTGAATTCCTCTTTCAGAAAGGGGAACAGATCTGCCTGATGTCTGACTCGACAGCCCAGGTTTCATGCCTTGCAGGAGGCAGGCAGGCCATCTTAAAGGATGACAGCCATAGATCTGAAAGGGTAGGACTAGTGCCCTCCTGATCTGGGTGTAGATAGATCAAATAACTTGGAGGCGTACTTGTGGAGGCTGTCCCAGCTTCGTTCCCTGCCCTTCCCCCTACTCCCCAGCATACCTTGCTGTTATCCTAAGATGAATTTCCACTTAAAGCATAGTGAAACTAGAAAAACTATGGATGTACTTTCAAGACACCACATATATTATATGTAAGCTTTGCTGTTGATATCTTTACATTGAACCAGCAGTTAAAATTCACACATGACAGGAACAGACAGTATGTTCTCCAGTTGGCTCAAATTGTATGTCACTTCAACTTCAGTAAAATTGGTTTAATTTTTCTTCTCCTCCTGTTTCACTGTTTATACAAGCAGAAGGAAACGAAGTATTTTCAGACAACATCCAACAGAGAGGTCAAGGTTAGTGAATTTTGTAGTTCTTCAACACTGGTAGGTTCCCAAGGATAAAACACAACCACTTTCTTCTTTTCAGTCATGAGGAAACCATTATCACTAAATCTGCCTTTTATACTCCCTACATCCAGAGAAACAAAAGGAGCAATTGCAGTGGTCTGAAGAACAAATATATAAGTATCATCTTGTTTGGATACAGAAGCCTGAAAGAGAAATAAAAAAATAAATAAATAAAAGAAAATATGCATGTTAAAGAAGACCCCAGTTACACCCAAACTGGTAAAAGAGCTGCATGCCCATAACACAGACTGAACAACCACATTTGATCCAAATTAATATTCTCTCCTGGAAACCAACAGGATTCATATGCAAGAATCATGCAAAAACTGCAAATGTTATTACAGCCTTGCTACAGAATACTACAGTTACTGAATAAATGGTAATCTGACTTGTACATAGTACTTGTATCCTGTACTTACTGCAGTGAAAGAGATTTGTCCTTTCATAACACTTCACTCAACCAATCAATTCACAACTACTAAATTGCCATTCCAATTAAATCCATGGTAGAAATACACAGAAGCAAAGGATGGCAAAAAAAAAAATAAATCACAGTAACACAGGAGGTCATCTCATCTTAATGGAACATGGCAGTGAAGCCCTTATACTGTGTTTAGAAAAATATAAAAAAAATAGTTGTAAAATAACAGGACAAGGTTTAATGTTTTATATCAAATTCTACCAGTAGTTACTCCCAGAGAGACTTAAAATCCCAACCAGAATGCATTTTCATGCAGCACTCCCCATTCACCATAATGAAATATTATGCAACATAGTTTTGAAATGCCTATTAACTATATATAAACAGAAAACAAATTATATTCAGTGCAGATGTCACATTCCAGTTACACGAAAAGCAACACTTTTCATTTTTAACAAAAAGCACGCATCCTTTGCATTTCATGTTTCCTGAAGAAACACTTATGTCTCCATGCTTTTTAAAAGCAATGCTATGAACAGCAGCTCTTGGATTAGCACTGTATTTGAAAATTTAGTTAGTTTGTTACTAACTAGGTATAGAAGCACCAGTTTCTTGCTAAAGAGAAAAATGTTTTTAATCATAGCTGCATACTTTCCTAAAATGACCACTTTGAATTTATCCTTGTTAGCTATCTGTACTGCAGAGACAACACAGCTATGGGATAAAGAAGTGAAATTTCCTAACGATGTTCCAGTTGCAGAGCTTTTATTATTGATGTTGTCGCCCACAAAAAAAAAAAACAAAACAGCATGACTCAGACTCCAGATTGTGCCACCAGATGAAAAAAAAATAAAAACAGGCTGATTTCTTTCCTTTGTATACGCAGGAGGCAGACTGCACTGCCATGAAAGAGATAAGAGGGGAAAATCTGGCCCATTTTCTTTTTGTAAAGCAATTATGCTGGTCCAGATTCAAAGAGATTAAAGACCTCCATTCCCCCCTTGTTTAGTTTAGTCCCAAAGAGCAAAGCTGCAGTTTGAAAGCCAAATGTGAGAAGGCACAGGTCCCCATCCTGCCAATGTGACAAATAAGAATTTTGCAATAAGACGTACATGCTAAGAAATGAGGCTTAATAAAATGTGTGTGTGTACAGACACAGGGCACGCATGCTCCCTCTATACACAGCAAGCTTGCTGGAAGCAGAAGAAATCTAAGGAAAAGCACCAAACTGATTAAATGTTACACAACACTGATGCTTTTTGTGCCTGTTCAGAAGACTGACACACTTTCAGCTATTAAGAAATAATCACTATTATGCAAATCAGAACCCTTTCTGGAGGGCAGGGAATTGAAGAAGGAGGAAAGGAGCACAGAATATTACATGTTAGCAATGGTACACTGATCTTAGAGCATGAGCACTTCAAGAGGAAATACTAGCACTTCAAAAGGAAATAGAGGAAATATCATGACAATAATGCACTCCACACTCAACTGAACTAGGAACACCTAATAGCGACATTACTGCCTGCAAGCCAAAACACTTGTCATGATGCTTTTTGCTATCTAGGGACAAAGGAGTAGGAAAGGAGTAATGCTGCAGCAGTCAGGTGAAAGACAGTCTAAAAAATGAAAGGGAGACTTCATTATTCAAAAAAAAAAAACAAAGCCCAGGCAAAAAACACACATGAAAACAAACAAACCACCAGTCTTATTTAGATATTCATACAGTGATACAGAAAAAAAATCTGATTTTGAGCTCAACATGGAAGCTAGAACAGCAACAACTAAGGAAAAAGAACATTCAGGGGAACCAGTCACTGCATAGCAGGCAAACCACTCAAACCAGTAAGATTAGCAAAATCAAATGCAGTAATTTAGCATGATTGATGCTTACACTAAGCTGGGTCTTTTCTAATCCTACAGCATCCTTTAGTGAAGAAAGGAAGAAATGGTTCGTAGGACTCTGGAGGCCATCTTCTCCCACAAGACAGAAAGTAATAACACAGCTTTTCCTGGTACAATTTCTGCATCTTTCCAGAACATCACTTATGGACTCCTTGTAGATGGGCACGGCACTTTGTGCTTTAACAATCACACCTTCTTTGGCAAGGGTACATACTGGCTCCAAAGAACTCCAGGTGTGCGCAACGACCTATCGAAGCATGTTGAGAGAGCACAAAGCTTAGAAGAAAAGCTACATCTGTGAAAACAATGCAGCAACCTAGGTTCCAGATTGCTCATTGCAATAGATGTTTTCCTGACAGCACCAGCTGATTTCCACCTAGCAAGAAACTCTACAAAGATTTAAACAATAGATATGACATAATAATTAGATCATTCTAAAAACAGCTAGTCCATTTCAAACAGTCTTGAGCTGTTGTTGTTTTTGATCTGCAAGACTTTTTGTTTTCTCCAGGCTCCTCCAGAGAAGGGGATTGCCAATTTCTGCCAAGGGAGTGCTGGGAAATGGAATTAGTGAGTGACTAATTTGTTGACTCTCTTTCCTCCTCTCCTTGATTAAAAAAAGTCAAGCAAAGGATTTTCTTAAGATTGCTCAGTTTTATCTGATGTAACTCAACTGGGTAAGCTAGAGTTTCTGCATAATCACCATTAAACAGAAGCAAGCTGCATCATCTTAAAAGAGACTATGAGTTATATTAATACAGTAAAATACACTCCCAAACATCATGCACGCATTATGAACATACCTTTAAAAAAAGGCATAATTTGGAAGATAAGCACATGAGAATTACAAAATGCTATTTATTTCATAAATTTTAGGTTATTTTTTACCTCAACAGGAGTCTGCAGTCAGAAATAGATCTTAACTCCTTTCAAAAGTTAAGTTCCAAATTTTCTTGAAGTGCAAAATACAGTATTCATCAGAACTACCCTACTGCCAATGATTTTCTGATGTTATCAGAAAATCTGAATTTAAGTCTGTTAGAATAACTCAGACCAGAAATAAACAATTTCATTAAGTGCAGTTCTAGTCCAAGAACTATCCAGAAATTGAACCATTTTCTGTACCATATATTACTATATATAAACAACCTTATCAATCTCAAAATTCATGGAAATCCACCAGACAGAGCAGTGAACTAGGACTTGACATACTCACCCTATTAGTTCCAAAATGACTAGTGAGTCATTCCAGATCTGTTTTTCCATCCTTACCAGAGTTTTCACATGGGACACACTTTATGCCAGGAGTTATATCTCATTGTGCAAAATGGTCCCTAAATTCATTTGGGATCTGGTTGCCACATGATTAACAGCAACAAAATGTAACAAGTTGAAAAGGAAGACTGTGGTCTACAAGGCAACTCAGCAGCCCAAATACTTCCTAAAAATTCTTATCAGTTTCTACAGCATTATCAGAAAACAGTTTAAGGCATCAATTGAAAAATGATAACACTGCATAAGTGACCTTGCAATTAAAGTACACCTTGATGTTCTATCAATATTTCAGAAAATAATCCAGTCCTTTTTCCCAAAGTGGTATAGTTTGAGTACTGATAAGCAACGGTACAATCCCTTTTTCCTGCCCCTGCTTAGTTCTAACACCCAGGAACAGTTTTGTTAAGTAGTGAGGTACCATTTTTCATACTTTGTTCTATTTAACAATCCCTTTAATATTTCAACAGAATAGCTAATTCCAGGCTTGTACCTACAGGCTGAAAGCAAAGCACTTTAATCTTCTTAGGGGTAACACTATCTTTTATTACAGTAGTGTGTACTGCTTCACAGAAGAAGGAATTAAGACTAGAGTTGCACCTTATTGTGACTGAACATAGCTTGAAGCTTGTTATGCAAAGATGTGCTCTTTCAGCTTCTCACATTTTTGCAGGAGGTGCACAAGGGTGGTGAGAGAGGTGTCACTTACCCTCAAAGTCAGCTTCTGGTCCCCATGAAGATCTGAGACACCGTAAACGTACAACACACCTTGATCTTCATACGCCACAGGCAGCAGTGGTGCAAAGAAGTTCTGGGCAAAATAATGGAGTAGTTTCCACTTACCACCATACTCTGTAAAGGGTTAAAAGGAAGAAAGATTCAAACTGAATCCAAGATTGCCTTGGCACTCAATCTCTTCCTGTGCTTTCTGGTCCTGCTACGGCAATACAACATCCTCCTCCACCCTTTTGTACCTCTACCAAGTGCAAAGAATGACTGAAGGTACTCTAGCTTCCTTCCAGGCAAGGCCCTACTCTAAAGATTCGATGCTCCTTGAGGCTTTACTTTGAACTTTACCAAAAGGTTGCGTTTTCTACCTCTTGGTCCTGTCATTGCTACACTGCCATTCAGCTAAATAAAGCCTTAAGCACAAGTGACAAAACTGACACGGCACACCACACATTAAGCAAGCAGCAAGAGCATCTATGTTGTTGAGAATCCTGATGAACACACTGGCATTGCCACAAGCCACCGCTACTATAAAAAGAGACACCAGAATCTGACTTTTGGTGCTTATACAAAGTGCTTTCTTAACCTTTTTCAGTCCCCTCTTTCTTAGAGGAACATCAGTAGCAACAAAGACAAAAAAACAAGTTCTTAAACCAAAGACAACTCTGAGCTTGGCAAAATGAATTTGCCAAGATCTAGAGACAACACTTACTTCATGAGAGCCATATGTATGTCCATGACAGACATATGCCAATCAGTTCGCATTGCCTCTTTAATGAGATGTACCTCATTACTTTTAATACTTTGAAAGTCTGCCATTAAACTGGAAAAGCCATCAAACATTGCGTCCTCTCCAAAAAAAGCAATTTTGCCAGATGCAACAGTGCCACATAATCATTTTGGAAGAAAAGCTGCTTCCATTTCTTCCTCTATTAACCTTCCATCTAGCACCCACCGTCAGCATTTTAAGTCTGCTGTTGCTCAATCATTATCCAGTCATTGAAACAGCACTAAAAAGAAGTAGCAAGTCAGCTGCAGCATCTCATAAGGAAAGAAAAGTTAGATACTGATTTCATTCTTGTTGTTGGCTCTTTGTTTTATGCAACAGGTTTAAAGTCCATGGATGCTGAAAAATATTTTCAGTAATATGTTTTTCTTGTAACTAATTGCCTCTCTGTGTTTTGGTGCCTGTACAAAGCTCTTAGCATTTTCAAACATCTCTTAAGTAAAGACTTCATTCAGAGTGATGTATCCTTTAAAGGCTGTGTTTGTGACTTTCCCAAGCTGACTTGAATATGCTCTGCCTGCACTCCACGTAGACACAAATGAACTTTAAGGAGAGCAAAGTGTATTAGCTCCAGCTTATCACCTTACACATCACCTTGTTCTCAGCGAGTTGAAGAACAAGACAAGAAAAGCTCGAATCTGCCTGGAAAACCCATACAAGATTCAACTGTGCTGTGAGATCAGTCTGTTGCCAGAAAAAACACCATTGAAATTAATAGTATTGAAACAAACCAAAGAGGTAAGTCTAAATGAAAACTTCAGGAGAGGCTGCTGAGCTTCTTCAAAACAGACAGTTGACAAACTGATGAACATACTCAGTATATTGGTGCTGCTCAGCATACAGAACTGTAGAACCATCTATGTTGCAAAAGACCTCTAAGATCATCAAGTTAACTGTTCACCTGCCAAGTGCACCTCTAAAGCACATCCCTAAGTGCCACATCTATACAACTTGTAAATACCTCCAGGGATGGTGACTCCACCACTTCGCTGGACAACCTTGGCAACCCTTTCAGTGAAGAAATTTTTCCTAAGATCCAATTCAAACTTGCCCTGGCACAACTTGAGGCCGTTTCCTCTTGTCCGGTCACTTGTTACTTTCAAGAAAAGGCCTACCCCCACCTGGCTATAGCCTCTTTTCAAGTAATTGCAGAGAGTGATAAGGTCACCCCTGAGCCTTCTTTTCTCCAGACTAAACAATCCCAGTTCCCTCATCTGCTCCTCAGACTTGTGCTCCAGAGTGTTCACCAGCTCTCTTGCCCTTCTCTGGACTCGCTCCAGCTCCTCAATGTCTTTCTTGTAGTGAGAGGTCCAGAACTGAACATAGAATTCAAAGTGCAGCCTCACCAGTGCTGAGTAGAGAGGGGCAATCACTGCCCTGGTCCTGCTGGCCACACTACTTCTGATACAGGCCAGGATGCCATTGGCCTTCTTGGCCACCTGGGCACACTGCTGGCTCATGTTTAGCCTGAAGTCGACCAGCACACCCAGGTCCTTTTCCTCCAGGCAGCTTTCCAGCCATTCTACCCCCAGCCTGTAGCTCTGCACGGGGTGGTTGTGGCCCAAGTGCAGGACTTGGCACTTCACCTTGTTGAACCTCATAGAGCTGGCCTCGGCACATCAATCTAGTCTGTCCAGATCCCTCTGTAGAGCCTTCCTACCACTCCCACCTAACTTGATGTTTGCAAACTGACTGAGGGTGCACTAAATCCCCTTGTTCAGATCAATGATAAAGGTATTAAACAGGGCTGGCTCCAATACTGATCCCTGGGGAAGCCCGCTAGTGATCGGCCGCCAGCTGGATACAACTCCATTCACCACCATTCTCTGGGCCCAGCCATCCAGCCAGTTTGCTTTCGCAGTGAACAGTGCACCATACCACAAGCAGCCTTTTTCTTCAGGAAAATGCTGTGGGAAATGGGTGTTAAAGTCTAGATGACAACATCCACAGCCTTTCCCTCATCCACCAAATCGGGTCACCTTGTCACAGAAGAAGATCAAGTTGGTCAAGCAGGACCTGCTTTTCATAAACCTGTGCTGGTTGGGCCTGATCCCCTAGTGATAAGAAGGAAGCATGTTCTAGCATTCCAAGGACAATTCCTGACTGAAAACATTGGTGGTTTAAAGCACAAATCCACCAATAACAGGGAGTGCTAACAAATTACACTTTAGGGTCATTACACTTCAGAAGATGAGAGATTTGGACTGGGGATGGATTATCTGAAAGAGAGTAAACTGCAGGGCAGTACCTGATCTAACAAATAAAAGCAATGGGCCTTGTATAAGAAATGGGCTGGGATGGTCTGTGAGGGGTTGAAATCTCTAAAACTCTCAGGACTGCTACAGGACTCTCAGGAATTTCAATTGTCGGTGCAACAGACCCCCGACAGAGCCCACCAGAGTTCAGACAAATTACCCAGCATGGGCTGTGGTTTCAGTGCCCATTGACTTGAATTTTTTTCCTAAGTTTAATTTACATGATGAAAATCTAGGCTTCAAGTGTCTTAAATACGTAAATCAATAATGCAATTGATGTAGGGCAGTTTTTGTTACTTAGTGTAATATAAAATCGTGTTTCTCTTTGATTTGGGCCCTTCTCTCAATCTCTGCTGTGCCTTGATTTCCAAATGGATTACACAGTTGGAACCACACTGCAGTGGTTACTGGAGGGAAAGAGAGAAAGTTTGCTATCTGGGTAGCAGATACAGAGATCCTCAAGAAACCTGTACAGAGGAGGAAAAAACTCAAGAGTAAATTTGGCATTACACTTCCACAGGGAAACAAAATCAATAGAAACCCCAACAAATGTACCAAACCAAACAAACCATACATTTAAAAGTTTGTACCATTTCAAAAAACCATTCTACCACTACACCTATTGTTTTGGAATGTTTGAAAACATAGTCTGCTTACCTGAGATCAGCTTTTTAAGGTCGGTATTTCCCTTTCCAAAAAACCTAGAGCCATTCTAAAGAACCAAAGCTCAACAGCTGCAGCAGTTTCACACAGGAAGTGTCTTTCAAAGAAAACTTTTCCAGCAACAGGATGTTGGTAATACAATTGTCAAAGTAACTTCAGACAGCATAGAAAACTGAAGCTCGCTGATTAAAAACCCCTTCAGCTCATCTGTTGTCTTGATTTCCGTAAGACCAGAGCCACATTTCTTTATTTAAAAACAGGCAAGTTGCATATAAATACCTTCACATCTCCCCCCCCCCCCCCAAAATGGATGTAAGAAATCTGAAGATCAGTAGCTATCGTGAGAAATCTCTGGGCTTAAACTTTCCTGTTACAGATATGCGTGCCCAAAGGCAAGAGTCAAAAGTTATTTAAAACAGCCCTGGGGTGGTTTTCTCCTCCTCCTACCACATTTAAATAAATTCTTAAAGAAATCCAAGTTCTCCAATTTTTTTCTGATAACATGGGGTGGGCACTCTCTGTGGTATCAAACTTCAGAACAGGAAACTAAAATTAGGTCTGTAATGAGACCCCAGTACCCTTTTTTCTGGCTCTTCCCTGAAGCTTTTACACTGATAGCAGGAGTGAAAACAAACAGTTCTCCCTGAAATGATTTTAAATTAATCACTTCACACCATTAAACGCAACCCGAGAAACATGCTGCTAGTTCTTTCCTCACTCCAGTCTCATGAATTCAGATCAATTATTCTCCATAATAGCCTGTACCAGGGCTCACCAGGGGCTCTAAATATTGAACCTGCAATAAAAGCCAGTTATCTGTTCAAGGGAACCTCGTGACAACTGAGTTGGGTACCTCAAGGTTACACTTGTGTGGGAGAGAGATAAATTGCCATGTGTATTACAGCACTCTTCACCGAAACACACAGCATAGATGCTAAAGCATTCAACACGGCACAACCAGCTCCACAACTAAGAGCTAACAGTCAAAACCCAGTTGTGATAAAAGGTGTTTAGTTCTGAGCTGAAGGCAGAAATACTATGACAGGAGTGCAGTGCTGTGTTTTCATTCAATCCCAAGCAAACATCTTAAAGATAAAAATTAAAAGGATAAACATTTGCTACCTTCTTCCCTCCCTCCTTCATGAGGAAACATTTTTGCTTTGTAGGGGAAATTATGTAAGCCCCTCCATGGCTCTCTGTGAAATACCAGATTTAAATAAAAGCGCTCATTGGTGAGACTACTGTGCCATCTAACAAGATGCAGAAACGTGTTTTTGAAGTGCAAATAAAACTAATTTCTCCGAAGTTTTGCATAATTCCAGCCATTAGCATTTCAAAATCCCTCTACCACACTGCCTAATTAAATGAATATTAAACCTTTCCTCATTCCACTGAGGGAATAGAACAAAACAAAGGGACAGCTGTATCTCTGCTGAGCTTCTTTTCTCTAAACCAACTTCAGCAACACATGAATAATTCAAGTATTTGATATATTTTCTACAGTGATGTCAGCTCTGTACTTAAAAAGACATTTATGGTCTCCACGATCTCTTAGTCTATCAATACACCTGTCTTTACAAAGAGACATTTTTCCAAGCATCTTTTTCTCTTGAGGTACTCAAAGCCTAAGAGCATCACCCATTGCTAGAATCATAAAAATGAACATCAGGATATTGTATTTCCTAACACAAGTCTAGAAAGTCCCAAATGATGAGCATTATAGCTAGACCATTGCCTTAACATTTAAATAAATTAGCCTGTTTCTTCCAAGAATTTGTTTTCCTTTGTTGTTGCACTTACTTACTTTGGATGAATAAATGAAAAAAAAAAAAAGAAAAAGAACAAAAAGAGAGGGGGACAAACATCTCCCAGAGAAAGAGGGGAAAGATGGGGTGGGTTAATTTTTTTTTCAAAGGAAGGGAAAGTGGTATTTTGCTCGAAGGACAGATCAAGAGCTTCACACTCTTAGCTTTTTCTAGTTCACTCTTATTTCTTCACATTCATGAAATGCTTAAATCAAGATTTTCAAAACCAGAATATTTAAGAAATAACTAAAATTGAAAGAGAATATACCCAATAGAATAGCTGCCATAGAACAGTTCTCCCTTACAAAATGACTTCTAGCCAAAATGGAACATGAAACATAGCCACCTCCCTCATACCTCACATTCCTCATTCCTGCCCTATTTCTTATTGCCTGAGTGACTTATCTCTTTATATGTCTGATTACCCTGTTTTTGTGTTCTAAAAAGAAAAAAAAATTATAATATATAAGGAGATACCATATCTGTAAATAGCACATTAGCAGAATAATTTCATCACAAAGAATGATTCACCTCATCTGACATCACGTTAGACACCAAATCCCAGCCAGTCATCTCCTACAAAGAGCTTCTCAGAAGCTATGCTGGGTGAGAGGTTTCATATGAAGTTCTATGAAAATCACATTCAGCACAGAGAAGATAATTCCTCCCAGTTATCAGACAGTTAAGGACACAATGAATCATGTATGGAGATAACCACCTCTTCCTCAACTGACTATAGAAGAAATCTAGAGGCCCAGTCTTACACTGTAAATCCCATCCTGCTCAGAACAGGATCACAGTTCTGTTGGTTTTTTGATAGTGCATTATGGCCAACTCAAGGGAGAGGTTTTGATCATTTTACCATTGGGGGTAAAGAAGACAAAATCAACTAAATTTGTCGAAATTATAGAAAGTAAAACTATGCATGGGTGTTTCTTCTTACTCTCCTACCCAACTATCTCCCTCTCTGTCCATTCTCACCCAGGGTGGTTGGGTGCATAAATGTATCTGTACAGCTGAGACAATAAATATGATCAGGGATTTCCCCTTTGAAAATAGAATTTATTAGAAGTCTCCAAATTTGAAATAACTGATTTTTCCAATTTTAAAATAATTAAGCTTGCAAAAAATGTAAATATTTTTTTCTGGAAAAACCTGGAAGATATATTACATACAATTGGGAAGATCCACCTCTACATAACAAAAGGAAGGGTAGTTGGAAGTTCACAAGGGGATTGTGTCCTCAATCTTAACCATCACTCCTTCCTAATAGGCAGCTTTGTCTGGCTTCAGTGATATTATTTCCTTGGGAGAAATGATAATACTGCTTAAACAAAAAAATATGTATTTTTAAGAAATTAAGAGTTACATACAATTTTAACTTCCCCAAACTAAACCCCGCTCAAACAATGGTAAGAATTGGTGACTGCTAAGTTTGAATTTAAGCTGCAAAACTTCCATGGGAAAATAATTGCTTTGTTCTATACCCTCTTCCACTTTCACAGACTCTTAGGATGATCCTGAAAAAAACACTTTTCTGGAAAGCATTTCTAAAGGATGGACAGAAATAAGTTCAGGGTTTGTAAAGTCACCCAAGAGACAGAGCAGAGCCATACTTCTTATTTTGACATGTTCAGATGAGGAAAACAAAACAAGACTGGTAGTTGGTGCTTTTCAGCAGACTGCCACAAAAACTTACCCAAAGAAGCCCATGAAGGTGCCTGCCAAATGTCATTGAGTTGCCAGTACAGAGCTCCCATTGTGTGTCCTTCTCCCTTGATTATTTCACTTTGACTAGCACGATAGAATTCAGTTTCTGTTTTTGTGCACTGAGCCTGCATCACCTTGATCAACAAACACATAAGAAAATATTTTTGGTATATTGTATTCTACTTTCTTTCAAAACGTGTGAATATATTAACATACAACACAGACTTCACAGCAGTAGCACATAACTTTAAACTCCCAAGAGCTGCCAAATGTCGTTATGCTGCACTACCGCCAGTACACATTCCCTTGATGTCTAAACTCCTATGATCTGAACTCACAACACATATTCCCACTATAAAGCCAAAACTCTGCACCAAAAGGGCAGTCTTTCTTCATCTGCACTCCCATTTCTTTTCTCCTTCCTCACCTCATCTAAAAAACACTTTTCAAAATTGTTCATTGGCCAAGTTGTCAACAGATGCTAAACAGCCTGCTATGTTCTTCACAAAGCACATTACTAGGCTGGGGAAGTATTAAAAGAAATTCTTAAAATAAAGTTAAAAATCTTTAGGACAGCTCAAAAGCTAAAGATATCAGTTCTAGTTAACCGCTTGAGCCAAGTTACTGTCTTTATCCTTTTTGCTAGATTTATTTTGGTATTCTTCAATGGTTTAACCTGTTAGGAAGGCCTTGACAGACTTAACCCTGCAGAAACTCTCATAGCTTTTTGAGTCTGGACCCCTCTGTGCAAGTTTTACCCCTGTTTTCAGTTTCACAGCATCATCTATCCTTGTTCTCTTGTCAAGAATGCCTAAAATTCTCAAGCTGTTTTGTTTTTACATAAAACTTGCTGCCAGCACTCTCAAACATTAAAAACTTAGTGTGCAGTTATTTCAATCAAGAGTGTTTCTGAATTTCCTGAAACACAACAAAAATTAACAGCACTTTAAACTTGCCTAATAGCATCAAAAATTACTTAACATTTTTTAAAACTTGCACAGAAATCACAAATAAAAAAAACAAGCATGAGGTAAAACTACTATGGATGAAGAACAAAATATAAGCTCCTGATTTGAAAAAAAGCCTAAATTATATTCTCTAAACTATCATTATCTGAGCATGTAACAAAATAAAAGCTACTAATAATCTAATTCATAAAGAACTTCATTCCCTAGAAAAAAAATCTTGTTTCGAAAGCATGTGTGTTCCATGTGGTAAAAATCAAAGCAATAAGCCTACAGGGGCCACATGAAGAGCAGAACACACCCACCCTGGAACACAGAGTAACATGTAGCACTGGGAATAATCTCATACCATGGAAAGCCAGCACATCCCTGCATCCGCCACCAGCTTCATGAGTGAGCCCAGCTGGGGAAAGGGACCAAGGTAGCACACACTGTCAGACTTTATCCCAGTTGAGCCAGTTCCTGGGTAATTCCCTGAGAAGTATTCCAACCCTACTATGATAAAAATAGGAGTCTCTCTCCAATGCACGAGAGAGAAGCTATTTCCAAATTAAAACGGACTCTCAAATGCTTCAGTATAGAAACTTTCTGTATGACTGAGCATTACCTAACAGAACAGGCCCAGCTTTAACTGCTGACAGAATCTAATGGAACAAGTACTGGCAGCTACCTACATAGATGATGTGACTGTTACCTGAGTGAGGTAAATTGTATCTTTGAACCTCTTTACAGGATCTGTGCCCTGCGGAAGCTTGAAATGATACCCAACTTCTTGAAGCATCTGAACATTGCCACTGTCATGATGCTGCCGATGGAGAGAAAAATTGCTTACGTAGGACCAGTCTTCAGCAGAAGAAACCTTGTAAAAAACACAAAAGTAAGGTATCAGAAGAAGGTAAAATGTACATTTAATGACTGTCAGGTAATCAGGGAAAGGATACCTGTTACAGCCTGCTGACATCATGCAAAACCTTAAAATTGGTAGAATATTTCTACAGTGCCTCATGCAGTCATGTGAGGATTTTGAATCAGTAACACCCTTTTCTTAACACTCCTTGTACAAACAGATGAAAACAGACAATACTCTTGAAGCCAGTGGCTTTTGGCTCAATGGCATTTAACTTATCGGTCCTAAGGTTCGGTTTGGCCAAGGGATCTCAAGAGTTTTGCTTGCACTTACAGTAAATCAGAAATACCCTACACTAACACAGAAGAATGTACCCTAGTCAAGCACATTTACGCAAAAAAGTTACAAAAGTCAGTAAGGCTATAAATTCTAATAATGTGTATATATATTTTCAAAACCTGCCTCTGAAAACGTATGATCATAAACCAGCTTTTTTCAACTATGGACAACAATGCCAAACTTTCATTGTAATTACAATTTCTATAGAATCTTTTTATTTAAATTTGTTCCTTTTTAGACTGGATTGAATAACTGTCACCATTATTAATATGGATGAATGTTCTGATTATGCTTCAGACAATATATTTTGCCCAGAAAATTTAAAAGAACATTCTGAACTCCTTTTGGTTGCATGCATGAACATCAACATGAAACTCATCTCTCCCTAGATAAATGGACAAACAGCATGATATGCCTCTGCTCCAACTAGATAAAGAAGATAGAACATAAAATATCTAAATTCAGTAGGAGACATAAACAAATCCTCTTACGTGCAATACATCAACAAGTTAATTATTTACGTGAAAGAAATTGCTAAAATTTACAAAAATCAAAACATTTTAAAATCCATCACAATTCAGCTTTTATCATATTTCTTCTTTTTCTTAATTAACACGTCCTTAGACATTACAAGAGGAAACAGATGTTAGGCAATCATTACTAAGCTATACATTAAGTAGAATTACTATTAAAACTAACAGTCTCACAATAGTCTCTCACCTAAACTAGGTTCCCCTTGCAACATCAAGAACACTGAGGGAGGGAAACAGTACAGTTTCATTCCCTCCCTCTGCACCATCACACACCTCTATCCCACCTGTGCCATACCACACTTAATAATACATTATCCAAACTACAGTTCGGATGCTGTAATTTGTTGGAAAGAGACTCGTTGCCCTCACTGAACAAGAGTGGAGGAGACAGTAAGGTGTGGAAGCCCAGCCTTACTTTTTCGATTGTACTGAAGGAAGGCCAGGATTGAAATCCATATTCTGAAGCAAAGCGAGTTTTAGGATACATTGTCCAGTTCCAGCAGTCATGGTTGTAGTCATAAAAGTGAGTATCACCATAATGGGTATCATAAGGATTCTGGGAGATCCAACCTTCTTTAACTGACTCCAAGCCGTTGGTGGGACTAGATGCAATAAAAGGACGACTCCTATCTTCCTGGGATTTAAAAAAAAAAAAACAAACAAAACAAAACCACAACACCCTCACAAAGTGATTGGCTTTTATCATTTATATACATGGACCATATTTTGAAAAGGAAGGGCAGTGAAAACATACCTTTTCCAAATTTTTGAGTCACCACCTAGGAAACATTTCCTTTTATGTCCTAACATTCATCATCTTTACTTCCTTAATTAGCTTCTTACTTACGTTATTGGAGGACAGCTGGGCATGATACTGCTTGCTCCACTGTTCTGAGGGATTCTCTCCTGACATCAAGAGATTTTCTATCTTTATATGCTTCTAAATTCTTAATGAAGGCTACTTAAAGTGTTCTTTGTGACTTCTTCATGGAAAATTATTACTTTTGCAGTGTTTTTGCAGGAACGAGGCCATGATTTTCTCCTTTCTCATTAAACAGTCACCTAAATTTAGTCCTAACAAATCCAAGGTGTTCTGCTTCTAATGCTTACATGGTATCATTACAGGTTATTGTCATTTTACCTGGCTCTGCATGTTAAGATAGATGAGACTACAAGAAGGGTTACATTTCAAATTGTTCAGATCTGCCTTTATTTATAGCCTCAGTAGACTTACAATATTAAATCTTTTATCAGCACCCTACAAAGTACTGAAGGAATCTTTTTGCAGGTATAATTCATTTAGCACCCCACCTGCAGTAAGATAGAGGCCTGAGCTGGTTACCAGTCACGAGTTACAGCAATTGGCTCCAACACAGCAACACACTTAGACATGTGCTTCATATTTTAAGAAATAGTTCTGTTCCCCTACACTTTTTTTTTTAATGAGTAATTAATAATTAACTGAAACAAGTTACTACAGGATATCCTGGAATCCCTGAAGTCTTTAGCTCAAGGTTAGAAGTCTTCTTAAACTATACAGTCCAGTATTGCTAGTAGTTACGGGTTTCCTCAGCTGGCTTATATTATAGAGGACCTGAATTTATTTCACTGTATGGTTCCTTCTGGCACTGAAAATAGTTATTCTATGGATTTAAAACAAAAGAAGGTCCATATGGGATGGCAATGCTGCACAAGTAAACTGTAACTAAAACCCAGTATCAAGTCAGAACACCTCACTTTGCTGCACGAGCATTGGCCATCTAACTCATGTAGCTAATCACAGAAACACCACAGCATACCTCTACAAATAGCTCAGTATAGAAATCTAGAATCAATACATTAAGCAGGAATATAAGACACTATTACCATTTAGAATGAAAAACTGCCCTCAAAGCAGGATCCTTTTCAGCAGGTTCTTTCAAACCTGGTTTCACTTTTGTTTCTTCCTCGAATCTTTTCCTGTAGAAAGACGTTCTAAATTCTCAGAGTACAACTACACTGACAATGCCAGTAGCCACCAATGACAAGCAATAATACTGCTGTCACTGAGTGTCTGCTTTAGCAAAGGGAAATGTCAGGTCATGAGCCTTATAATATTAAATGCATCTCATCGTGAATAGGACAGAAATTAGACTAAAATTATCGTACCCTGCAGTCAGTAAGATCATACTATACATGGGATAAGTAGGTAGGAAAAGGCCACTAGCATTTTTAGGTAAATAAAAACTCATCCTCTTGTTGAAGCAGAAAGTTCTAACTGGACAAAATTCTTAGAGCATTTTGTCTCTTAGCTAGTAGGAAAATTTACAATTCCCTACGGTTCAAGAATTGTTTGTCAATCCCTATACAATTACGTGACATCGATTTGGGACTTTTCAATCAATTCCACTCTACATACACACAAAAGAGTTAGGTAAAAGTAGATTCCATTAACTAATAAAGAACTGCAATACTTCTAGGAGGAGAAATAAAACTAGAAAAGCTGTGCAAAACAGGTAGTAACAGACTGCAGTAGACTTCACAGATTCCATGTGTTTGTGGAATGCATGCTAACAGTTTTAGTTCTACCTCAAAGTATTTTCTTTTGCCTTCATGTACTGTAGAATACCACTATTCTGTTCTTTCAAAAACACACAATATAATGACGACATCAGCATGAGGACAACGTTTAGCATCACTTTTGCTTAACCTGCTTAAGCCAAAAAACTTCAGTCAAATACTGGAAGAGCACACCAAAAATATTACATCCTTATGGATTTCTTCAACTGCTATTGAAAGACCAGAGGGTTGTTAGATGCTTCTTACAGTATCCTTCAACAAAATCAGCAAAAAGGAAACCTGATCATCTAGATTAATTAATTAATGGGCAAGTTGATTTTTGTCCACTGGCAGTGAAGGTATTTGTGGATGTATTAAAAATCAGAAGGAAAAAAGAAGCAAGATCCACTACATTTTCAGGTCTTCCTTCACATATCACAAAATGCTAAAGGCATAAATAATTTTTTTGATTGTTTTACTCTGAGAATAACCCTTAAGTTTAGAGAGTTGTTTAGAAAAGCTTGGAAAAGGCAGTTTCTCAATAATGTGCTGGGTTTAATTTCTCAAAAGGATTAAAAAAGAAAATCCCAACTTAAAACCATTTGCCAAGGCATATTCCCCTACAGTTTCTTACACTAAGAACTATCTCTCGTATGTTCTTCACATAAAGCATCAGGTAGTCTCTGATATACATCTCTCTTTTGGCACGAGGTATGGAGAACCAGTTGTTTGAAATTGCTGCTTCATTTTCATTGTTACCACTCCACAGAATAATTGATGGATGAGATTTTAAACGCCGCACCTGAAATACAGTTTACAGTTTCAGGAGTCAAGCAAAATTACTTATGTTAAAGATTTTTTTTTTTAAAAAATTACTTTGTTACTACTTGAATTACAAGTTCACGCGCATACTACCTACACTTAGCCTACAATTCCCGTTTTTAGCTGCACTGTTCACTATTCCCTCAGCTTGCCACTATGCTCAAACTTTTGTAACATACACTTTCAGAAGAGCAAACTTCTAACATGCTGACATATATCTACCATATGCACATGTGTACCTCCATCCTCATCTACTTAGACACATGTGAAGGGTAAATTCCGTGCAGTCTGCTTGACTGACTGCTCCTGCAAGTAGTAGAAGATTTACCAAGGTTATGTTTTACATATATACTGCTACATAAAAAAGTACACTAACAAACACTTCCAAAAAAATCGCTTCTGGAAAGCTAATTTATACAGTTGGTCAATCAAAAATAGATAATGGGAAATAGAACTTTAACACATGGACAAAATACCTGATGAAGAACTTCTGCTCTTACAGATGCTAAATAATTCTGGTCAGTTGGATAAAGCGCACAGGCAAACATAAAATCCTGCCAAATCTATAGGGAAAAGGAAAGATTAAAAAAAAATCCATTAGCAAATTATTTTATATAATTGAAAAATATATGCTAATTGGGATGCACAATCCTGTTCAGACAGAAGTTATTTATTTTAAAAAATTAAACTTAAATGTTTTATTTGTTATTCTTGGAAAGTACCACCAAAACAGTCATGTCCTCCTTGGGGTTCAGTATGTGCACACTCCACTGTGGTTGTCCTCAATATCAGAGGAATCAGATCATGGCAGCCTACACTGAGGAGTGCAATACTGCTCAGCAGGTGGAGTTCAGTAAGTTTCAAAAGAATAATTAGAAACATGAACATGGGACAACTTGCAGCTGAACAGAACGATTTTGTATTACTACTTTGCAGGTGTAACACCAAATCCTCATTACTTAATGAGAAGAGACAGTAATTCTTCCAGTGTGGTATCGAGCACACTTAATTGATGTCAAAGTGTACTCATTAGGAAAACACTTCCACACAAAATTATCCCAAAAAATAGCAAATCTTACACAGTAAGAGGGGCAGAAACAAAGTAGATCCTCTAAAAACACAGTGATCTTTCTCTTCAAAGAACAATCAAGTAGATATCATTGAGAAAAACAAGCCTTTCAATTCAACAACAATAAACTCCATTTGTACCTTGAAGGAGAAGAATTACAAAAAAAAGAGGAAGGAAAGAAGCCAAATGAGATGATTAAGATTTTTTGTTTACCTGTTCTGTTTATTAAACTGCTGTAACTTTGAGACTCCTGCTAGTCTATTTCAAATGTTAATGGAAAGGCCTCTACAAGGACCACATTAACCCAAAGGAGTCTGTAGGACACTACACTTTTCTGAACACCATACTATACAGAGAGAGACAGACCAGTTCCTCATGTAATTGCATTTTGATTGCAGTGAGAACATGCTTTTCCATGGCTCTTTTCAGCATACATTCCCTAAAAACCTGAAGATAGGGCACAAGACAGTGGGGGGTAATGGATCCATTAGTAACTTAAAAACCTAACACTGTACACAAAAGCAAAGCTATTGCCGAAGAGTCACTCATAATCCTTTAGTGACTGACTGTGTGGAGTCAAAACTCTCTAATGAAAGAAACTTTCTCTCACTATTTCCCTCAGTGAGCTATCACTGGTTTTCCTTAAGCACAGTTTGAAATCAAGGCACTTTAAAGCCTTTGCAAGACCATCAGAAGAAACAAAACCAAAAACCTCCATCACCACCCCCTCCGGAATAAGGATCTGATTTTCTGCATCTACTTGCTATTTTGGCTGTTAAATAGGATCTAAATCTTGCATTGAGCACTGTACAGGCACAGATCTAAGTGGCCTACTTAAGGTGCCTAGTGTAAAAAATGAAAGAACTGTAAGTCCTCAGAAGCCTTGAAAATCAGGACACTCATTCAGATGACTAAAATAGATGTAACTTTTTTTTTCCCAAGCACGTACGGAAGGCAGCAAAGTATGAGTTCTGTTTTCCTGCTTTTTATGCTGCAGAGCAACACCAAACACACTTGCCAGGATTTTTAATAACAGATGCAATTTGGTCTTCATTCATCTAGTTGCTATTTCATCAAAACTTATTAATATGCGTCTCCAAGCTCATATAATCGAAGGTACTCCTCTAGCGATTACAATAGGTGTTCCCCTTACTGCTACATTTATACTCAAATGTAGCTTGTTCAAAATGGTCATCTGGATGAAGTCTTCCATGTTTGACTTTGGGACAAATGAAAAGTTTGAACCAAAAAAACCCAAAACTTTTCAGCAATTGCTATAAAGGAAAAAACAGTTTTAAAAGAAATAAAATGCATTTCCACAACTGAGAAAAGCATGGCTAACTTCTACAGACTTCTGTAAAGTTTCCAAAATATCACTTCCAGATTCAACAGACAGTCTTTTTAATCAGAAACCATTCAAATTAAAAAGAAATTAAAAAACACAACCAGCCAACCAAACAAAAAACAGGTTGATCTAACTTCTCGGGTTGATACTTTACAATATCCTTTGGAAAAATGGTTAGAATGCATGTATTAATTCTCTTATTTTTGTTCATTTAAAACAAATTTTCATTTACAAGTTCTTGTCAGTTTTTAAATAAGTGTTCTGCATTTATTGCTTTTACCATTATTCCTATTTCATCACAAATATCGTAAAATTCATCTTGTTCATATACTCCTCCTCCCCAAACCCGAAGTGCATTCATGTTAGCATCTGCTGCAGACTTCAAGAGTAGCCTTAATCTGTAAAATACAAGTTTTGTGAAACTGTATCACTTAGGAGTTTCTAAGGTTATACAAACAAACAAAGAAACAAACACCCCTACCAAAAAACCAAACAAAATCACAAAACCTAAATCATTAGCAGGCAAACTAAGACTTATAACTTTGACAGAAATTATTAAAATACTCTGGTTTCTAAGCCTGCATGCCTTGACAGAGCTCTCAAAAAGTAATTTTTTGTGCAGAAAAAGTTGCTTGTTCCTGTTAATACTTATGGAATAGATGGAGTGACACATGTAAGTGCTTTTACAGAAGTTTTGGCATGACTAGATTTAGAAATACTCTATTTTATTAATCATATTGTTCCTTTTCTTCTTAGATATTACTTGCTTTGTATGTCAATCACTTGAATTCATATTCTCTTTTAAACACAATCAGAAACGTATATTCTCTTTGTGAGTTCCACAATGCATAGTGAGAACAGCGGAATGAGAGGGTGAGGAGAAAGACTGAGACCTTGAATCTCATTTTAAGGGTTTCAGGCTCCAGACATTTTTCCTTAAATCATATTGGCAGCCTCTAAACTGCGTATGAATGCACAGTGCAGCATGCTCTGTTATCCTGGTTCCCCAACTACCCAGAACAAAGCTTAGTCAAAGTATAGTCTCCATAAAAATACCTAAAAGGCCAGTAATCTATGAACTACAAAAAATCACCTTCCCATCAGTAATCTCACTTACATGCCTTGACACTCCAATCTATTCATGTTAATTAAGCCCTAATTCTGAAGCCTCCAACCCCCAATAATTAGTGTACTACCTTGAAAGCAGTTCCACCCACTAAAGCCAACCTTTCATAAAGGGTGTATAGAGAATCAGGAGGAAAACATGATCCTTTATCCTTAGAGAACATCAAATGTGGCTTACGTGTCATAGGTCACCCTGTCCTGGAAAGAATCTGCAGGAATCCAGTTTGAGCCTTTCAGAAAAATGGGTCGGCCATTGATTCTGAAGTAGAAACTCAGACCTGGTGAGCCAGGAATAGGCTCCTGAACAAGTTCTACTGTCCGAAAATAAGCCTGTGAAGACATGAAACTTAGATTTAAAGCTGACAGAAATGAATTAAAACAAAATTAATAAAGAAAACCATTACAAAAAGAATTGAACTGAACACTAACAGCGTAGAATTTGTCAAGGAGTCAAAAGACATGGTCTCATCTCTAAACTCCTGCTTGCTTAAAACACACTGTAGCAGGACTAAAAATAATTCTTCTAATAAACCTGTTCACTTTTTAAAGTTACTATCATATTAAGAGAGAGAGAAAGCATGAGCAAACGACTGTGCATATGCACACATGAATGTAAGTAAGAGACAGATGCAGGTTTGCTTCCTGCAGAATTCAGTTAAAATTCCAGCTGACGACCAGTGAGAGGAATACAGTGGTTGCACTAGATCAGACACACCATTTAATCTGCAATATTCTCCTCACAGAAGGATGATCCAGCAGCTCAGTTGTAAGTCCTGCCCCTAAATGCCTATCTTCAGGTTCACCTAGTAAAAGCAAGATCTTACTCTTTTACTGCCCTGAAATGATACCTTTTTAATAGGTGCAGCAATTAAAAAGATATGCATGCAAACACAACTGGCAGTTCCCAAGTGAAGGGCCCTCTGGCCTTCACAGCTGCTTTTGAACAGCATGATAAGCAATACGGTTTCAAAGAGACCAGTTCAGCTAAATAACCACTAACTTCGTGTAAGGTATTAAAGACCATTCCAGATAAAAGCACATCTCAAGCAGAAGCCAAACTTTTACAGCTGCTCTTTCAGCCTAATATATGACACTGTGTACTGTAGATGCTGAAACAAGAAAACATTCCTTCTTCCCATTGCAGGTGGAATAAAAGTTCTTAGAAAATCATTCCACATTTTTTCTCAGACTTTACTTCAGTCAAAGCTACAATGCTGCTCTAAGGGGTATCCTGATTGCACTGACATAAACAGTCAATTCTACAGTCATGAGAGAGCACTTGGTTCACTGCAATAATACTTTGCTCTGTCCCCTTATTTGTACAGGTGTCTTCCCCATCTGCCACGGGGCAGATGAAGAGCAACTGCCATGTTTGCTTCTGTGCACCTGCAAAGTGTTACAGAAAATATCTTGTTCAGGGAGGCTTCTTTTTTTCCTGCATCCTTGTTCCAGTTCAACTTACCCAAGCCAGAAAGAAAACTCTTTTTCTTTGTTGTACCTATTGCTTATTTGGGACAAATGAAAAGTTTGAACCAAAAAAACCCAAACATTTTCAGCAATTGCTATAAAGGAAAAAATAGTTTTAAAAGGAATAAAATCCATTTCCACAACTGAGAAAAGCCTCCTATTAGGAAGATAACTGGGAAATTAAATAAAGTAAATAAAGTGGAGGAAAGCCAATAGCGAATTTCAGCCAACTCACACCAAGCAACAGGTTTGGGTCAGGAAGGCAAGAACTTCATTTTTTCTAGACTACCCCTAAGACAGCAACCACTCCTCCCTCAGATAACTATTTGCTTTACCTTTTCAAAAGGTCAGCTTGTAAAGTACAGCCTGTTCCCTCTCTGCCACAAGCTGAAGTTGAGGCAAGTATCTGTCAGTAAATCAGGCTAAAATTAACCTAGTTAAGTGCAAGGGATATACTGGTCTTTAAGACAAAACTTATTTCTTTATTTCACACACGAAACAAGGCTGGGGAAATGACTAATCCCACCATGGGACTGCATTTTCTAAACTTTCACTTTATCAAAAAATCACACACATAGACAGAACTATTTCCAGAGGTAGGGAAGTAAAAGAAAATTACCACCTATTTGCTTCCTCTTTGGTGCTTCTAAGTCAACTGAACAATTATTAACCAAACATCTGGACAGAAACAATGTATATGACAAACCAGATGCATGAGTGGAGGCTGCAGAACACTGACCTCAAACTGAAACCCTCTGCATTATGGCAGAGACCAAAAGATAGAAACGGAATGAATAAAAAAAAATGAGATTTGCCCAAGTCCTGCAGTGTTTTACAGTGATGCCCAGGTACAACAGTGCATTATTGGCGAGTGGGACTCGGCATCCATATCACTAAAGAAACTCCCAGCTAGAGAAAAACTACAAAGTCAGGCCACTGAGAGGACATTTCAGACTCCCAGTCTAATATCTCTGTGCACGTACGTGCACTGAGGACAGTGTGCCCTCCCTTTTTTCTGCTGCAATCCCATTGCTCACTGGGTTCCTTGAATATAGGTCAAAATAATGAACTTAGCTTTAGGACAAGAGTCTTACATCCAATCCTAGAATTTTGCAGACTTATTTTAACATGAGAAGTTGAATTAAAAAAAATAACCACTACAAAAATTACCTTCCTCAGTGAATTCAGTAACTTGGAGAAAAACTCAGTCTCTATTGTGGCTCTTTTTTACAGCACAAAGTGGAATGGGATTTACAGTTGGGGCTCCCAAAGTATTTGGGATGTCCTCTTCATCGATGTCATCAGGCAGGTTGTGACTGTCTCGGAGTGCATTTGTAATGGAGTATTTACATTACTAACAGAAGTAATGTGATATCGCTTTATTCATGTTCAAGTGGAACTGGCTGAATTCGAGGCAACCTGAGAGGCTGAAATACTCAGCCAGGACCACCCATATAGAAAGAGTAAGAGGAAAAGCTCCTTAGCCTCAGCTCACATTCCCAGGCTTCCAAGGTTCAGTGCCTTTGTGTTCCCAACTCCATTGCTCCCCAGAGGCCTATCTGGTAACATAGCCCATCTTCCTGTTCCTACAGCAGCTTCCTTCTGCCTTGTGGGGTAAAAGAAGGGCAAGGGGAGACAACTAGCATCTGGTATGCTTAGTTACATGCCTTTCTGGCTACCAAAACCTTGGCCACCTTGAAATCTGTCTGACAGAGCTTGCTGCCTGAGGGATGAACATTTCTCCCAGTCTTGGAGCACACTGAAGAGGCTCTCTAGCCACCACAGATCAGTCAGCTGGTTCTGTGCATAATTAAGAAAGAGATACCTGTCTTTTTAAGTCACATACAAAGGCTTTGTACACAGTTAAGTGACCTGTGGATCACATTTGGCATTCCCAGATTTAGCAGTTGGAAAAGTAATAAGGATGAAGATGCCTAGAGCTGAAATAAGATCACAGAATGCCCCAGTGACCTAACAAATTAGCATGCAGCATGAAAGCGGTGTGAAAACTACAAAGCCAAAAGGAAAGACTTCTGCAAGTCATACTAAAAGGCCTGGGGGGAAAGAGGGTGTAAAGGGATGGAGGGAAAGACAGCTAGAGGCTGAGATCTTTTGAGTACTAAAATAGCCTAATGAAACAAAAAACTCACAGTACAGTGCTAAAGAAATAAGCATACAGAAAGATGGGGAAACAGAACTGAAAAGCAAACAAATGCCTTGTGAGGCAATGAAAGAGGTAATAAATTCCTTGATGTAGGCATGGCAAACAACTTATCAATAGCAAATAAGACTGGATAGACCCTCACCCAAGACAATGAATTTCACTCTGAGATAACTTCTGGCTATGACTTTGTTTCACATTATCCTGAGAAACAAACTCTAAACCAAAATATTGAAATGGAAAACCAAAACCAATCCCATCTTGGGTGTTGGCTTTCTTCTATTTTGGTTTTCTGCTACTCTGAACAGAAATGAGTAAGAACTTCCCTCAGCCAAAGAAGTTCCCAGCACAGCTGGCTAGAGCTCTATAGAGCTCCTGAAAGTACATACTGGAAGGCCACCCAGAAATATTCCCAAAGGATTAGTTAATGTTTTGAAGACTACTCTAACATGTCAGAATCCAGAGAGTAGTTCAAGTTAAGAGTAGCCAAATCTGACATAAGATCAAGCTGTGTTTTCTCACATGTCCAATTCTCATCCTTAAGTTTTTGCCTGTCCAAAGTGAAGTAGATGCTCATATGGAGACAAAACACTTGTGAAATGTCTCACCAATAATTTTTTTTCCTAAAAAAAAAAGGGTGGGAGTGGGCAATGTATTTCACCTGAATACAGCCAGTACTAGATAGACAACAGAACCGATAACAGAACAACTTTCAGGAACATTAATCCCTGATTGTATCTCCTGAACTACTCAAAGTTCTTGTTAAGCCATATGAGTGTTGCTATTTAGTCCTGCTGACATAAGACAAAATTGTGCTAGAACATGAAAAAACTGCATACGGAGCCTTTTTCCACTCATACAGCTCTGGGTGGGGGTGATGGTGTGCTGGTGCATCTGTCAGATTCCAAGACAGAGATTCACAAAATACATGAAGGAAGACTAGACTTAACAATATAAAGCTTTAAAGGCTGGTTGATTTATAATGCCCACTACGTGGTGCATTTGCTTTCTTTCCCCCTCTTTCCCCTTAAGGAGAAAAAAAGAACAGGCTTCTGAATATCTTTTGAAGACCTTGAAGTCCCTAAGATCATATGCCGCAGAGCTCTATGAAATATTCTGACACAACCACACAAATGGAACTGATTAGCTTTTCTATCATTGTGCATTTTTCACACAGTAACAACAGAATTTTCCTTTTTATAGGCTTTATAGCTGTATTTCCTACACCTAGTTTTTCCAAGCATAATATAATGTGTTTACTTGGTGTGGGTTTTTTAATTGTTTCAAAATTAAATCACTAATAATAGCAAGAATTATTATTATGACTTCATAATCAAACTAAGGGCTAGTCCTATAATGACTAGGACTCCAGAAGCTATTGCTTTTTCATAGGGTTTTTTCACATGAACAAATGTTATGGCAAATAACAGTTTTAGATGCCTGGTGACCAGATTAATTTTTAGTGAAGCAATATACATCAGAACCATGCATAAATTTACTTGGTTATTTCCACATATTGATGGTATAAGGAGCCCAGCCTAATCTCTATGATTCTTCTTTTTACTGGACAACCGGAAATTACCTCTCTAGGGTTCTTAGCAAAACCAAACAGATAATTAAACAGCCAGTGTGTTACAGGAACCCCTATGTAAATATTCCCCAAAATGACCTTCATGGTCATATTTAAGATGTTACCTCTTCTTAAACCTGAAGCACATCTATCAACATCCTAATACATGAATGTATGTTAAGCTTTTAGGAGTGTGTCTATCCCATAACTTTTTTAAAAACTGAATTAACAAGAAAAATCTCAGTAATAAACCTTCATATAATCCAAAGAAATCTAAAACAATTTTTCAGTGCACGATACAAAGCCAGCAGCACAGTATATTAAGTATATCTCTTTTCTGAGATTTCCATCTAACTGTAAGCCATCTTCCAGTCTCAATACAAGCAAGCATCCATACAAGCTAAGACTATCAGAAAACAGGTATCAGGTAACCATACATTGTGACATGAAAAAAAATCTTATTTCTCATTAGCATTTTCACATGCATATTACAATCCAATAAAATATTAAAGAGCTGTGCAGAGTGGATGTCCTAGCAGCAACAGTGCAATGCCAGATGTAATTAAGTGGAAGGGCTCACCTTTGAAAATTTCTCAATCTGGTATCCTGCCTCCATGATAAAAGTTGTTTTCATGTTGTATCCAGTTTGCTTTCCATGTCCATTTGGCCACCAAGCCTCTACTGCAGAAGTCTTGAACAGACAAGAGAGAAAGTCAGAGCAACATGTATAAAAAGAGGCACAAAATGCACCTGTGGGCTCAGATGTCTTTGAGTGAATTACCACAAGTGTAATGAGCTTTTGTGCTTCAGCTGTGGTAGGCTAACTGGGATTTCACCAGCTGCAGCTCTGAGGTGAAAACCATTTAAAGAGAGAAGTTGATTTCTTCCACTAAAGTCCAGGCTGCCACTTCACCTTGTGTCCACAACAGACCATGAGCACACATACACATGCATGCACACACCTAGCTGCTACCTGTCAGCTGAGGCACACTGATAGACTACTCCTCCAAACCCCAAATATCTGTGTCAGGAGCAGACATAGTTTACTAGCCTCTGAATCATGCACCTCCTCTCACCGACGCTTTTAACTATCACATCCAACATTCCATAAACAGTGGGGACACTTCTGAACTGCTACTATGGTAATATGTGACTACATTGACTGCTTCACTTATGTCAAGCTTTTCAGACAAATTCCAAGTTTCATTCTTTCTTTTCGGTGTTTTCTGCTTTTTCTCTAAGCTTCCTAATCACACCATTAGTACTCCATAATTTTTACACAGATAAAACACTACCTCTAGGGTGACAGAATGACTCAACTTTCTCATTTTTCTAATCATGGAGTAATATTTATATCTTCATTCCAGCAGCCTGCTTCTGCTGCTCATCCTGTTGCCAGCATTTGCCAGTTGAGTGCACAACACAAAAATTGTGGAAAGAAAGCAATAACGCATGCAACCAAACAATGCAGGGATCAGCACTAAATAGAGTCATGCAAGGAGTGCCTCATCTTTTCAAATAAATTGAGGCCAGAGAGCAGCCCAACAATATGTTTTGCTGTAGCCATACTTGGATGCAATCATAATGTATCTACCAACATTTCAGCTTCCCTGATACAAAATTACCATAACTGCTTGTGCAGAAGTACTAATCTCTGTGTTGCACGGATACAAATGGAAGCACAGAATCAGCGTGTGCCTCAACAACAAGGGAGTGTTCGCAGCTGCCTGGAAGGACTGGAGTGTCTCATTGGCCACTAATGATGTCATCCCTATGCTCACCATTAGCTGATAAGCAAAATACTGTCATGTTGGCAACATAGCACTTTGTGTGGCAACTGCAGGAAGACTGATACACATCTCGGGTGATACGCACCACTCAAACACTCAAACACCTACCGACTCCACGTAATCTGCAATATGCTCTCAACTAGAAATAAATTTCTGATAGGGTCTCAGTATTCAACATGCACCACACATATCTGTGTACAGACTAAGGGCTCTGTTAGCCTCATCGATACATGAGAACACATTTCAGGGCTTCTCGAAAATCAGCTGATGTGAATTCGTGCAGCAAAGCCTTTTGTGCACAAAGAATAATGAAACGCTGCTGCCTCTGCTCTGAAGGAAGTGCTTCCTCACAAGCTTGCAGTTGCACTACACTAACAGATCTCTTCTGAGGCTGGTGGTGGGGCAATTAAATACACAAAAATAACTTCTGAAGTTTCACTTTGCAGTTCCTGCTTAATGTAATCCATTAAAAGGCTAAGCAGAGACTAATGGTTGTTTTAAATGAAATCGGGGATTTGCAATTGCTCATGTAACTTGCATATCAGATGACAACAGTAACAAAAATTGTATGTTTGTACACTTTTGTGTCAAAATAAAACAAAGCACATAAGTATGCAAGTCACTGAGTGTGCACACTAGAACATAAACACCCTGCTTGCCTCTTAACACGTTTTCTTTCCACTCAAAAAACTGACAAGTGAACTCAAAAATATACACATAATGCAGTCAAACTGGGAAAACAAATGCAGAGTCACACAGCAATATATAAAACCAGAACAGCCAGTAAAATACAGAAAGATTTGAAGGCTGACTCTCAAATGTTATTAACTGCCAGAATGGTCAAAAGCCCCAAAATCCTTCTCACAGCACATCACTCTCCCACAGATCTAACTGTCCCGTAGCAGTGAAGCAGACAGCAGCTCCCATGGAGAATAGCCAGGGCTCCCACTCTGCCCACTGGGCTGAGCCTGCACTGTTAGGTTCAGTTCTGCAGTAGGGAACTGCTCTCTGTGCAAGTTCATACCTCTTTGTGCCACACTGGGCTCACTGCCTAATTCAAGACACCTACCTACTCGTCAGCTAGAACAGATACAGTGATTTTCTTAATCTCCCAAGCCTTTACATCTTTCCTTAATTACACCTGTATGATAAAACTCAACAGTTTTTAAAAAAACAAAAGCAACAAATTTTATAAAAGTTAAATAATGCTGGTTAATTAAGTCCACCACAAGACAGCTTCCCAGCACCCTCTGAAGGCAAGCAAACCAATTCTTTCCTCTTTCAGCACTGGGGTGTGTACCAAATTCATCAATTTTTCAATTGACTTGTCTCTTCCTTAGAGCATCCTTCACCGGTCTGAAATTCCTCCTGAGTTTTGCCTATCCAAGGACTACAAACCAGTGTAAGGAAGTACTGCTCCACAAAATTTTCAGCCAACCTCACTGCCAGACAAGTTTTTTATAGGGCTCTTTTATTTATCTGAAAGAGTGTCTACTGAGAGGTTTGAAGAATGTTTCCTCTCTCTCCTGGGAGAGCCATGCATATTGTAGTATATTCTAATTCCAGTCGGTCCAGTAAACAACAGCATGTGAGACACCTGCTGCCAGTGAAGTGACACAGGCTATCCAAAGGTTATCTACCTAAATACCTCAAAATAGCTCCTTTAACAGTGGCCAGTGATTATGTGATTTTTTTTTAAGGCTTCATCATCTTTTTGACATTGAGCTACACAGCTCCACAGAAAACAGTTTTTAGAAAGGAAAAGAACTGTTCTCCTATCCTGTAAGGGGTACAGAACTGTTGCTGAAAGTCAGGAACACAGTAAGGAATGGGAGGGAGGCCTAAAACTGGCATGGATGCACAAAGACACACTGGAAACCAGGGGAAACATTTTGCAGCTGGATAGTTTTTCACACACACCTCCTTACCTTGTTGATGTTTACAAGCAGCACAATGCTGCCTTCTCCAGGTTGAAGCTTCACACTGAATGTTTGCTGTGTTTGCAATTCGGGAATGTTCACCACCACACGACCTGCAATTGGCTTGGAACTGACTACCTCAAAAACAGACTCAATTTCAAGACACCACTGCTGCGTACTCTTTACTAAGTGAAGGGGAAAAAAATTGGAATTTAAGAGTTATGTTTATATACTTATTAGTTAACATGATCTCTCATCAAAGAAAAAATTCAAACACCTAAGATGAATTCTAACAATTTTCAGGCCATGTTTGAACCAGACCTACAAGGTTAATGCTTGTTTAGTGCATTTGACATCTGTGTTTGCATTTGCCAACTTGGAAGAGAACAATGCCATATGATTTATGTTTCTTAACTCTTTTTTTTTTTTTATTTGAAAGCCATCCAGGGTTTTTTTCAGAGTTCTGTACAAAACTCAGAGACCTTAACATCAGTCACTTCATTAGGAAGGATTTTTTTCCCACCAATTCCAATAGACATCATATTTGCTTTTAGTCAGCACTCATATGAACATGGTACTCTTTGGGAAAGATCGTAATCACAAGCCAGTACAATCACTTTTGTCAATGAAACAAAAACAGTATTAACAGAAAACGAGCTGAATTCATCCCAGAGTCACTAAACAAAATGAATGGAGTTATGCTGGGGATGAATTGGGCCCACTGTGTCTAGACTTGATGGGCTATATATTTGTGTCCCTTCTGCCACCAATGTGTGGTGGAGGAAACCAATTAATGACTTCCCTGAGATCTCTCTACAGTTACCTCAGAGGGTTCTCTCTTTTACAGAACTTACTGAATAAGGCAAGACAGGATCAAGGGTACTCAAGATTTATGTGTAAATTTCCCATTAACTTCCACAATTTAATTGTGTAGCTACAAACACAGTCTGGCTAATCCTATACTTCAAATATTACTGATTAACATATAAGCAAAAGTAAATAAAACAGAAAACAAGGAAAACTAGAACTAAGATGTATTTTGTATACCCAAACTTCTAATCATGTACTTTCTCTTTTCATTTATATACTCTAGCTCTCCTTCCTCCAGGAGAGAAAGAGAGCTCCCTCCAAAAGCAAAGAATTACATTCAGCCCTGGTGTGATTTTCACTGTCTTTTGTGGAATGAAGAGCAATGATTGAGTTCCCAAGTTTATATTACATCCAGCATTAGCCAGGGAAGACCAATTTTCAGAAATGTTGAAAGGGTTAAAAAAAACCCCACCCCACAAGGGTCTTCCATTACAGTGCATCTTGCCTGCCCTCCAAAGGCATACAGAAATTGAAGCCCATCCTTAACTGCATGAACTGTGGCGCCTAGGCAGAGAAATCAAGTACAGTGAATCTTTTGCAGACTTCGTGGTCAAAAGACTGAGTCAAATGACACCAAATCTGACAAGTAATAAAAGTACATATGCAGCTTAAATTCAGGTCATTCATTTACTCTTTCTTTTTCAAATGTTATTATTTTGAATACTAATAAGCTCTCGCTCTAGTTCCAAACCACTCTCTGCTGAATGAAAGAGGTTTGCTCTCTCCACTGACCCACAGAGCAAGATTTTACCTACCAGAAGGTGGAGTTGCGGGAATGTGGGAGGGACCAGAACAGATTTTTACCGTAACTAAATTTTAGAGAGCAGCACAGTCTGTGCTGGGGCTTTCCATGGAAATTCCAATCACGTTAATTCTAGCTAAGACCTGCAGCTATTTCAGGAAGCTTTAAAAGCAGCCATGGAGTGATGTCTTCCTCTTTTATTCATACACAACAAATCTATTCCCAAGGGCTGAAATTCAACCCAGTACAGAGAACTCATGCTAGCCCTTACTCCACTGAAGACTGGGCTCCACAGTGAAAGAAAGCACGCGGGTGGTCTACAGTGGGGTATATTACCGTTTGTAGAAAGTTTCAACAGAAAATTAACTACTTTTCCTCAGCTGAAATGATGTTCAGGACAAAGGAGAGGAAAATCAGAGACCACGGCAAGAGAGGAAACCGGTTTGGTAAGTTAGGTAGCAGGAATGCAGGAGGCCATCCTCTCAAATTGCAGCCTTAACAAATTATCCTTGCCTAGCATGACTGCTTTTCTCTCTCAGACTTCATGTTGTGTCCTGAAAACTTGGCGCTCTTGAAACCGAGCTCACTGTGCATTTGTCTTTCCAATACAAAACTAAATTCCCATGGCAGCTTTGCCTTTGTTTTAAACGAAAGTGTGACAAAAGTGAGATATATTTACTGGGAGTCTTGGTGAAAACACATGCCAATAAAAAAGAAATTTTTCAAAACTATGGAGAACAGGTTCTAACCTCAGCTATACTACACATTTAATTCTGCAGTTATTTGGGGACCCTCAAGCAAAAAAAAAAAAATTCTAAATCCTATCATTTTTAATTGCTATTGTTTGTACTGAAGTACTGTTTCAAAACCTAGAAAGGTGTGCTGTGGTAGGAATTACATACAAAGTCATAAAAAACCCAACAGAACTTTTCCTAAAATGACAGTTCATTAAGCTTAACAATAAAATGGTTTTTATTCCAAAGGTGAAACAATAATAAAAACAAGACTTACCAAAGAAAGGAGTTAAAGAAAAGTAAATCAGGTGGTAATGGTTATAGGCCTCAATCCTAACATCTTTCCAGATTCCTTGAGTGGGAAAAGAAGGGCCCCAGTCCCAACTAAATGAACACTGCTCCTGGAATACAGCATGATTATGTCACAATTGCCTATTTTTCACATGGACACTGATACTGTGCCAGAAAAAAAAGACATTTGCTATCTAGGAATAAAATATTGGCATGCACTAAAAGAAGTCTTCCAATTTCCATAAACCCAGAAGAGCCTACAGTATTTTTTTTCTCATTTCTTGATCAGAACTCTGCTGCTATTACCTATTTTTCAGTATATAAAAAATTAAATTTTGTATTAAACATTCATGTACAGAGCAATTTTGTATTACTGAAATTTTGTATTACTGAAATTTTGTATTACTTAGCACACCACTTGGAAAAAACAACAAAACAAACAGTAAAGATAAAATAAAAAATCCAGCAGATTACTCTCAATTTAACTATGAATTATCTTAGTTTGTAATGTCAGTATTTAATTGTACACCTAAAAGATAAACGAGGCAGAAAACTGATGGTTAGAATTGTTACAGTATTCTAAAAGAACAGTATCAAATTAAAAATTGTATCGCAAATACTTTATCTCCTATTTTTAGTAGTAACACCACAGTTTAGTACAAGGAAAGAGATGCATATGTCTGGTGTGTTTGTGTAGTTCAGTCATGTTCGCTGTTTCTCCCCTTTTTATGGTTCTCTTATACAAAAACAAAGGGAACAAAACCATGGTTGAGAAGTAGCTTAGTTCTGGTTCTAACATCAGAATAACTGTCAGAATTACAAAATGCTGGTCAGGCAGAGAGGTACCTACACTAATTTCCATTTAGCTGTTTTCAAACCTGGTCAGACCTCTAGTTAACAAATCCCTTGACAACATCTATTCAGCTGCCCTCCAAGTTTCACACAGCCCCAGCCCCAAAGCAAATACAATAGATCTCCTAACGTCTTGTACAGTGACACACAGTTCTAAATTTAGAGACTAATAACTTACAGCCGAGGCATACTAATTTGGGCAAACCACACTGCACAAGTCTGGCCTATCCCTTGCATCTCTACAGTTTGCCTGCCTGCCTATCAAATTGCAAAAGAGCCTTCCAGGAAGGAAACACTGTACCTATTTCAAACGCAAAACCAGGGAGAGCATATTCTTAGAAAACAAGGCCAATTGAAAGCAATTTTCCCTTTAGAAAAAAATTAACTAACAAATCACTGGCAGATTATCAGGTTTCACTAATAACACTGCAGAGACTGCTATCAGAAAAACAACACGCTTGTATCACTGAAGTACATTACCAATGACAGGCTTGTGTTCTGCCACAAATCCTGTTCAGTTTTAGGTAAGTTTACTGCACTTAATACTGCACTTGAAATGTGTAAACAGCTTTCCATTACTTTCAGACAGCAATCCAGCTTACTTTAGAAATGTCCTAGTATGTTTGTTTACTTTTTAATGCCACATAGCTGCTGTTGTTACCATATACTTGGAACTCAGATCATTTCTGGAAATTTCTGGAGCAGCTTCCAAGTACAGTCAAACAACTCATTTGAGAAAAACCACTAGGGCATCTTCTTACAAATTTAAAGGTATAGTTCAGTGAAGCGTAAAATCATTCCTGGCCCTTTTGCTCTATAAATAAGACTACAGCTGTTTAATGCCTTCTTCCTCCCAAGCTTCTCCTTGCACCGATTTCTAAGAAACACAGTGGACTCAGAAGAGTTAACAAACTTTCCAAAATGTAGTGAAAATAAAAGTAGCAGCAAGTAGAAATAAAGACAACATCTTAATCCTAAAAGATCTTTCCAGCACAACACAGAGTCCATGTTTACGAATTGTAAAGGACATTACATCCAGGTTTAGATTAACAGGATTCTAGTCACTTTTTGAGAAGGCTCTAAAAAGACTTTATTAAAAAGATTGAAAATAACTAACAAGAAAGTTATTTAAGTGGAGACAAACCTGAAAAGACATCAAAAAAGAAAAATTCCAAAATAAGATCATCTAGCCATTGCCTCTATCTGCTGCCAAGCTAACAGAAATACATGAGATGCTCCTCAAACAATAGTTTGCCTTGAATAAATTTTAATAGCAATGAAGTCATGTCTTAAATCAAAGTTTCTGAGCTTCATTCATTTTCACTGAATATGTACTTATAAGTCACACTTCTCAACACTAATGAGAACAGGTTCCCTGTTAGATAACACTTCTTGGGACATGCCAGAGCTGCCCAGTATAAATAGCACAGCACATGAGCAACAGCAAACACTCACAAAGCTGCTTGGCTGAGATTTTTACAGCCTTGGCAATACACATTGGTATTTGCAACAGTGAACTCTATTGTCAGCATACACTGCTAAACCCACCCAGTGGATCAAAATGTAATGATTGCACATTTCCCAGTACTATCCCGCTCTCTTAGCAGCAAGTCTCCTTGCTGACTCCTTGATGAAAATAGCCTTTTAAACAATCTTATCACTTAGATTTGAAGCCTGGCCTTCTTATGCCTATTGTATTATCAACATACTAGATTAAAGGTTTCTAGGGGGGACATGAGAAGGAAGCTGCAATACAAAATACACCCTACTTATAAAATGACATTGCAGGTTTCAGAATACAACTGTAAGGACAGCACATGGTGCGTTCCTCTTTCCAACCCTGAAGCCAGAGACAGACAATTGTGCCCCCACCTTTCTGATAAAATTCACATGGCACTCTCCTTTCTGCTCAGGTGGAGGGCAAGCTGGGGGGATGCTGTAAGCTTTGTGACACCTGCTCTGTTCTGCTGCATGGGAAACGGCCGACAAGAAACGGACTTCAACAAAATTGACCTCCTTGATCACGCTGGTGATATCAAAGCTCTAGGACAAATAACAGAACAAAATCATTACAGTGCTGACATTTATTTATGTGATTGAAAACCACTGTTACATTGGGATTTTAATACCGTACATCTATTATTCAAAGACATTTGAAGTACATTCTAAACATGCTTCGGTTTTGAAGGAAAAGCTACTTCTTAAGCTAAAAAAACCCCAAAATACACAGCAGCATTTTAGATACAAAGAGTTGTTTCTGGGCAAACCACTTTCCTCATACCAAGCCCTCACTGCTGGCTGTAGCACTCTGCTTGCACACAGAAGTGCTTGAAGGACAAGGACAGCAAGAGAATCTTTACCTTCCTTCCTCACCCAGAACTCATCTGCATCTTCAGAAAGACAACTCAGAAATCTGGTCTATACAAGAGTCCTTCCAACTCACACTGTGCTCCCAACTCATCTACTGCAAGACTGAGCTGCCTTGTCTGAATGTTGCAAAGCTGTATTTCATGCCACCCGCATTCTCATCCCCAAAATTTACAGACACACATTCTATGCCAGCACCAAATGAAGCATCTGGGGCTTCCTCAGTGGGTCACAAAATCCCCTTCAGTGTGGCTGGACAGAAGGAGAAATGTTCCATTTCAGAATTATCCTGTGCTAATATGGTTCCAGTGGCTAATACGCATTTATTCCTCACAGTGTTCATTTGTGATGAGCCAAGTCTTGGCAATCTCTTCAACTCGGGGGTAGCCCAGCCAGCATGACTTATATCTGTAGCACAGAGCAGAAAACTACAAAGCAAAAAGCATTCCTCCATTTAGAGCCTTCAGAGAGTTCTTCCTGCAGATATTGTTGCCACGTGGAACAGGTGAACAAAGCAGCAGTCTGGGTCACATAATCAGACTCAATTTAATGAGGTACACTGATTTTACAGTGAAGGCCATTTTATGAATTGTTACAATCTGAGACAAAATGAAGTCACAGAAATATGGACAAAATAATGCCACTTCCCAACTCTACAGAGCCTGCTAATGGCAAACATTTAGATACTCTCCAAACAGTAAAAAATTACAATTTTGTAAAAGCTCTATGAAATGTCTTATTTCACTGATGGTAAAACTAAGTCAGAGCTAAACTAAGTGGTTTGTCCCAGGTCACACAGACCCAGGTGGCAGAATCTATCTCTCATGTCTCAGTCCAGTGCTTCTGCAATAAAACCTGCCAGAATGGTAAATGCTGAGACAGGTAGACACCAGATTTCATTTGTCATTCAGTTATTCCACTGTTATTCTTCCTTTAACTCTTAATTTTTTTGATTCTTTTAAGAGAAAAATAAGAATTGTTTCTTATGTTAGTACCACAATAATTTTATATTTTAAAGCTATACAATGTCTGAATGTTTTTGCCACTCTCAAGATCATTCCATGATGAATACTCTTATGCTGACATAGGTTAAGCTCAAAAATGCAAGGCAATGTCATCAAAAGTGCAACATTAAAAATAAACCACCTTGTTTAAAAAACAAAAGCACGGAAACACAAAGGCTTTAAAACACGTGCATTTTCATTGCAGTATTCACATGTAAACCATTCTAATACCAATTAGTAAGTAGATTTACAGCTAATATAACAGATTTAAGCTTAGGTTTTCTTGGAGCTGGGACAGATCCCAAGAAGCAAGACATATTATTAGCTGAATTGATCCTCTTGCATTGGTCCTCTCATTTAGGACAAGACACATTTACCTCTAGATATGACGCTGTTGCTACTGAAAAGGTAAGTGCACTTCTCTTTCTAACATTTATCTGATTATACAGGCAGTCTTCAGGTCAACACTGCCTGCATCCAAGCACCTATTTTTATGCGTATTCGAATGCACTGAAAGTGCTCAGAACAAAAGACCTTTGAAGAAAAAACAGAACCACCTTCAGAAATAAACACATAACTTACATATCTGTTAAACATGTTGTCTGTTCTCCCCACAGCGACATTGTTGAGCAGGATCTGTGCTACTGTATCTACTCCCTCGAAAACCAAATTCACTTTCTGCCACTTTCTACAGAAGACAACATATATGTGAAAAACTGTTAGAATACCTAGCGTTAACAACATACAGTAGACAGACAATATAAAAATGTATATCACCATTATCTTCAGCAGTATTTGCCTCAGCTACCTCCAAAAACATTTGACTCAGTGTGGCTACATTATATCTTTAAATAGTCAAATTAAGATGACAGCTGAAGCAGCTCAAGTCTACAACACAGCATGTTCACATACACAGCAGATATCAGATGGGATGGCTTCCAATTAGCCAAAGTATTATATACTTTCTCAGTTGACAATTCATAAGTAATTTTTAACAATTAATTTAAAAAAAGGAAAAAACAACAATTGAAGTGTTCTGTAGCAACAGTTTTGCAACTGCACATGATTGCATAATTTGTTTTGTTAGATACAAAAATATTAAGCAGATTTTGAGCTGATGGATTAATTTGCAATTCTGCATGAATGATGGCACAGAACTATTTTAGACATATCTTTACTGCATACCTGATGTCAAAAGGAGTTTTAAATGTCCTGCTGTAAGTCCAGTTATCTAGTGAGATCCATCTGTACATCACGTCATTAAATCTATAGTACGGATCCTAGTAACAGACAAAAAACAGAAAATTACAAGACTTATTTAGTAATAGTAAATATTTACTACATGAAAAGCATCATAATATCCATTAGATGAACACTTCTTATTTCAGACAGTCTGCAAATGCAAAATCCACCTTAGTTAGTCCAGATATATGAAAGTAATGCTTTAGTAATATTTGTCTTTACTTATATGGTTAGTAATATTTGACTTTACTTATACAGGTCAAAACCCTGTTTGCTATAATCATTTATACTCGAATTAGAGGTAGCAGGATTTGTTTTTACAGAAGAAATTACTGGTTTGGAATTTAACCAGTAAATCAAGATAGCTTGTGACTTAATGAGAGGAACAGAAACATGATCACCCTCATAATGGTGGAGAAAGTAAGACTAATAGGATTTTAATAGGCAAAGAAACAGCATTTTAGGCCTCTAGGGACAGCAGTGAACAAATCTCTAGTTTAAAATAACGACAAATACTCCAGTTGTTTCTTGTCAACTAGTCTTGCTGTGGTGAGGCTAAATGAAATTGTTATACATGGAGGGACGGAGAAAGGGAAGAAGGACAAGGAACACAATTTTTGTTTTGGTATAAAACTTAGTGACTACTTTTGAGAACAGCACTACATTTACACCCAATGTGCCCTCTTCCCTTGAATCACATTTCCCAGGAGGAATAAAAGGCACAGTTGGTCTAAGCCACATCCTCGACCTTTTAGGCTTCACGCTGTATTTATTACCTTATGGTGGGTCACGACATCCCTTACCTTGGTTGAAGGAATCAGTTACAAGGACCTGACAACCCACGGCCTTGCACCTCGAACAAAGGCAGCAGAAAGGTACAGACTCATATCCCATGTCAGAGCGCAGGTATCTGGGTCACTGACTGACAGCTCAGTTCAATCCTCTGCAGCAGCTGCACGGCTGAACTGCCTTCCCAAAACAAAGACCAGTCTCTTCTGGACTACATAACTCAAACCCAGCTAAGAGAGAGGGCAGCTGCTTTAAGGTTTGCTTTGATACAAGTGTTCTACAGTACCAACACAGTCTAACTACCTGCCCTGAATATTCAAATTCACACTGAAGAAAACCTGCCCAGCTTTTTTTTTTTCCTACTTGCTGAAGCTAAATTTTTCTCCCCATTTCAGGAATCAGTATAGATAACCATGATGCTTTGGATTTGAAATCTTCTGAAAACAATTGTTTCATACCTCATATTTGTTTTACAACTAACAGGGCTGAATTCTGTAATATAAGCACCAAGCATAGCACAAAGCATAGCAAAGCAAAACTGTAACATCTAAGTCACTGTCCTCAGCAGCACAGGCCCCTCTGGAGTCCTACAGCAATACATCATTCCTTGAGCCCATCCAGAGGGAAAGTTATCAGCTTGCTTCTACATGCTATGCGCTATCAATCAAATTTCTTACTACAAGGAAAGATTCAAAATGGAAAGGTCTTGTCGCTTCAGTAAAACTGTGAACTCTGTACATACAAGGTATTGTCTAGAAGTTAAGTCATCATGAGCTTACCAGAACAACTACTGAATTTAAAAATATTCATACCATTACTTTTACATGCAAAATGTATTGGGGAATAATCTCAGACTTTTATTAAGATGCAAAATTTAAGGCTAATAAATGCATAGTAAAATGCAAAATTTAGGCTCATAAAAGAAACTCCATTGAGATCATCATATTCAATGAAAGGCAAGCAACAAATGTCACAGACCATGAAAAGCCACCATATGTACTCAAAAAGCACATTTTTAACAACTGGTTTGCTTTAACGTTATATACTATCTTATATACATTTACATATACATACGTTATATTTGACATTATATACTATTTTATTTCAGGTTTGCAAAAATGCTTTGAAAAATGTGCATGTTAAATTTCAATCATTGCCTTTGTTATATGTAAAATATTTAACAAAAGGTCTAAGATGTAAGTTGTAAATGCACTATCAACAGCAGACTGTAAAGGCATTTGGTTAATGGTCAAACAACCTACACCAGTACCTCGGCAAAGATGCATCAAAGAAACCTGCACCATCTCTCCCACAAACACATGGATACCGAGATGTTAATGAAGAAAGTCCTGCCTTCTGCAAAACACAAAAACTGGTTGTCAAGCAGCAAAGAGAAATGTAGGAATATTTCATCAGAGGCAGAAGTCAACCTCGAATGGGCTCTTACAGGAGTTTACAAACAGAGCAGCTTGCTTAAATCTCAGAGTGTACTGCAAATCCTTTTTCCTGAAGGAGCTTTCTTCTTTACTATCTAAAGCTTTCAACCATCAAGACATGCACTGACTGCTAAAATATGTGTCATAGAAGGTGCTAATTAGCCCTTCCTCAGTACTGTTTCTTACTCACAGGCATCCACCCTTTTGGATGGAAAACTCATAGTTCTGTGTGTCTTTACATAAAACTTAACAGCTTACTGATACCATTGCTGCATAACCTGTAAAACAGCATATATATCACACAGCAAAGCTGTTAAATGTTAGTACTGGTTAGTCATTTTTGGCATGACAAATGTTGCTTGTTGTAAAATCAGTCATGTGGCAATGTTCAAGCAATGCTTTTAAGACAATCCTCCAGGTTCAGGAGAAATGCATGACCAGAACAAAGTCTTCTAAGAAAGCAACATTACTTTTCCAATAGACTTGTGAGATTATTGACTTTTTCATTATAAAATACAGCTGTTCTGAGTGCTGGAAGATGTACCTGTGGAAGTCAAATTGTTTGGATTTTTCTGAAACAGAATTGCATTTCACATTAAATCAGCTCACATCAAAATTAAAGGTTTATTTCAGAAAAGTGGATTAAAAAAAGACAAATTTAAAACACTTAAAGGCACTAGCAGAATTTGAAAGATGGTAGGATATAGACTGTGCATCTATTAAATATACTTCACATTCAATAGCTCAACAGCTCAGTGTGTTCCTGGAAGCAAGTCATAGAGGGGTGGAGTCAACTACAGCTATTTTTAGATCCCATCAAACGTGTCAGCCTTGCGTTTTCCTGCTCCCTGCAATTTGGGAAAGAAATCTGAACTATTCAAGCTGCCGGCCTGCTTGTTCTTTGCCCCCAGCTTCCACGCTGTAAGCAAGCAGCAAATCACCTGCTAAGATGAGGTAAAAAGCCCTGCTACAGATCATCAAAAGGAAGCAATTTCCAGGTCGGATAACAGGACATCAGCAGGACTCCAAAAGCACTGGCAGCACTACAATGAAGGCACTGCCAAGTGCCTAGATGGAAGCTTCTCCTTACAATGATTTTAAGGGGATATCTGAAAGCTACAGTGGCATGAGCTGAGAGCTTCTCCTGTTAAGCAGGAAATGGATGAGACACGAACACAGCAGAATTAAGGTTCCAAGCCCCAGTGAGTGAGTGGTGCCAGGCACACCCTGGCCTGGAGAAGGGCCGTTTCCAGGCCCCCGCGAACCAGGAGTTTCGGGGAGCATGACACAAACACCTGAATGACACCAGACAGAGTCAGCTGTATCCAGGCGGAAAAACTGTGTGTAATAAAATGAAATATAATAAAGAGAACAAAAACCAGATTCCTGCTTTTGTCATGGTCTAATTTGAAGTCACCTTTCATGCTTTTCTCTCATAAATTAACTCTGCTGATTTTTTATGATGTACACCATAAGAAAATCCTGATGGTGTAACAATTTACCAAAATAAAACTTGCAAGTGATGTTTCATGATTTATAGTTTAATGATTCTGCTGTTGCTGACTTCAGACTGGAAGCTAAATAGCTAAGATATCTATATCCATGCACTCCTTGCAAGCGATAGCAGTCAGGACATTTATACAATTTTCAGCAAGCCCAGTTTCACATATTTGCAGCTTGAAGTCAAGCTGAACTAACAGTAGTGATGAATGGATCGTATTCTCAGAACAAGAGTTTTGAAGTTCATCCTAAAGTAATTGATTTTGAGTAGTTACTCTCAGAAAGCAGTAAACTGAATGTCACTGTCGATGTTCAAAACGTGTTATAGCTGAAACTAGGCCAAATACTACTAGTATTATTTGAATACTTTACTGTATTTAACAGGCCACTACAACTTTTATCGGTTTTAACATCACAAGCTTAAACTGACTTGTAAGAAAAACTTAAGTACTCTTTAATATTTATCCTAAGTTTCACAAAGGCTTTTGAACACTCGTCATAAGTTCCCACAATTTAGCAGAGCATCTATATTTCAATGGAAAATAATATATTAATCAACTGTTTCATCAATGAATGCCATTTAACCTGACAGAACCATATAATACCCAATGGAATTGTTACCTGACTTGCTCTGAAAAATCTAAGTTATAATGAAGTGTCAGAAAATACACAGTAGCATATTTTATAAAAATGTAGAACAAGCTACAGAAATTTACACCACTTTCCAGAAATGCAGAACTATCAGCTGATATACATAAATTTCTGTCTCTTCAAATATTTTAATATCCAAGTATGACCAAGACCACTGTAACCTTCTGTGTCAAGCACATGCCCTTGTTGCCTAAAGGGCCAGAAAATGCAGTGTTATCCAGCCCCTATATAAGCATCACAGTTGCAGACCCCTCATAATAGTTCTTTACAAATCAAAGTGACTGCTAATAGGAAAAAACAGCCTTACATAGGAATGCAATGGCTGGCAGATAAGAAAATAATACTCACATTCATCAGAACTGAAACTTTACAGAAGTTACTGGCCAGCAAGAAATGGCATCATGCAGGACTTGGGACAGTACATGGCAGAGGATGCCTACTTCTAGCACACAGATCTAATGTGCAAGTTACCTGTGGATACATATTGCTTACCAGAACAGTGCCTGAAAAAAAATATTACACTGACAGTGGTTAAAAGCAAAATCTTCACACAAAATGTTTTTTTGGCAAATCTTTTTCCAGAGCTGTAGGGTTAGCAATACGTTCGCTGCAAGTCTGTAAAATGTGTGCATTCGTAGTCAAGCTTTGCACTAACTTTATTCAAATGACTATTACCCTGCTTTATGTGCATTTCTCATGTCCTTTTTTTAAATTTTACATGTAAATAGTACTAACAGCTACAGAATTCTAATGAAATTTTATTAAAAGTACCAAGCCAAACACATACTCTGATGCTATCTCCTGCTTCAGTCATAGTTAATCCAGCATTTGAAGTACGTTGGTTGAACATGGAAGAAAATAATACTTCGGTAGAAAACTCAAAAGTATCTTCCCCAAGCGCATTTTCTAAGATACATGCATTTGGTGCATTCAGAAAGATGTCTTCATCCAATCTATATTTTATAAGCCAGAGAAAAGATATCTCTAGAACAAATGCTAAGAGGATCCAGAGAGATGAGTAATGAACCTTCCGTGTCAGAGAGATGTTTTTCAATTCAAGTGTATGGCCTGCACAGCAGATTAAAGTAAGGCTACAGACACGCAATCAGCTACAGCATCCCTTTGCAAAAACAGTTTGTGCATCGACCTAAATTTGAAATGAACCACATACTGATAAATAAATTGCTTGCAGCCTACTCTTGCAACCTAAGCCACATTTTGCAGCCTTAATATACAGCAGCTTACCCTTGCGACCCTCCTTCCCCTCATGTAGCCCACTAAGCTACATTGCCAGAGTAGGCCCTCCCAAATTTTGCTTTAAATTTCTCTTTTGGGTGCTAACTCATTAAAAATCCCACGGATACAGAAGTAAAGGATGCAGTGCTATTTGCTGTTTGCAAATCACACAGAAAAACAGCACATAGATTTCACTAGGTCACTGAACATATGGGTCCTGCTACCCAGAATCATTTTGTTCCCACTATCTTTGTTCTCCTATTTCCTGGTACAGCTTTTCAGACCAATCTTCACTTTTGATTACAAGCAGAAAGCTTTTGGGTTGCTGGTCGAGTGACATCTTCCATACAATGAATAAAAATCCTACATTCCATAGTGAAGAGCGACAGGAGTAAATGAAAAAAATACTCAAGACTGAAACTTTTGTATTTAGGCACCTGTAATGAAACTCCTAATTCTACACTTGACAAAAGCCCAAAAAGGGCTGATTTCCAGAGATAATGAACTCTGAAGAAATGGATCAGCGCTCTGTGCCTCTAAAATTAAGGCAGTGTGTATGCTTTTGTATAACTAGGAATACAATTTTAGTCACCTGCATTTGAAAACCTTTGGTCATATTCATCACTGCAATAAAGAAACCTCAGAACAAACAGCTGGGCCTCCCTTTGCAGCATGAAGCCACAAACTGCAGTAATGAATGATGTCACTGACTCCCTCCAAACAACCCAGGTTTGTTGCTTTACAGAATGCTACAACTATGGTGGCAGGGATTGAGTACATTTAAGATCTGCAATAGATTTCAAATCTGCTAAGGTTGCTCCTGTGTTTTGGTATGGTCTACATTCTGTCTGTTAAACAAAAATGTGATTTTAAAACAATTTAGTTATCCTGGTGCAAATATTTGTGTGAACGCTCTTTTCTGTAAACTGCGTGTGAAGGGGTTTAAGCTGACCTTGAGTTACACACCTATACATAGAAACAAGTTAGCTCATTCTGAGCTCGGAACTAGCCAGATACCAGTTGCATCCAGCCCAGAGGTCAAGCAACCACACCAGCGAAGTATTTTGGTTAACGCAACAACTCGACTGAGCCTACTAACACCACCAATTTAGCAACAGATTCCAGTCCACAGCAGGTTCACGCCCGGCCATACCAGCACATGTTTGGAGCAAGTTCTTACTTGTATTCATGTAAACATGTCCTAAGTGACCACAACCATCATCAATTTAATTGGCCAAGCACCCATCTACCTATTAGCAAGACCCGTGCTGCTGGTCAGCTGGTACTGACTAAGCTTTCATGCCTCTGTGCAGGCTTGGGATTCTGCAAAGGCACATGAGAGTTCACAATCACAGCCTCATTTCCAAATATACTGACGCTGAAAATGACTAAAACTACAAGTCAGTTTACAGCAATGCAGCTAAATTAGCAATCACATCTTCTCGCTTTGTAAGTGTGCTTAATATGAGTAGTTAAATGTGAGTCTTTAATTACGTCATTATCTTGCCAGCGTGAGTCAGTGCATTGGTCACAGTTTCTCCCGGATGATTATTCACACTTCTTACATCAACACCTCCCAGCACACCCAAATATCCCAGGTAAAGTTCAGTTTACTTTGCCAACTTTTTTATTGGAGGAACTGGCACAGTTCCCTTCACTGTTTCTCCATGTACAGTCTACCTGACCACTGCACATTTGAAAACTTTAGAAAAGCCCTAAATTGTAAATGTCCAAAGTATCATGTCACTTAGCACACAGATGTTGAAGCAACAAACCATCGTGGCTTCTTAGCGTATTTACTTTTCCACTGTTGACTATTTCTTTTATCTGGCAATGACACTTTTTGAAATCTATTATTAGTACTGGGATTCCCAACCTATGCCAACACAGAATAATGCTAAAATTATCCTGCCCAAAGTGGCGTCACTTTCTCCTTTTACCTCTCTAACTTTAGTCAGAGCAGAGCAGTATAATAACCTGAAAAATAAAAATTAAGGAAAATAGAAAAAGCATGCGTCCAGAATGTATTTTTTAAACATATGCTGCACAAGAACTGCAACACTGGGCCCACAGCAAAGGGAGGGATAATATTATACTCAGACAACATATGACAATACTCTATGTTTTCTAGTATAGAACTGTATTTATCAGTTTTATAGATGAATTTGTTAATTTCACTATATTTTATTTCTTTTCCTTGTTCCAGGTCTGGGTTTCACTTTCCATGTTTCCTTTTAAAAAGGCACCTCATTTCAAGAATGACCCAGTTAGTGCCATGTTTTTTGTCAGGTCTGAGTCACAAGCACCTTATGCTGGTAGCAGAGTACTTAGCTACCTATCTACAACTGCAGTTTTGATAATTTGTCCAGGAAAGTGGTTGCTATGTTTTCATAAATCTAAACAACTAAAGAGACAGGCGTAAACTGAAGCAGAGAAGTTTCTTCAAAGTGTTAAGGCAGGGATTAGTCTTTTAAATTCAACAGTTTTGTTCTTGTGTTTCAGAATATACTTCCCTTAGGGAGTACGAGAATAAATAATCTCAGCTGTTTTGATATGCTCTGCAAGCATTAAAAGGGGTTTTTAATGGCCTAAAACGCCTGAAATCCCTAAACTTCTAGCATCTACAAGTCAAACTTCAGCAGGGTGGGTTTAGCGTTTCATTCTTTTGAGGTAACATTGTAGGTAAACGCGCCTTACATGCTGTGAGGATATTGCAGGTATCTGCTGTCAGCACCTTGGTTCCGTGCCAAAACCACAGAACCTCACACACTGCAAAGCACAGGCTTCCATTTCTATCCCTGGTCCCGTCTGGGACGGAGGACACTGCAGCCACAGAACCCCTTTGCCACTGGCGGGGCCAAGAGACGAAGCCTGGCCGCTGCACCAGCAGCGCCAACAAGCCCTGCAGTGGCTGCGGCAGCTCCCGGGACAGAGCCGTGGTTTGGGGGGGCGGGGGGAGCGAGGGGGTCGCCTCTGCTCGAGCTTCTAGACACCTCCTCACACATGGGTTTTGCCCTCCGAGGCCGGCTGCCCACGGCGGGCTCGGCAGCGCTCCTCGGGCGCCGGGAGAACCGTACCTGGATGAGGCCGCGGCGGAGCAGCGCAGTGTGGACGCAGCCCGGCACCTCCGCTCGGAGCGACACCGAGCCGTTCCCGCTGCGCAGCCGCCAGCTCCCCCGCAGGCTGCGCCCCTCCGGGCCCCCCGCGGCCGCCGCCCGCGGCACCGCCAGCACCGCCAGCACCAGCAGCGCCGCGGAGCCCATGGCCGCGCCTGCCCGCCCCTCGCACAGCCGGCACGGCCGCCAGGAGCGAAGAGCTGGGGCGGTGCTTGCAAGGGAAGAAGGAAGGAGTGAAGGTCGGCGCTGCTGAGGGCGACCGGGCGCGGCTGCGCGCGGGTCTCCGGCCCGCGAGAGCGGCCCTACCCCTGGCGGCTGAGGGGACTCGGGGGCAGCGGCCGCAGTGCCGCCGCCTCCCCGGCTGGAGCGGCGGTGGGCGCTCGCACAAAACCCTGCCCACGCACGTCACAAAAAGTGCGGTTTGGTTTTGGGTTTTTTGTGGGGTTTTTGTTTGTTTGTTTGTTTGGTTTGGTTTTTGGGGTTTTTTGTTTGTTTGTTTTTTGTTTGTTTGTGGTTTTTTTTCTTTTGTGTTTTTTTTGGGCGGGGGGGTGTTGGGGGTTTTTGTTTGTTTTGGTTTTGTTTTGTTATTGTGGTTTTTTCTCCCATGAGGAAGCACAGCGGAACACTGGTGATAGGAGCTGCGATACCGTTACGAATCTCTCAGAAGGAAAGAGAAAACGCCGGCGAGGTGGGAAGGAATGAGGAAGGGCTGTGACAACACCGCAGCGGGCTTCTCGATATTGGCTCCCTCGAGCCATGAGGTCTTTATAAGGCCTCAGACTTCCACCTCCTGTTTCCCATAAAATTACAGCGGCGTATAAAACCATAAAAAACGTCATGAATATCTCAAAGTACTGTGGTTTCTCGTAAAGCAGTGCTGGCGCTGTTGCAGTGTATTTTGTTCAGAAAAATTGTGTGTTCATCTGCAAAGGGACAGAACAGTGAGCCTCAAAGAACCCAGAGTACGGTTACCAAATCACACTGCAGCTTTCCTGTATGCCCTCACTAGTTTAATACCTTCATTGACAGCTCAAAGCCAGGAATTAAAGAAACAAGTTTTTAAATGGCTCGATGGAAAGAGAGGAAGACAATCGGTGGCCTGAGCTCCTCTTGAGGTGTAACACCCTCCCTGCTTGATGCTCTGCCCCCTCTGAGCCCCTGGTGCAGAGGGGCCCAGCTCAGCTCCCTGAACTGGGGATGTTTCACACCATGGCACAGGCCCCCCCCAGCTGAAGCTGTACAGCACGTAGAGAACTGAGTTTCATTTGACAGCACAGAAAAGCAAAAGAGTGACGAGCCCACATACCTTCAGGAGGTTGTGGCAGCACAAAACAGAGGAGCATCCAAGAACTTGATTTCAAGACTTGATTCCATGTCTGTCTGCTCAGCTGTGAGCACATTACAAAGCAGTCGGTTTGCTTTTCTTTAGGTACGAATGGTTTTATTCCCCTCACACAGCTCACTATGAAATTTAAAATGCTCATTTCAGCAGCTATGGTCTGGTTTGTACAATTTTGAAATGGGATTGAAATGGTGGGGTTTTTTTAGTTTAGGCTATTTCTTTTGGAGGAGGGGTTTAGTTTGGGGTTTTTTTTGGTGGTGGGGTTTCTTGTTTATTCTTAAAGCACAGTTGATGTTCCATCTGGATTCATAAAGTTTCTACTACGTTTATGAACCAGGTCAGAATCCTGGTCAAGAAAATAATATACTGTCTCAGAATACACTTAAGTGAGAAGGTGAAATATGCTTAAAAAACAGAAAACCATGCAAGTTCCTTTAAAGAAGTAATAGTACCATTAGTGTCACTTATCATCCTGTTATTACATGATGTTTTTTCTTTTAATGAACAAGTCAGGTCACTGTGCATACAAGGAAAGCAAACTACTGACTACATATAGGTGCCTACACGTGATTCTGCATAGAAATGCAATAGCGTTCAAAGAAATTCCAATTAACTGCAGGACTTTATTCAGTTTTGCCATTTATCTCCTCATGTTTCTTAATGTCTATAATTATAGACTGTAAACTTAGAGAAGGAAAGAATACATAAAGCACCTTGGGATGTTAAAGAGTTAATCACTTTAACAACATATATACAGCTTTTACACCAAATTACACAAGAATAAAGTGTGACTGACACAAAAACACGCAGCACAGAGTGCAAGAGTGAACTGCAGAACTCAGGGATTACCAGAGGGTTTTTTTCGCTCCTGGCTTTCACACACCTAATTCAGCATACCATAACAATCTACCCTAGACTTGTCTTTAGGGCATGACTGAACATGGTCAACATGCCTTTATATGTTTGATACAAATCCTTTTGAACTGACAGCCCTTCGTTTCAATACAACATAAAAATGCTAGTCCTTCAATTCATCTGCCATATGAAGAAAAAGTACACAATATAACCACAGGTGTTTTTTCACCTGTGAGAGCACAGGGAGGGGCACAGTTCTGAAAAATATTGGTCCAAAAAGAATAAAGCTGATCTTTTTTTCTCTTAAAAATTTCTGCTACTGATTTCAAAAAGGGATAGATGGGACCCATACTGTTCAGCAGCAGAAGTCTGTGCAGAAATTTAGCTGTTAGTTCCCATGTGTGTATTTTTAAGACTGAATAACCCACATTCAATATATTGACTAACTGAAAGGCAGGTTCCATTTCAGTTCAACTCCCAGCTATCTTTTAGTGAGATTGAGAGAGAATTAAGTTTTAATGCTGCCAAAGAACAACTGCAAGTTGGCTTTTTTCTTTTTTTAATACATTTTTTTCAGTAAGTCATGTGATAGCTTCCCAGTAAGAAGGAAACTGCATTTCAAGATGATTACTGTACTTCCATGTTTTCTTTGCCATTTATTCTTTCTACTGAAGACTGACTGGAGCAACACACACACACATAAAAACCTCAACCTAAAAACAATGCTGTAATTAAGTATTCTGAGAACATGCTGTTTCCTTGTTCAAGGCTTATAATTAAGTTAAATCATGTTTCATTTTCATGTCCCAGTTTTAGGGTTTGTTTTTTTGTTTGAGAGTATTTTTAAACAAATGACATTTTTGCTGTTTAAAGATATGAGAATTTTAAAGGCAGTGGTTTTATTTTTTAAAATCTTAAGACACAAAGCAAGATCTTTTGTGTGCTTTTTTACTGCGTACCATATTAACATTATTTTCTGAAATGCCACAAATTTAGGTTGCTACTGTTATTAATTTGCAATACTGCAAGCAGATATTCTTATCAACTAAGACAAAAAGCTGAAGGCAAACCTATGCCTTTGGCTCTATCAGAATAAATTCAGAGTAGTTTCATTGAAGCTGCCCAAATTCTGCCATGTTAATCCAAAAGTCCTTTGTTTCCAATTGCATATGCAATTTCTATCATCACAACTGCTGCTGTTTTCTCTTTCAAATTCATGTTAAATGAATTCATGCAAAGGTTTTAAACAAACAGGTTCTCGTAGATTTGGGTGCAGTACTTCAAGATATTACTGCCCCCACCTGTCCACCCTGTACTATTCTTCTCCTGAAGGTAAACACCTCTGAAGCAAAACAGGACTTGAGTTCACACCAGTCCACATCAGGGCATGCTGTCTCTTTTGGCAGCTGTGCACTGCTGAGGATACCACCACCACTGACCATTCGCCAAAGATGCAAAGCAACTAAAGGATCGTCTACCTTATGGAATTTCGTCTAGATGCAAAAGTATCAATGCAGACATGTTGGATAAGTACTGGTGTGAAACTGGACTGGTGTTTGTATGACTGTAAATACCTTCAGGCAGCACAACATATCCATATGAAAGCCCTACAGCTCCTCAACATAACAACTGACCTCTGCTTCCTGACTGCCTCTGCAGAACAGAACTGCTGTGCAAAGTAGTTACTCCCTGGGCTGGGGTCAAGGCCATATGATGCAGGGAGCTCTCCAGCTATGGATTTGTAAAGGACATTATTCTGTATTTATCTTGAATCCTGCCCAAAATGATGTTAAAAATAAAATAAGGAAATAAATTAAGATTGCTTTTAGAGGAGGATGCTATTCATACAGCACTAGAAGAGAATGTTTTACTAGGTTATCATGAGCAAAATACAAAGTGACAATCTAAGTGGTAGGCCTTAAGTTTCTTTCATAATTCTGGTAAAGTCAGTAGGTCATTGCAAGGGGATTTCCTTAGCGAACAAAATTACTCAATGCTAGCAATCACAAGTAATTAAAAATAAGTATGTGGAAGGGAAGTACTGCTGCAGGCAAATGCTATAATGGAAGGGAAAAAGCAAAATATACATAATAATTATTTTAAAATTGCATAAGCAGGAAGACAGGTGATACCTTGAATGTAACCTTAAATTTCATCAGGTATGCTGGGCCAAAAGCTTGTATTCCATATCTCTACATAACATCTTGCTTTGAGATGAGCTTAAAACACAGGATTTAGGTTTCAGGTCACCACCTTCTATAGCACAGACACAAAAAGTGGAAGGGTCTTTAAAGCCAACATGGCCAGATTTCTAAAGACAGGTTCTTTAGAAGGTGGAATTCCCACAGCTTTTATTCTCTTCATTTTATAAACAAATTTGAAACAATCCTAATCTATTTATAAGATTACATAACACTGACCATTGTCATTTACCCTTTGTTTCATAAGCAGCAAAGTCACTGTCTGAAGACCAGGTATGGTGCTGTCCAACCTCCCCGTCAACTCTCATTAAAACTCACTTAAAACATATTGAGAATCAAAGCCAATTCTATGGCACTTACAGGAAATTAGCCTTTCTTAAAGGTCTAAAGCTAGACAGTCATCTGTCTGCAATGTACAACCACAATACAATGTACGAAAAAAGCCTCGTCCCAAAAAGCCTAAAATCAAATCCCTCAAAATGTGCGTATTGCAGGTAACAAACGGTTTCTCCCATGATGGAAGTTTGAGAGGCTCACTGAGCCTGTGTACTTGGCACTTTGCCAGCTGAGTGCAGTACACACCAAATAGAGCAAACTAAATATGAAACATACTGTTTTAATGAATGTTTTCTGTGCAGGTGACTATTATGAGAATCTCAACATAGCTTTATAGCTGATGAATTGGATGATTAAATGGATTTGGAGTTGAAACAGCTGGGAGCTAGATTTCTTTTTGTAACTCAAGTGACTCCAGACAAACTACTGGGGCAGGTTAGGACCTCTGTTTCTCAGACCTTCAGTG